TTTGTCTAGCTTAGCTTTATTATTCTGCTGCCAATAGAGAAAATGGGTTATTCTCAGACCTATTTCAGGATAAGCACAATCACCATCAGCTGTAACACTTGTTTCCTGCAAAGGATAATGTATATTAACAACCTTCATTTGGTATATTACCAGTCTGAAAAACTGTGTGTATTTTTATTTCGAGATGAACTGGCTCAAATTTGGCTAACTATTGATTGACCAGAGTAAGTAAAAAGAAAAGAAAAAAGCATTAACTGTTTTGACCTTTTTTCTTTTTTTTAATTTAAAAAAAAAAAAAAAAAAAAAGCCAATTCTTATCTTGATACAATATATGATCTAAGAATATAAGCCTGTTTTTACTTCATAGTTATTTTCTTTGTGTGTTTTTGTATAAACAATAGACGATAAATGTTTTATATTGTCTTTCATGTTTAAAATAACTTCTTGTTTTTGGTTGGAAAGAAAGGAACAGCTTTATTGACATAAAATAAACTAATGCTTAAGGTTTTTTTCCCATGTGTGTGTTTGGTCTTTAGGTTGTCATAAATTACAATATATTCTTGTAAATATAGGTATGTACACTCTCTTCTCTGTATAAAACTTTGATTTTTCTTTTGTCATGAGAATTTTGAATTAACTTCAAAAATATCCACGCAAAAAGATTACAAACTTTTTGGGGGGGAGGAATATGTAGTGACCTAAAGAATAAATTGCAGAACTCTGATCAAAACATTTGTTCACCTAAATATTTATTACGGCCACAGCCAACAGCTGGTATGTAATGTATCTGAAAATATCTATTCTTCAAGATATAAAGAATACCGAGCGGAACAGGTTATTAGGTGCCATTAGAACATAACTCTTGATGAACAAACTAGTTTTTTGTGTATTGCCAATAGCCTGACTAATCTCTTAATAACCTAATTTTTAATTAAATTAGGGTGGGTGGTTATATTTTGTACTTACATCTAAAGAGTAGGTATAAAATTTTGTTTTGATATGCTTTGCCATGGAGTAATGATTATAAAGGCTGTCTCACACACTGTTGTGAATCCAATCTTTAATGGATACACATAACTTTGTGTTTTACTAAAGTGAGGTATGTAAATGTTGATGCATGATTTCATTTTGTTTAGCTATTGAAGAGATGACAAAAATAAGATTCTCTCTCCTTTTTGTTTTTTACTTTATATTTCTTTACTAGTTTATATTTGAGAAAATTGCATTTTGGAACTCAACTGGAACAAATTTTCCTTTACATATAAAAAAAAAAAAAAATCTTTTTTTACATATTCACTTAAGTAATTAGAATTGATTTTAATACTTATAAATTCATATTTATAGTTTTTATATGCATGATAGCATTTTTCGTCATTGTTTGAAATGTACCAGCTTGATTTATAACTAGAGACACCTTGACCTGCAGTTTCATTCTCTATACTTGAGATTTTATTTTTTTAATTAGTGTTAGAAAGGTTTTAGTTATCTGGAGGTCAAGAACATTTTTCTTTATCTTTGTATTTTTTTATGAAGTCAGCAAAATGTTTTACTATAGAAAAATTCATCCATTTCTAACTAAAAGTTTTTATTTTTAATGGTGTTTCATAAAAATTGAATAAACCCCACTTCTTTGAAACTGTATTAAATAAAATTTAATTAATTCAATATCTATGATTTGTAGTCTATAGAGGTTTTTATATATATATATATATATATATGGATCTGACAGTATGAAGAAAAATATATACGGAAAAAACAAACAAAAATTCTTATATGCAATTATGCTGTTTTAATGTTAATTATATTTTATGAATATGTCCTGAAGATGGTTTATTAGACCGAAACGTCCGATGTTGACATATTAACATTAAAACAGCATAATTGCATATAAGGGTTTTTGTTTGTTTTTTCCGTATATATTTTTTTTCATATATATATATATATATATATATATATATATATATATATATATATATATATCTATATATATCATTAAATTGTATTCAGTGTCTGTTGCAAAAATCTTATTGGTGTTAATGTGCCAAAAATGCTAGCATCTACATATTTGTGCATGTGTGTGTGAAGACAGTTTTAAAGGACTGCCGACTAGATTTCTGCTCTGCAAGCTTAACAATGTAGAAGTGTTTTTTTTGTTTTTTCTTTTTTATGTCCTGCATCAAAAAGGTCATTTATGACTCTCTTCCTGTGTTTGCAAGGGAGATGACAAGTGGGAAGGAACATGAGAGCAACTCTGTTATTGATCATCAGCTGATATCACACTTGGTGATGTATCTTGCCTTGAGAGAGCTGCTGCTGCTGCTGCTGTGTGGCTGGCATTAATCTAGCTCTGAATGAACATAGTACCATGCTCCGTTGTCTTACATTCAAGGCTGGGATAGACAGCCAGCCACTTCAACTTGTACTGTTACTACTGCTTTGTTATATCAGGACTTTGTTACTGCTATTGAAAATGCAGGGTTATTATTGACAAAAGTAGTATACACTTTTTACCAGTTTCATTTTGATTAATTTACTTTCAACAGCAGCAGCAACTAAAATGTAACTCAAAGAGAAATTATGGTATAATCAAAATAATGTTCTTCTTCAAACAAAAAGTTTAGGAAGAAAGCCCCCATCTTCCAAGGCAACTTTGGTCTTGAAAAATTTAAATGTAATGCCAATCGTTATCATCTGTCTTCTTGTTCTTTTATTATTCTCTCTCCTTAATAGTATATTTCTTTCTTTTTCTCATACTCTCTAACACTTGGTAACCCTTTGCATCTTAGTGGCTTTATTGCCTTGCTTGACATGAAGTGACTAGCAAAAAAAAAATACTGGAAAGAGTAATGACAATAAACTTTTACAAACTATTTTCCTGAAAAGATTTTTATGAATTTTTACTGAAAGTAGCACTGACTGCTCTGTTAATAAATGCTGAATGTTTCCTTATAAGGAAATGGCTAATATTACCAATACTAAAAGTTTACACAGTGTATGTGCTTTTCATCATAAAACTTATTCTTTGCTTTATATATCCTCTGCTACCCAAATTTACTTAACATATACAGGCTATAAAAAAAAGCGATAATGAATTTGCCATACTAAGTGATGTAATTAGTTTGTTCCATAATTATAAAATATATTGAAACAAATTGTTATTATCAGTGTTCATTCAAGCAAACAATTGTTTGCGATCCCATGAAGTAAAATATCTTTGAAAAGCTAAAAATTTATTAATGGGAAAAGTGTTTGAAGATTTAAGAGACTTCTTTTCTTGGGAGTTGGAAGAAAGTTGTTAATGCTTCATCAATTAGTTTTTAAATTGCTCTATATATAAATGTTGGAAGTAGTTTAAAAAGAATAATGGTTCGAATAGTTTGCAAAAAAAAAAAAAATCCCCATGTTTGTAGTGGCTTTCAGAAAGTTTTAAGCAACGAAGCTTCCTTGTTGATTGCATGAACATTTATCTGTATACTCACAAAAGAATGTGATACAAAGTTGTGTTTAAAGTGAGATTTCGGTCAGCCATCCAAAAATTCCTCTAGCCTCCTTTTCACTTTTTGGGATGTCTCTGGTACTAGGATAATGACCCTATCCCCCTCTTGAAAGAGAGGTAATTCCTGGGATGATATTTACTTAGATACTCCCTCCCCCGACTTTACACTTAGTAAATCATTATACTTATCTGAAGTATAATGATTTACTAGGTGTAGCTTAGATGTGACACAAGGCCGCAAGTCTGGAACACCGAGCAAGTAAAGATCAAACTCACTAAGTCATAATTGTTTTAGCAAGACAATTTTGCTATTGCACCATGTTAAAGTGCTCTCTTGATGGTTGTATGAGAGTAGATGACATTCACTGCATTTAGACAGGTAAAGTGTTTTCTATACATGAAAGGATGGCCCAGTGTTTTATTTGTAAAATTTCATTTTTAATAAAAAAAAAAAATCATTAAATAAATGACTAACAGTAGTAATGGAATATAAGATTAGGCATAGTGATGGCAATATGACTAGATTTGTACCTGCTTGAGCCAAAACCTTTTTTTGACCAATTTGATTAAATTTTGTCTATGAGAGGTAAGTTTCCAGGTTATGCATGACAGTTTTACAGGAAACTGAAACAAAAAGGACCCATATACTTAACATCAGAAAGAGTTGAAATTTCAAGGGCATATAATGAGGAAAGAAGGTTTGAAAAATTTGATAGTCACAGGACATATTACAGGCAAGAGGGACAGGAGTGAACAGCATATAACCTACCTAATAAGCCTGAGTAAATAGATGGCAAAATGGTTTAGAAGAGATAACAAAAAAGACAAAATTAAGAGCTAAATAAAACTAGATGGGTTCACTTTTTGCTCGGTTCACACTCCTCCCCAGCCTTTTGAACAGGAGTAGAGGTTTATCCCTTATTTCCTATTTAGAATTGGGTTTCCGATTCCTTCTAAATTCTTATTTTTTCACTCTCAATAGCCCCTTGCATCTTAGTGGCATTATTGCCTTGCTTGGGGGTGAAATGATAAAAAAAAAAAAACTACAAAGAACAGGAAATTGTGGAGATCCATGATCACCAATGTCCTGAAGAACTAAATATGTGTCCTTATCTATGTATTCATATTTCCTGACAATACTTTTACCTTCTATTTTGTAATGGCAACACTTGGAACAGGCCAGCAATGTGACTTGGATGCAGTTATCCTCTCATCAGATTTCACATGATTTCAACACTGAAATCAAATATTGTCCAATCTCATTTTTTCTCTGGGTCCATCCAGGCTTGTCATAATGATGAAGTCATGTTGCTAGGTAACACCTATTGTATTAGGTAACTAGGTGGAGCATAGAAAAATAGCATTGTTACTCCACATTAACCAGACCGGTTTAAAATAGTTTGATATTATCAATATATATATATTGACTAATTTTGTTTTTCCTTTTGATGTTCATCTGAGTGGAGTGCATTAACAATGCAAAACTCCTTTTTCCTTGCATTTTATGTATGACAACTTCAAAGCATGGTATTTGTATTTTTATTTATTTATTTATTTTTTTATATATAAAATATTGGTGGGTGATATATGTGTTATCCAAAAGTTTAGGGAAATTACAGTTCACTTAGGACCTTAAATATATAAATTGTTCTGTTCATTCAAATTTAGACATGTACACACATACATACACACACTACCACCACCATCGGTGTTTCTTAACCATTTTTTTTTTTAATTCAGGGTGCACTTGTAGAATAACTAAAGTTCTGAGGTGCACTTAAAATTTTACTAAAGAAAAATTAGTCATGAAATTTGAAAATAATAAAAAAAAATTTCCTGAAATAAGCATTTATTTTTAAGACATTTATTTGATTGTATATGTAAGCAGTACAGTTTTCATTTAAAGGGATTCTGCTTTTTTTTTTCTTTCTTTTTTAGAGAGACTGATAGTGCTTGATTTAAATCCCTTGATGAAGGCAAAAGGAAAAAAGATTATTCACTCTTGAAAGATTAAGGAATTTAGCATCCAGTTTAATATATCAAATGACAAAACTTAGACATGGAAACTTGATGTCTGTTGCTTTTTTTTAAAAATAAAGATTTTTTTTTTTATTTTATATATAAAAATAATTCATAAAATACTCTTCTGTTAACTTGCAGTGCACCTGGCTACCTTTCAGGGTGCATTAGTGCACCCAGATGCACTGGTTGATAAATGCTGATCTATACTGAATATGGAGTTAGGCTCAGCATAAGTACTGGTAGTTTTTGGAGTTTGGATAAAAGACAACCAGATTCCTCAAATTTGCATGTAAGACCTAAGTAATCTATTTTTAGCTATTTGGTAAGTGAGGTAGGGGTTAAAGGGACTCACATGCCATCAAATAGATCACTTTATGGTCACTGATAGGTATATATCAGGTGTATAATAAAAATGTTATTTTTTTACATTTTACTATTAATAAGAATTTATTTACATTTATTATTGAAAGAGGAATAATTTATAATAAATACTTTTCAATTTTTTTTTTTTTTTTTGCTTAATTTACCTTTTGCAGTTGACTTTATCTCTTAACTAGAGATGTATAAATTAAAAAAAAAAAAGCTTGAACTCTTACCCAAATCTAGTAAGTACATCTGACTTGAATATTACCAATCACCTTTGACTTTTGATTCATTCGGCTCAGTTCATATTTTCTTATTACATACATATAGAATGTAATGACCATAAAATGTAAGAATAAAATGAAAGAAAAATTAGTTGGAAAAATAATGCTAAAATACTTAATCTAAAGAAAGGAACAACATAAAATTCTTTTAATGAATATCTGATTTTAATTAAAATTTTAATTTGATGTTATATTAGATCTTCCCACTTTTCCTCAACAAAATTCCTTCTGAGTCTTATCTATAAAATTGTCTTACTTTATTGGCTAATGTTTTTATAGTCATTATAGATGACCAGGATATTTACCTATCCTTATTATATAATACTGTGTAATTTACTTAGCCTGTATTATATAATACTATATGAAATGTAAATAAGTATAGGGTTTTTTATGCCATGCCATCAAATACAGTATATTATTGATAATACTATGTAAATTAATTCAAATAATATTCAGTTTGTTTGGAATTATCATTTAGAGATAATATTTTGATAGGTAACAGCTATTTATTTTTATAGTAAATATATTTATCCCTAACAGGAAGTTACAACTGGATTTGATAACCTACTAGTTCAAAAAATTAATTTATTTATATTGTACCTTTTTTTTATACTGTTTAACTCTATGATAATTTGTAAAGTGTATCTTATAGTAAAGGAGAAACCAAAGACTCTGGTTTCTGCCTATTTCAAATAAATGTATTCATAGTGACATGCTTTGTTTTGAAGTAGCATTAAACATCGAACATACAAATTGAGCTATTTATCATTGTTGCAATATTTTGAATTGACTTCTATTGTAAGATTGTACTGAAATTGTTTAGAAAATGTAGATTACTAGTATATATTGATATTTTTAGCAGTAAACAGTCTGGGTTAGTGATTGTATGTGGAGATTGCATAAATTTTATTTCTTTTGATAGTCAAGTTTTTTGCTCTGGTGGTAAGAGAAATGAACATTTTATATAATGATCATTAGCTAGCTCTTTGCAAGGTAAATTATTATAGCAAATTGATTGGCATTAAATGACTCAAGTTTTGATGTGTCTAAAACAAAGTTCTATTCATCTTTTTTAATGAATTCTTCATTACAACAAGGATTGATCTATAATTAACTAATTAGAATATATGGATACATCTCATTTGTTAAAAGTACTTGAAACTGGTAAAATTATCTCACAATTGCTCACATTAACTTAATGGTCATTCCTCACTCTTTCCCTGTTTTCATTTTATTCATTGAAAAAACAAAGTATAGAAAAAAAAATTTAATTTGTTTTTGTCCAATTTTGATTTAGCAAGGTGTATTCCTTGTTTTAATAGCTCCATTTGTTAATATTTACAGGTTATATGTAGGTGCATCAAAAAATAGGTAGCTTAATGATTAAAAAATAAAAAAAACATTTATCTCACACAATAAAATTATTTTTCATCATAATCTTTGTCAATGCAGTCAATTAAGTGGTGAATATTAATTATATAATTTATACATTTAAAAATTTTGATTCAAAATTCTGTTTCTAGCCATGTGTCAGGCTGAAGACTTAGTGATCCAAATTTTTATTTGTTTCAACTAAAATTAAAATAAATATATACACTTTGGGGTGGGGTATTCATATAAGGTGCTGAACCGTCTCCTCCATCACTTTCTGATGCTTGCTTATTTGGTCAGGTTTTGGGAAGTAAGTTGGAGCAAGAACTTTTTAGCACCCCCATCATATATATCTCTCTAATATATATATATATATATATATATATATATATATATATATATATATATATATATATATATATATAAAATTTCAAAAGAAGTAATGGGTATTTTACTTATTAATCTGACAGATTTTAACATTTATTAATTTTGTCTACCAGCCAGAATATGAGGTTGCATATTTTTTCTTCATTAGGATTTCTTTGACATTCGGGACGGTAGATGAAAATGAATAAATATTCCATTTAATAAATAAACGTAGCCTCTACTCAAATATGAGTGCCCACTAAAATGACGTTTATATGAAAAATATATAATCTTTTAATGTAAGTCTACAAACTTAACCTTCTGCAAAATGTATAGCATATGAGATGTTCTGAAACAACCTAATCTATAGATTCAACTCTTGTCACTGGCTACTCTGAACCAGTGTTTGTTTACATATCCACTACATGTAAAGAGTGTCAGCTGTTTTAATTTTAACTTGTGTTAGAGAATATTTGTACAAGATAACTGATACAAGAGATATTCTATTTAGATGCATATGTACTCTCTTTTCAGTTAAAACTTGCACAATTTACTGAAGGAACTATTGATATGTTCTCCCATGATAATGCAGTATTAAAAATAGAAACATTTAAATATTATAAACAGGGCCAGTGCAAGGGTCTGTCTCGTGCCCCCCCCCCACACACACACACCAAATCTCTATTACAGAGCCTCTCCCACTCTAATACATTTCAATTTTTATAAGGTAGTATTTATATAAAATACAAATTTTATTGTAGCCTAATTATGTACAATACTTGATCATATGCAAAATGGGTGAACAATTTGAGAAAAATTGAAAATAAATACAATGTATCTAAATACAAATGAGAGACAATAGATCATTCTATCTTAAATCAATGTTTTACAGCAATTTTTAACATGAACTTGAGATTTTTGTTGTTAAAAAGTTGAATAATTTTAACACATTCAACATTATGGATAAAAAAATAGTAAATTTTATAATGTTTTTTAGACTTAACATGAGCAAAACAAATTTATGGATTTAACCAAAAGAAAAAAAGGACCAAGGAATATACCAAATTGTATGTCCTTTAATAGTCTTTGTGCTTAGTTTAATTTGTAATGTATATAAATGTAAGTAAGAAAAAGCAAATGTTGATAAGATAGTGAGTTACAAAACACTCCCCAGGTCGCCAATCTGCCCCCTCCACCCCCTGGTGATAGTACACACTGCCCCTGATTATGTATATACATAAAAAAATAGTAGTTAACTATTTCATGCTATGATTACAACTATATAAAAAAATTGAGCAAATTGTGCAAAATGTTAGGATTTTAAATTTTTTATATTTTTTAATTAAGTTTGAATGTTTAAAAATTTTATTGATTTACGTATATTCAAATTGATACTGATTTTTTTTATAATGAATATTTAATGTTACAAACATTCAGCTCCAAGCTCAATTATATTCAAATATACCCCAGCATATTTACAGTCTCAGTTTATGATTATAATCTTTCTATTATATTCTACAAACTATCATAGATCTTTTGATACAAAAGAGAGAAAGAAGTCTTTTATGAATAGTGAACATTCTGAAATCAATAATTGTGGGCCAAGTATTATTTAACTGCACTTGTGATGAACACATATCAGCCAACTGTGAAAGCATTCAGAGTTACTCAGCTTCACATGCATTTTGATTTAATCTCTGCATGTCTTTGTTGCAGCATGATATTCATACACTCTTTTGATTTTTTTTTTTTTTTTTTTTTTTCTAAACAGGAGGATTGACTGCACTTCTTTTCTTTTCTATATATAAAAATCCTTCTAATGAATTTGGTAGGTAGCACTTTTTAACTTGATGCTAGTTGAGAAGAGGCCAAAAAAGAGTAAGAAAAAAAAAACATTAATTCTCAGAAGAACTGTATTCCTTACCACCTTACTTTTCATTAATTCATAAAGGACTCGGGTGTTTATAGTTTGTAGAATTTAATGTAGACTAGATTCTTGGATAGTAGTGATGATTGGAGTGGGGGAATCTCTTACAAAAATAAAACGTTTAATCTTTTGAAGACCACATTTTTTATCTTTCTTTTCTTTTCTTCAAATGGCTCAAAATATTTTCCAATTCTTATAGGCTACCTACCAACCAAACTTAGTGGTGATGGGGTATCATATACCATCAAATATAGTAATTTTCTTTGAGGTTTTTTTTTTTTTTAATCATCTGTTGTATACTAAGAAAATTATTTTTATCACATAACTGATGTAGATACCACAATTTCAGCATTTTAACTGGCAATAGAAGTCAGTATCTGTCTCCAGTTTGTATGATTTTTAACACAATAGTAGCAGTATTTCATTGTCAGTTATTTAGCCTGGTAGAAGAAAAGCAATATTTTATTTCATTTATATATATATATATATATATATATATATATATGATTGTTTATATTAGGATTCACTTCACTGCTGCCAGCTTGATGTCAACTGAGTGGGATGGGGAGAGGGGGAGAAATACATGATCAGTGTGTATATTTGAACACTGGTTCTACTAGCATTTTTCATTTAGGAGAACCAGCATTCATGTAAAGTCTCTCTCTCTCTCTCTTTGTCTGTCTCTCTTTTGCATGCACACAGTTCAAGTGCTGTTTTTCTGACCTTCTACTATACACTGACAGTAGTCATATCCTGTGTAATCGCTACATGAACATGTGATGCTCTCTTATTCTTTCTCTCTGGATTTTGACTGGGTCATCTTAGTAATGTATCCTAAATTTCAACCAGGACTTCTATTCAAATGGGACTGACAGGTTAGTCTACCCCCACCCCTTCCCTAATCATTATTTACTCTTCTTGAAATATCTACAAAGCATTTACCTGTTTAGTGAATAAAACGTGGTGTTTGAGAATGGTAGATTTGACACACTTATGCTGTCTTGAATCCCATCATCTCACATTTGCTTTCAATGCTGAGGGAAGAATCGTTTAAATTTGTCATACTGAAAGACTTTAAAAAAAAAAAAAAAAAAAAAATATTTTTTTTGGTATACAGTACAAATATTTTTTGTAGCAACAAAAAGTTTTTTTTATTATTATTATTATTATTTTGTTTATTTTTGTCCATCTATATTAATAATTTATTTTCTGTAATTCTAGTGGTATATAATATACTGATTTTATTGTATTTATTTTTTGATTCCCGCCATACCAAAGTTTAATTTAGAAGGTTTAAGTTAAATAGAAATGTTTTTTTGTAAATTGTCAACATCAAACAATTGTTTCTTACAATTCTCTTTAATTGCAATAACTTTGTCTAAAGAAAAAAAAATCCCTTAATTATTTAATGAAGCATTGTCATTATTAATTTTTAATTAGTACTTTTTCATTTTTTTTTTTTCATTTCATTGTTATTTTTACAACAGTTAATAAACAATGCATATTTGAAATAAAAATTATATTATGTGTGTGTATAGAGAAAAAGCCCATATCTTTTGATTTGAACTTCTGCAAATATTGGCATATGATCACAAGAAGCTAAGCAACATCAAGTCTGGTCAGTACCTAGATGGGTGAGCACTTGATAATACCAGGTTCTGTAAGCTTGGATGTATGGGTGGCATAATGGATAATGGCTTAGAATTGTTAATTGGAGAGCAGAGTTCCAATTCCAGTTGGTATCATTATATTCACTTATGAGCAAAAAACCCTCTGAAAAGGTATGAATCCACCTCTTCTCCACCCCAGTTACAAATTATTTAGTAAAATTTGTATCACTAAACCATTATCAAAAAAGAAAAAATAATTACTATCTAAAAGTATTTTCTGGCTTTAAATGACCTGCAAATGGTTAAGCTGTAGAAAACTGATCAATCAATCTAAAATTATTGCCTCCTATGTCTCAAATGTTAGAGCAGCAGTTATGGAAAAACTGGTTTTCTGATTGAAAAGAGTTTTTGCTAAAAGTTTACTCTATATTTCCAATCAAAACTGTTTTCTAGCAGCTCTAGATCAATGGTTTGAAGAGTTGTAAATGAAAAAACAAATTAAAATGAAAGAAGTATTAGTTAAAAATTAATAATTTGTCATCTGTAATATAAAATGCAGTGTGACAATTATATTTAGTAGTCATTCAGTCTGATCTCCCCTATCTCATAATGAAATATTCTAATATTATAGCAGGAAGTATGATTCAACACCAGTAAGCAAATAACTCATTAGTAAGTAGGCCTGGTCAGGCTGCTTATATATTGGATTTTATTTTATTTTTTGTTTTGTTTTTTATTTTTATTTATTTTATTTTTATTTATTTTATTTGTTTATTTTATTTTATTTATTTTTATTTTTATTTATTTTATTTTTTATTTATTTTATTTATTTTATTTTTATTTTTTTTATTTTATTCTTTTAGTATTTTATTCTTTTAGTATTTTATTCTTTTAGTATTTTATTTTTTAGTATTTTATTTTTTTAGTATTTTTATGCTTAATATTTTGAGAAGCAAACTTATTTTTTAAATGTAACAATAGTTAATTGTATAGCTAAGATTAATATTACTTGTGCAGAAATGATACCCAATGCAATTGCAAAATTACTTAAATCTGGCCATCATTTCTTGAGAGTATAGATAAACTTGTAATTAATATGAAAAGTATTGTGCTCAAATAAGACATTTTTTAAATGTGCTGTCAGAAAATTTCTCCTGTACTTCTTGCTTGTAGAACTTCCTGCTTTTCTGTTAACTACGATCTTCAAAAGTTTAAATGCAATGTCAGTCATTATCTTCTGTCTCTTTGAATCTTTTTTTATTGTCCTCCATGTTTCTTTCACTCTGAATAACCACTTGCATCTTAATGGCTTTTATTCCTTGATTGAGGTGAAATGATTTTTTTTTAAAAATCAGATTTGATAGTTTGAATGTGGTGAGTCATTTTGAAGGTTTTTGTTCTTTTCTCACCACATGCAACAACTTGGATCATTTTACAGCCAATTGTAAGCAATCTTCTATGTGCCATGACCCTTCAGGTTGTTAGCAATCATGGCTCTCCACAATTTCCTGTCCTTTGTATTTCTTAACAAATTTTGTCTTTTTGTTATTTCTCCTAAATCCTGTTCTGTCATCCACTTACCCTAGCTTGTTAGGTAGGTAAAGCATTGCCTACCTATCTCCTGAAGATGATTGCCTTCAATATGTTTTGTGAGTATCAAATTTTCCAAGCCCTTTTTCCTTATGTGTCCTAGAAATTTCAGCTGTCTTTTTATATATTAAGTATAAGTGCCCTTTTTGTTTCCATTTTCTCTAAAAACAATGTTGTTCATATTTTTGTTCCATGGCATTTTCAGCATCCTTCTGTATAATCGCATTTCTGTTGCTTCAAGTCTCTTCATCTTTGAGATGTTCCAGCATTCACTGCCATATAGGAGAACATAACTGTTCAGTACTTCTTTCTTTGTTCATGAACTTGCATCCCTTTTCTTGTGATATTTATTAACAGTTATGGAATAATGATCTGAATAGTTGCAATAAAAGTAACTGTAATTAAGATTAAAAAAATACTAGTTAATAATGAATAGAAAATTGTTTTGGAAATAACATTAATTGGGTATAGTTGTACAGGATTAGCCTCAACTTGTCAGTGCAGGAGGAACCTGTTTCTTTTTGTATTTGCCTCGTAATTAAACTTTTTCATATACATTATGAAAATGGGACCTTTATTATTATTTTAATATAAGGCCCAAGAGCCACACAAGGTACAAAGTTACTGAATGAGGTAAAATGGGAACATAGAAAGAAGAGGAGGTAAGAAGTGCAGATTATAAGGATATATAAAAAGATAATGGTTGGCTCTAGACTTGAAGAGGTTAAGAATGTTGCAATTGGGAAAGCATCCATTTGCTAGTCTATCCCATAGTAACGGTTCTCAGGAAGAAACTGTCAAAATTTCTTAATGAAATATAAAGAGAATAAGGATGATTTGTCTCTGTAGTGATATAATTGAACTACAAATTGTGAATAAGTACTACAAAGAATATTGTATTAAAAAAAATCACAGAAGTGAGAAGTAGTTTGATTATATGAGGTGGCATGCTCAAAAGTTTTTGGCTTAACTTCATTGCTAAAGTATCTCAATTATTAAACATCCATTTTAATATTTATCTTTTTAAGAGTTAAAGAAATTCAGTTATGTGCCATGCATGATACATGCTTAGGCAATCATGTATCTTTTGATACATGACTGATGAGGCAGATTTTTTTCAACACAGTAGGTTGCCATTTCTTTCTGCAGTAGACCAGTTGCCATCCAAACCTACAGAAACCGGGTCTGTCCTGCTATTTACCCATAGCTTGGGGGGGGGAGAAGAGGATTCATACCTTTCCCAAGGGTATTAGCACGTAAGTGTTATGTGATATCTGTCCTCGTACATGGCAGTGAATGCTGGACAATATCCTCAAAGATGAAGAGACTTGAAACAACAGAGATTCTGAAGATACCATGAACTAAATATGTACGCTATGATGAAGTTTTAGATAAAATGGAAACAAAAAGGAAACTTAAACATCAGGAAGAGACAGTTGAAATTATAAAGGCACATAATGAAGAAAGAGGGCTTGGAAAATCTAATACTCACAGGACATATTGAAGGCAAGAGTTACAGGAAAACAATGCATAACATACTTAGTAAGCTTGAATAAATAGATGGCAGAACAGGGTTTAGGAGAAATAACAAAAAGACAAAATTTATAAAAGCAAAAAAGGACAGGAAATTGTAGAGAGCCATGACTGCTTACGTCCTGAGGAAACACGGCATGTAAAGATGAATTAAACTTGAAATAATTGCATATTGGAATATAATTGACTTACAGACAAGAAGTGCAAAAATTTATTAAAGTTTAGGATTTTTTTCTAATATTGCATTCAAACAAAACAAAAAGTGGCCATGCAATCTTTTCTTTTTAACTCCACTTGTAAAAGTTTGGATATTATTTGATTGTATCGTACATCTATTTGCTTATTGGAGCTTGATATTTTATATGCCTTTGTTTCAATTTGTTTTTTCAGTCAGGGAATTGCTGAGGAGAATGAAGACCCTGAACAACAAGAACACATTCACACAAAGTTAGTATCTATGCACCTTTCTCAACTACCACACCACTTCTAAAAAAAAAAAAAAAAAAAAATTTATACGTCTATTTTTCTCCAAAACTAAAATCATTCTTTTTTTAATTTGAATGTTTTCATGTGTGTACTAAATATGCACTATTTATTTAAGCGTAATAAATTTAAATTTATAGTTTTGAACATAAATTCAATGAATATTTTGTAATATATTGTTAGTTTTTTTTTGTTTTTTTTTTTTGTGCTGGGATTTTTTTGTCTTTGCCAAGATTCTGTAAAGATCTCCTAAAAGAAGAGTATTCTTTCAGTTATCTCCATTTCAAAATTTCCACACAATTTTTTTTTTTTTTTTTTTTTACCCACAGTAGCCTCTGATTTTGACGTGTGTGTATAGATGAAGAAACCTTTCAGCCTTTAGTCCTTGTTAGGAATAAAAACATTATTTTCTTTTTTTCTTCTTCTTTTTTTCTTCTTCTTTTTTTCTTCTTCTTTTTTTCTTCTTCTTTTTTTCTTCTTTTTTTTTTCTTTTTTCTTTTTTTTTTCTTCTTCTTTTTTCTTCTTTTTTCTCTTTTTTCTTCTTTTTTCTTCTTTTTTTCTCTTTTTTCTTCTTTTTTTTCTTCTTCTTTTTCTTCTTCTTTTCTTCTTCTTTTTCTTCTTCTTCTTTTCTTCTTTTTTTCTTCTTTTTTTTTCTTCTTTTTTTCTTCTTTTTTTTCTTCTTTTTTTTCTTCTTCTTTTTTTTCTTCTTTTTTTTTTCTTCTTCTTCTTCTTTTTTTCTTCTTCTTTTTTTCTTCTTTTTTTCTTCTTCTTCTTCTTTTTTGGATTTTTTGTCTTTTGCCAAGATTCTGTAAAGATTGCTAAAAGCTAAAGAGTATTCTTTCAGAATATTTCAAAATTTGCCACAATTTTTTTTTTTTTTTTTACCCACAGTCAAGTAGCCTCTGATTTTGACGTGTGTGTATAGATGAAGAAAACTTTCAGCCTTTAGTCCTTGTTAGGAATAAAAACATTATTTTCCATTTTTTTTTTTTTTTTTTTTTTTTTCTTTCTCACCCCCTTCATTTAATGGTGACTTGTGCTCCTACATTTTTACTTTTAACTAACTGAACTTTGGACAGCATGGTTTACTAAATTGTTAATATCTGCATATTGCATGGAAGAATGTTTGAATTTTTTATTTTAATTCTCATAGTTTTAACGATTTTATTTATTGGCATTGCAAGCTAAATTGAGATTTGTCTGAAATGTTTATACTTTGATATTGAAAATTGTAACAAAAAGTAGTTATTGAACTTTTCCACTTACATTTTAACATGTAAGAATTTGAAAAAATATTATTATATAATAATTGATAAATTTGATTGACTCTTAAATGATTAGATTAGGAATAAATTCAGTTGGATTAGGATCCCTCACATTTGTTTTCAAATATATCTAATATGGAAACTGTTTCTTTAAAGTTATTAGCTCTGTGATACTATTCTTGACTGGACTAAAACATGAAAAATGCTCAAATAAAAAAATCTATTCTACTTGTAGCTGAAACCAAGTTGAACAATTTCAATGTTTTATTATAAAAAGTTTATTAAGCATTAATGACATGATTGGTTTGTTACAATATGTTAAATATTATAAATATTAACATCAGTTTTCTGTATGATTTATTTATAATTGAAAATAACTAAATATACTTGCAAAAGTAAGTAATTTTTAAGCTAGGAGATTTGTTCTTGAAAGTAGCAAAAGCAATTATGTGGAGAATATTTTTCAAGACTCCCATCAGCAGATGCCTAAAACTGCAGATAGTACCAAACCATCTTATACATACATAAGTACATACCTATGATTCAGTTTATAAAGAGACTAACAACAATCTAATTATAATTATACTTGTCACTCTCTTCCTTAGCAAGTACCATTATACCATGCCAATGCTTCATAATGGATTATTCCATTTTGATAGAAAAGACATCTGAGACACTGTTTGATTTCAGTGAGAAAAAATCAAGCAAAATTCAAACAGGAAAGCTGTGAAATTTTCATGGGTACTGCTAGGAACTAATAATAAAATAGAATAATTATACTGTAATAAAACTTAATTTGACAGATTTGTTCTTATTCTAAAGCATAGAGCAACCTTAGCATATGATTTTTAATCAATTACTATTGAGTTCAAAACTTCCACCTTCTATCTGAAAAGAAGCACTCTGACTTCTCTTTGGAATAGCCAGTGTTGCCACTCCTGCAGTTTAGGACCATTATTAAGTAGAATTGGTGAATTGTTTATTTTTCAGGTTGACTATGGGTAACTAAAATTTTGAAAAGTGAAACAATGTGAAGGGGAGCACAGTATCTTGGTTTCTGTTTTTGTCATTTTATGACTTCTGTTCATGTATGGTCAGGGTAAATCAGATAAACCCTGAAGCTAATATTTTTATGGGAGGCAGGAGTGGACAAAAGGTTTCAGTAAAAATAAAACAAATTTTATCTTTTATCTATTTTTTTCTATCATGTTTCAAGCAATTTCAGAGCTTTTTATCTATTTCAGCAAACACTGCAGTGATAGATGAAAAGTTATGAAATTACATAAAATCTAAAAGGTGCTTTTTATGATCTTTTTGGGAATTGGATTTCTCTCCGCTGCTTGCTCTCTTTTGAAAGAGACTTCTATAAAAATTGGCATAAATTGTAATAATTTGAAAGTACAATATCTGGTGAATATGGTAAATAAATAAAAACTTCCCAGCCAAGCTGTAACAATAATTACCTGATCATGCAAACCTATAATTGTCCTAACATAATCCAAGGAAAAATCTTTTTGATAAATCAGTATTACCATAAAATAGCTTCTTCATTAATATTCTTTATATTTAATGTTAAATTTTGTTTAGCAGATGGAATTTAGTGTTTCATACATTTGCACATCAAACAATATTTAATTCTTTATATTTTTTACTTAGCTCTAGAATTATTTATCAATATTGATTTTAAAATTGATCATTTAAAAATTATCAGTTAATAAAAACAATTTTTAAACTTTTTTTCTCTTAGCATTAATGAAACCATCAGTGAATCTATGGAATCTCTTGATGAATGTAAGTAAAATATATTTTCTGTATTTTTCTTCTCTCTCTCTCTCTCTCTCTCTTATTTATAAATTGTCTTTTATTAAAAAAAGTAAACTTTATGAAAATGTCTTTTATTAAAAAAAGTAAACTTTATGAAAATGTTACAAATTCAATACTGTAAAAATGCAAGTTGGATACTCTGTTGTGTCAAAAGTTTTGGGATATGAGCCAAGTATCATAATGGACTTTTTTTTTTTTTTTTTTTTTTTTTTGTCCACTTGGCAATTTGGTTATTGATGACTGCATTATCCTGTTTAAATAATCCTTCATTATTGGTGTACATGAAATCCATGAACTGGTGTAAATGGTCAGTATGCAGTGCAATGTAACATATTAAGTCAGACCATTTAGCTAGGAAAGTTGGTTCACTGTGTTGTGCTAGACGATTTTATTTCTAGAATCTATTTTACATATTTATAAGTCCACCATTCTTCCTTGCTTTGAATATTGCTGTCACATCTGGTTTGGTGCCTCTGCTATATATTTAGAGATTCTTGATAAAATCCAAAGAAGAATCTGCAATGTTGTTGGTCCTAACCTGTCATCTTGGCTTCAGTTACTTTCCCAATATAGCTTCCCTGTGCTTTTTCTATAAATATTTTCCATGTAATTGTTCTGATGAACTTCCCTCTTTGGTACCTAGACTTTATGAATTCAAGCACAGTACTAGATTGGCAGCAAGGTCTCACCATTTTACTATTGAAATGACTAGATGTAAAAAGTTTTATACTGACAGTTCCTTCTATTGCACTTCTTGTTTGTGGAACTCTCTTTCTCAGTTAACTTTGATCTTCAAAAATTTAAATACATCAATCATTATCTTAATTCTTGTTTGTTTAATGTCATTTTTCCTTAATATATTTTTCTCATTCTCTTGTACTCAGTAACACTTTACATCTTATTGGCTTTATTGCCTTGTTTTGGGTTAAATGATTAAAAAAGAAGGGGAAAAAAAAGACCAATGGAGTCAACACATTCCATGTGAACACACACTACACCATTATGGAACCATGAATAGTCTGCATAATGTTCTGTTGGCAACTGGGGTTTATGACCTCATGGGGTATGCACTACACTATGAACCCTACCATCAGTATGAAATAACTAGAATCATGTGTCTGGCCCAATTTTTAATGTTGCAAGTGCAGTGGAAGCACTGTTTAATGTTGCAATGTCAGTAGAGACACTCTAGCCTATCTCATGCTCCCATATCCTATAGAATATGCATATCCAGAAAGTCAGTTCATTATTCTTATGTTGAACTAACTTGTTGGATATGTATTTGGCAGCTTCTGCATTGGATGTGATTTGCGCTTACCATTCTAGCCAGATGCTTCTGAGGTCAATCATTAAGGACTTTTGGTTGGCCATTGCACTGTCCAAAGTGCACAGAAATCCCTTCCATTACGAGTTCTTGGCACATATGTGACACTATAGATATGTTCCTACGATTTTAGAAACAGAATGCCCCATCTATTTGGTACCTATTATCATGCTTCATGTATCTGCTCTACCTGCTAGCATGCCCCATTGGAACTGATAATTCAAGTACAATAGCCAGTGTTTGCACTGACTCACAGGATGTGAGAGTAAGTGATCTAGGTCTGGGTATTTCCATGACATCAATATCTGGTCATACCACCTACCATAACCTTAACATACTGCAATCCCATAACTTTTGGCATGTCAGTATATTTTCTCACCTTTTCAAAACAAAAAAAAAAACTTGTTGCCTTTGTACTAAAATAACTTCAATATTTTCATGCCTTATAAATTCCAAATTTATAGCCATATTGTGATCTAACTATATGTTTTAATTTTGAATGGGCAAATACAATAATTTTCCTCAAACAATAATCATAACTCACAGTGATTATTTAAGAAATGATTTACATCATTTGAACAAAAACTTCTTGGGCGTCATTTGCCACCCAAAGAAGAAAAAAAGAGTATAGGGATTTGTCATGATGTAGATAAGACTCATAGCATTCTTTTGCTGAATGCAACAGATCTGCTAGAAATAAGTTCCCATCTGTTCTCAGAAAGATCTCACGTTTTTCTAATATTGAAAGACAGTTAATGCATAGCATTTATTTATTTATAATTTTCATTTCAATCTCAATCTGAACAGATTAAAAAAAAAACAGTTGTTAACAAGCTTTCACAATCCTTGTCAAGCCACTGCTGCTTGCCAAGGATTGTGCTGACATTCTTTCAGATAAGTAAATTTATTTTGAGAAAAAATCTGGTTTAGAAACTCTATTTCCTGAAAAGTGAAGAATATTGAAGTGTAAATAATTTATTCTCTGCTTCCTAATTTACAAATGATTAAATTGTGCTACAAGAAAGAAATTAATTAAATGAAGAGAAATTAAACCTGAAACTGAAAAATAAACACCATGTTTAATGACAATTTATTTTTCCCCCCTCATATAGCATCAGCAGCTGAAAGTGTGGATCAGATTGTCTTGGAAAATGATCCATTGTTACGTATTGAAGATGATGAGTTGGAAGCATGGAGTATTTCAGTTGATAAGAAGGTAAGTCCATATAATATAGATAAGTAATATAAGTGCTGATTTCATTAGAATCATTTCTTAACAAATATTCCCTTTGTATTTCATTAGTAAGGAGTAAGTTCCTTTCAGACGGCTTCTTCCTGAGAACTGCTTTGTGGAATAGACTCTTGGCAGGATGTTTTCCCAGTCACTACAATCTTTTCTCAAAGTTTAGGGTTAACTGTTTTATTCCCTGCATAACACCATGTACTTCATTTACCTTTTCTTATGCTCATATTACACTACACAGTAACCCTCTACCTTGAGTTGCTCTTGGGTCTTGTATTAGGGAAATATTAGTGTAAAAAAATGCCTATCCTTATTTCTGATGAAAAACTCAAGATTAAAGTCTGAAATCTAATATAGACTTTATATCAATACAGACTTTTTGCATAGCTACTTTACAAAAAAAAAATTTAGAAAGGGAAGTGTTATCAAGAATTGTGTGTACAATATTCATTGAAGTTGTTGATGAACACAATTATGCTGATATATGTAATTGTTCAGTAACCGTAATAATCAAATATAGTAGATGCTTATGGTTGGCAAAGAGAAAACATTGCTTTTTTTTTTTTTTTTTTTTTTTTTTTTAAACAAAAACTATAATAATATATGTATGTCAAGAAACAAAATATACTTAACATATGAGGGCTGTTGCTCTAACATTATGTGAGACTTACTGAGTGAGCTACAAGTGAACTTAATTCTTAGAACTAATGACTATTTAAAGAAAACATTCACAGCATACCATAGTCACTTGAGAAAGGTTGAATCATGAACAATGGGGAATGGAAACCAAGACCAGGAAAATAATTGAAAGAAGCCTTTGAATGATAACAACTCTTCAAAATTTTAAATAAAAATAAAATATATTCAGGATTTTTTTTAAATTGCATAAATAGTTTCTTGAGGTAGATAAGATAAAAATGATTTAAAAATTTTCATTGTGTTATATTCATAACTGTCACATGCCAAATTTTCATTAGCTATTGTATTTTAGGTGATGTAATTTCTTTTAAAAAAATTCTATTTTTTATATATATATTTTTTTTATTGAGAAAGTTTGAATAGTTTAAAATCTGAGGGTAGGGAAAAGCTGTAAGACTTTGTAAGAAAGTTTAACTGGAAACCAAATCGGTTTATCTTTGTCAAGTTATTTTAATACTTATTTTCGTATGTGTAGTCTGTATAAAATCTGGTACAATCCAATTTCATGAATGCTTGTTATATTTAAGTATATAGTTAATAATAAAGTTTAATTGACTTAGCTTCAATTTAAAGTTTTACAGACAAGGACCTGAAATAAATCTATTGAATTCATTAACAGATTTCACATTTGTTTTAAATATTTCATATTTGTTTTAAAATATTTTTATTTAACTATTAATGATTATTGCTCTATTTTTTTTAATATTGATCACTTCATTTGCAAAAACCTGCCTGCTTTGAATGCATTATTTGTCAGCAATTTACTGGTGGATGTGTTAGGCAAAAATTATCTTTATTATTGAAATATATATTTTAAATAAGCAATTTAAAATTTACAAATGGAGTAATTTCAGTGAATTTTTAATAATATTGTGACAGAAGCTATAAAATTATACTATAACTATTGAAATGAGTCACATCTCCTTTACACCAGGGATTTTCAAACCACTATCTGATAATCATATATTTTCTTTGTGTGTAAATATCATATTTTTTGTTCTGAATCAAAGTTGATTAGAAAAAAAAAACAGAAATAAAATATTTTTTCATTTTTTTTTTTTTAATCTTTATGCATTTAGATATACTTGATAAGATACAAAGAAGAATCTGCAGTGTTATTGATCCTGACCTGGTATCTTGGTCTCAGTCATTTTCCCAGTACCAAAACATAGCTTTCCAGTGCCTTTTCTATAAGTATTTTCATGCTAGTTACTCTGAACTTTCTTTTATGGTACCTAGACTTTATCAATTTAAGTGTACTACTAGATTGGTGGCAAGATCTAATCTTACAGTTGAATTGGCTAGATGTAACCGTAAGTTCTATGCTTGCAGTTTCTTTTCTCACACTTCTTGTTGTGGAACTCTTGTAACTCCATGCTTTCCAGTCAACTTTGATATTCAAAAACTTAAATGCAATGTCAATCATTATCTTCTGTCTTCATAATTTCTGTCCTTTTATTGTTCTCTCTCTCTTTAATGTTATCATATTCTCTCACACTCAGTGATCCCTTGAATCTTAGTGGGTTTATTGCCTTGCTTGGGGTGAAATGATTTTAAAAAAAGTCTTGATAAAATCTGTAAAATATATAATGTTACTTTTGTATAGAAAAGTTTTATACTAATTCTCTATTTCATAGATAAAAGCCACTGATATTTTACAACTAAATTCAATTTTATTAAAAAGCAGACTTGAACACTTTTTACAGTAGTAAAGTTTTTAAATTACTTATTTGGGAGTGTTGACAATTTAAATTTTATTTTGTTCTACCTGGAAAATGGGTTAGTGACCAGGTGGATAATTGGGGACAAAGAGAATTGTAATGTTCTCAATTTGTACAAAAATGTTTTCTAGCTGTAACAGAGCAGGTGGCTTGCTATGGTTGAGTTGCATAACAAGAGATATCTTTGAGAAAACAGATCTGCTGCCAAGTAGAATGTCAAAGGAAAAAACAAATTTAGTATATTTGTTCTCTTTAATTTAGAGAGGTCATTTTTCTTCTACCTGCATATAAATTGATACTTGTTTATGTTAACTCATTAATGCTCACCATCTTGTTTTTGGAATGGGAGACATTAATGAGTTAGTTACCTTTTTAATACTGAATTTTAATTTTTGGGATAAACATCGAATTTTGTAGTGACCATTAATAGGTTAATGGAATTGACTATAAATCCAACTATTTTTTCTTTTGTAAATTCAGTCATATTTTTTTTCCTTTTTATGAAGCTTCAGATGAATATAGTGTTAGTCATCTTTGTAGACAGATGAATGACTATAAATACTTGTTTAAAGCATTGGTTTTATATCATTATCAAGAGATTTTTTTTCTCTTAATTATTTCATCCCAAGCAAGGCAATAACGCCATGAGGATGCAAGGAGTTATTGGGTGTTAGAAAAATGAGATAAACTGCTATTAAGGAGAGAGAACAATAAAACAACAAGAATTAAGAAGACAGAAGATAACTATTGACATTGCATTTAAATTTTGGAAGATCAAACTTGACTAGGAAGCAAGAAGTCTGAAGAGAATTCAGCAAGTGAGAAGTGTGATAGAAGAAACTGTTAGCATAGAATTCATGGTTACATCTAGCCATTTCAACTCTAAAATGATGAGACCTTGCTGCCAATCTAGCACTGCACTTAAATTCATAAAATCTAGGTAGACTAGAGGAAACTTCATCAGAACATGTACCATGAAAGCATTTATAGAAAAGACACAGGGAAGCTACATTACAGCTTTTATATTTATTTGCCATATTAGATGGCTTGTAAAATCCACTTTTTTTTTTTTTCCTAAAAAATGACTACCAGTACCACATTATTATTGAAAAGGTTTTTGATGTTGCATGTTTTGTTAAAGGTTTTTTTTCTTCTTCTCAACTGTAGCTACATATTTTACTAACATTAAAATATTTACCCATAAATACAACTAAAATTTGTTTTCTTTATATTATCTGCTTAAATTGGTGGTGGTGGGGAGTCTGATATACCATCATTTTTTTTTTCTTTTAAGAAAATTTAAGGCAATATTTAAGTTAAGAAACCTCAAGACAGTTTTCTGTCAAGTCTTTGAGTCTTATTATTAATAATAATATATTTTTTTTACTTTTGTTATTCTTTGAACATGTATCAGAAATAAAGAAGGTTTGAACTCACATTCTCTTTCCTCAATAACTTGTGATATGGACAAGTCATTTGTCAAATTAACAATGGCCTGACCATCACTGACATGGATTTTTTTCAAATTTCGTACACTTATAGTGCTTCATGATATAAATTGAATTGTACCTATTTTACATCTCTAGGTCAAAAGGTTCTCTAGATATGGCCATTTGACCCTTGCCAAATATTGGTGATAGATATACCCTTGTTGATTTGACACAGAATGACTCATTTACTAAGTTGATTTTGAGAACCTCCAACTAGGCAAAGCTCAAATTTATTCATATAACCACATCTTTTTTGCATTCAATTTTCTTTATATCTTAGTCTATTTACACCTGGTAATAAAATCCTCAAGTTATCAAACTAGATAAAAACAATAACAATATGAAAGATAAACTAGTTAAAAATTAATGATACTGAATCTATGAAATTTGGACAATTTAAAAATTAGGTTTACTTCAAGACTTTATTCCACAAATGATGATTTATGATGGTTTTTCCATGGCTGTTGTTAAGTGATTTTTGAAGTCTGTAAGGAAGAGGTAGGCTTTTCTACATCAACTGCAGCATAGGTCTGTCAGCTGACAGATGATCTGACCTTACAGAACTATTTTTTCTCCTGCAATCAGGTGATTGCCTGATAGATTCTGTGTCTCCGTGTCACCAGCCTCTCTTTCCCACTGAGAGTAGTTGAATCTACAGCAGATGAGGGTCATTTTCAAAGAGTCCTTGTATTTTCTCAGTGTAACTTCAGACTAGTTTTCTAGGAAGGTCTTTAGAAGATGAAATCCCTTCATCCTCATCACATAACCAGTCTATAGCAATTATCTTTTGTAGCATTGCATCAGCATCTCTAGATTCTTAACAAAATCCAAAGAAGGGTCTGTAATATTATCAATCCTAACTAGGCATCTCAACTTCAGTTACTGTCTCACTGGTGTGACATGGCTTCCTTCTGCCTTTTCTACAAATGTTTTTAAAAGGCAACTGCTCAGATGAGCTTTTTTCCCCCCCATGTTGAACCAGACTACATGAATCTAAGCCTGCTACTACATTGGCAACTAGGTCTCACTGTTTTACTGTTGCACTAGCTCTAATGCAACCATCACTTCTACTCTAACAGTTTCTTTTCTCGTACTTCCCATCTGTGCAATTACCTTCCTATTTCTTGCTTCCCTGATAACTACAATCTTCAAAAATTTAACTGTAGCGTCAGTTGCCATCTTTTGTCTTCTTGAACCCTGTTCCTTTTTTGTCCTTTCCTAAATCCTCCCCACTTTCAGTCTTCTCATTCTCTTTCACTCTCCCTCCCTGTAACCCCACTGCATTCTAGAGGCATTATCACCTTGTTTGGGATGAAATGATTCAAACAAAAAACACTTGTAATCCTGACTGAATTTGGAACTTTGATATTAATAATTAGATATGGCTACTATTACAACAACCACTATGATGATATCAAAAAAGGTAATTATTCTAATGTAGATATTTTCAGTCTAATGCATATTTCTAGAGTACATATTCACAGTTAAGAGAAAAAGGTTTTAGTATAAAAAGCTTTTTCTTATGAGTGGATCTTTCAATCCTTCACTGAACTGAGATTCTGTAAATTTTTAATTTTATTGTTTTATCTCAAACAAGTCAGTACTTGATGGAAATCTTAGAAAGTTTCAAAAGTTTACATTGTTTGGGTCTCAGTTTTATATACTTTTACAAGATGTCATTTTGACTTTGATAGCGAAAAAAACAACCACCAAGTTTCACTTACCGTTTTATTTGATATAAGTTAACATTAATAATAGACATGTATCAATGAATAATAGGACAGCAGCTACTTGTATCTAGTTTTTAAATCTGTGTCAACTGTTGTTAGCAATGCCGACCTATTAAAGTCTTAACTTTCTGTGGCTCTGTTGTATGTGGTTTCAGTTTAGATATTTAGTTTTGATTCAAGTCTATGAAGAATTTTTATTCTTAGCTAAGTTCTTTGTATTCTTTTCATCAGTTGCTTTGTTTGTGTGTGTGATAAAAATATATATATATAAATATCAAAATAAAAAAAAAGAAAGAACAGTCAGATTTATAATCCAGAGTTCACACACACACACATATATATATATATATATATATATATATATATATATATATATATATATATATATGAAATCAGCTGATTCCATTACCTTTGTTTCAACCTTTTGGTATCTTCAGGTGATTTCGGTAAATTGATTTCCTAATGCTTTATTTTTTAAAAGTAAAAAAATTTATGAATTTATAAAGAAAAATAAATAAATGAATAAGCACACGATGTGAGGAGAAAAATTAGGTATGATAACATTTCCAGACCAAAAAAAACTTTTGAATCAGAGATTGAAAATTATGACCCATTGTATACATACTAAAAAGTTCCTTTTTGAGTTCATTTAAAGTGGGATGAAAAGAACATGTATATTTCATTTAACCCCCCACCGATACATTTCCAATACACTTGATTTTCCCCTCCTCCTCTACCTCACTAATGCCTATGGAAAAGACATGAATCCATATCTTCTCTCTCCATTTATGGTTTAAATAGCAGATTAGACTGGACTTGAATGGTAGCCAGTCTAGGAGAATGAAAACTCTGAATTCAAAACAATGATGAATGCAACAGGAAACCACTCTTCTCAAAAAAAAAAACCATAGCAATATATAAAAAAATGGAATCTAGATGTATATCATGGAGAGACATAACATTTTTTTTCTTCTTTTAAAGTTTACTACTCTTTCCAAGGAATTTGTGAATTCCATTTGAGCTTTGCCGGTGCTTTTATTGATTAAGCTTTACCTCACGGAACACCATACAGGAGTCACCAATTAGGAAAGAATAAATTTTATGGCTCCAAAAATCCACTATATGGCATAGTATATAGTAAAAATATGAGAATATGAGACAGTTAAAGAAAGCAGCTAATCTTTAAGCTGACCCAATGAATTCCATTTAGGGTTCCACTAATTAATATAGAACAGACATTAAATTTAGATCTAAAAGAAATTGTGACCTAAGTCTCCAGCAAGACTGGATTTTTTTTCTCTAGGTACAGCATACATACCTAGGTATATATAATTTTTCAAAAGCTGCATTACTTTTGTGATTATACATTTTTGCTAGATCCCAGTGTGTTGTATTAGCACATGTGCTAATTCACTGTATTGCAATATGAAATCCTATGTTAGGTAGATTTCTGGTTTGCAAATTTTATTTTATGATGAGATATCATTTGCCTCGAAATCCAGTCTGGCTGGAATATACACTTACTTTTGTAAACATTTAACTAAATAATTCACATGATTTTTATTCATTTAGCTATGTCCCATTGGAAACTCAGGTCAAATTTCTTTTACACTTGAATCTAATTTCTGTTCTATTCTAATTACTGGTCCTAAAACTGTTTTATATTGTCTACTTGACCATGTCCTACTTGTGTAGTGGATTGCAAGACACAGACAACACTGGATATTTCTTTTTTTTTCACCCAAGCAAGGCAATAAAGTCACTAAGGGTTATTGAGGGTGAGTGAATATGAGAAAAAATTATTAAAGAGAGAGAACAATAAAAAAAAAAAAAACCAGGAATTAAAAAGGCATAAGATAATGATTGACATTGCATTTAGGTTTTTGAAGATTAAAGTTAGCTAGAAAGCAAAAGGCAGAAGAGAGTTTCACAAGCAAAGTGCAAGAGAAGAAACTGTTAGCATAGAACTTATGGTTACTTCTAGCCATTTCAATTATAAAATGAGATGAGACCTAGCTGCCAATCTAGTACTAGTCAAGATACCATAGAGAAAAGTTCACCAGAACAACTACCATGAAAATGTATGATATCTAAGACCAATAACATTGCAGATTCTTCTTTGGATTTTATCAAGAATCTCTAAATAATTAGCAGAAGCACCTTCAATGTATGGATAAATAGAAACGTGTAAGATAGATTTTGGCAAGAATTTTTGAACATGTAATAACTTTACATTAAGTTGTAAAGAAAATGGTCATCAACTATATGAAGACAATATTAGTTAATGATTTTAAATTTGAACTGAATATGTCAAAGAAAACTAAATCAAATATCATTTGAAGCCTTGAAATTAAGTACTGAAGCTTTATGCTGTAGTATATCATTATTTTACAGCTTAGAAGATGTGATCCCCATCCCCACCAAAAGGATTTCATAGACATTTACACTGTTCTGATTTTTTTTTTTTTTTTTTTTGCTGTGGCGGTGTAATGAACTGAGTAAGGTATAATTTGAAAACAAAGAACAGGAAAAAATTTTTTCTTTGTGTGTGTGGCCATCATTCTTCAGCATCTCTATAGAAATCATACCCCCCACCCTTATATGCATTGCTTTTTTGTCACTTTTCTATTAGTTTTGTTTGCTGCAAGACAACTCATGTATTCATGAACTGGTGGATATATTTTCAGGTTGTGAAGAAGTTGAGTAGTAAAGAGGTGAAGAGGCAAGATAATATCTATGGTGAGTATTTGGGGATTCATTTCTACTTGGTTTGAAATACTCTTTTGTATTTTTTCTTTATTTTTTTTTGATTTATTTTTTTCACATCTGTCATTTATCAATCTATAGATGGCAATCCAATGTTGCATGACAAACCAGATTTAAAAAACAAAAACAAAAAAAACCCAAACCAAAAGCAGGCACAATCTTAAGGATTGATGTTGACAAGTATGCTGTATTTGTAGTTCTATCTACAAAATATTAAAAAAAAAAACCAAAAACACTTCAAGTAATATTGTTTTGATGTGAACAAATTTTGGATTTCTCAAAATACTGATGTTTGTGCCTGCAGTTTTTTCTAAATTCATCTAAGGCTAAATTTTGTTTGGTCTCAACATTTCAGCCTCTGACTTAGGGACCTATTGTTGGTTCAAAATGAACTTTTATTCAATCCATGAGGATAAACTTTTCATCTCTTAGCATGTTAGTTAATTAATCCTTCTGATGTCACTTTTGCTATTTCCACTGAACCAGAGTATATGACATATACATTTAACATGACAACTAGGCAAAATGCATATATTTAACAAACACTTATATCTATGAGATGATTGCACTGTAAGACAATGAGATTGTATAATTTTAGAGTCTTAAATCATGTCATATCTTCAAAGATAACACAAAGAAAGGATTGGCTCTGAATAACTTTGTAACATCAGGCCAAAAATGCAGTACTGTTGTCCTATTTTGGTGGGAGCTGCCCAGGCCACACTTTTCAGCCTCGATATTTCAAAAGCACCTCCAAGCCTTTGTGGGTGATGAATTATTCCCCGACCAGATGGGACGTGGTGAGCATCTTGCTGCTCTGTCACTACTTCCACAGAAAGGCCTTAGGCAAACTACATTCCCTGGTACTGCCAATTTAAATCTTCATGGCAAGGACACACCATGCCACTTACATAGTAGCAAACTACCCTCATTCCCTCTGTATTCCATTGGTGCAAAGTAAGTTCCACTCAAACAGCTTCTTCCTGTGAACCACTGCTCTGTGGAACCAACTTCCAAGAGGATGTTTCACCAATTACTACATAACCTGTTCAAGGCTAGGGTTAAGTTATCTTCCACTCATATCCATATAAATTGCCTCTTAATGTATCACTCTACCTTGAGTAGCCCTCAGGCCTTGTAATAGGTGAACCTTACTGTAAAAAAAAAATAAAATAAAAGTTCGACACAACCATGTTAGTCTCTCTTCTTTCTCCTATTTTTGGTTTTTCTCTATTATTAACACCACCCTTCTGGTTCCCACTGCCTGATCTACAAACCTCATGTCTGTTCCTTCATGATCAAAGGCTCCTATATGGTGTTCAATTCTATGAAGATGGCAGGAGGATATGATAGCTGATATGTTGTGACAATAATAACCAAGATTTGATTAATAACCTCAATGGTAGAAACAAAAAAAAAATGTTTTTGGGATGTTTCTTACCAGCAAAGTTCAGTAGGATTTCCTACTTGCCTCCATCATAACTAAAAATAAATTCTTTGTACTGATAGTTATCTTTAAAGAAGATGTTCTAGCAGAGCTCTTTGTGCAGTTGAAGGCCGAATGCTTTTATTAATGTGCGAAATGCGTGTGATCTATTTCAAGTGATTTCGTATAAAAATAATGGAAGTTCCATCTGTAAAATTTTGATGACACATAAATTTAATGTGTGTTGCGTGTGTGCTTGCAAATACACTCAAAGCCCACAGACATCTTGGCAATTTTTTCTTTAAAAAGATCTAAAGAACACATTAATGGTCTTAGAGGAATACTATGATGGTTCTTGGAATGGAAATAACAGAACTAATGAGACCAGTCTTCAACATTATATTCCACCTACCCGTTTTTCTACAAAACATTGCTTCTGTGATTTTATTTCTTCTAACATAATGAAAGTATTAATTATCTAACCTGTTCTTGACAAAGTGGTAATGAGCTTCACTTACCTGGCATTGTGGATGGAATTTAAGACCTGATGGTTTATAGTCATTTATGCTACCACTATGCTATGCTTGGAACTTCAAAGGATATTGGAGTGTCCCAGATTATATCTCCTGAAATAAATCTTCACCCCACCTCATTTTTTAATCATTATTTTTATGTCTATGTAACCCGAGAGAAACTTCTTTCTTTTGTATGCATTTTTGTCTTCATGTGTGGCTAGTTAAAAATTCTCTATCATAGCATAGCAGCTCAGTAACACAGAATTTTTGTTGGTTATGTTGGAAAGTTTTTCTTATGGGTGGGAGATAGTGATGTAATTCCCACCTGTTATGTTTCTTACTCTGTGGTATATATAGAGCTGCTGTTTTCTTTTAAAGATGTGTGTGTGTGTGTGATCTATATAATACAAAAAAAATGATTCTACATGTCAGTATGTAATCTCTATGTAGCCAAAATGGTGCATTATGACTAGAGATGTTTAATTAAGATAATCCTGAAATATGGTGAAGAAAACAGAAATAAAATAAATATAGATTATTTGTAATTAAATACTATTGAGGGTTTCATGCACAACTTCTTTTTTTTTAGCATTTACAGTGACATGCATACACACAGCATCACAATTTGTGATCATAATCATGGTAATATCCTTTCATTAGCTGTATAGTGTGTACTAGCAGTAGAGCCCGGCGTTGCTCGGGGATGTAACAGTAAGAGATAGATCAAGTATCGACCATTATAAAGACTGAAAAATAAAATTGACAAAGATTATTATTTAAGGTTGACAGACACGCATGTCTTAATTATTTTTTTTTTTTATGAATTGGTCAAACCTAAACTCAAACAAAAACATTGTTTTCAATCGTTATGAGTCTACCGATTGAATAGAATTTTATTATAAACAATTGTCTTGTAAATGGAATTTTTAAAGCATTCTAAATGTAAAAATAAAGAAAAAAGTGTGCAAGACAATAAGAAACACTACCTGCCAAAAAAAGTGAAGTTTTGTTGAAATCGGTTGAAAAGTGTAGGAAATCCGATCCCATATATAAATGAACACACACACACACACACACACACAATCTGCGTTTTATAAGTAGTATAACTTGATAGGAGTTGTCCCCCTTTCATTCTGGCGACAGAATCATGTTTTATAGTGTTTTCAAATTGATTTCATGCAAAAACAATTGTGTTTTTCCAATTTTTGGCACTGTCAGAACCACCGCAAGGTAATTTTACGCAGTCCTGTGAAGTTTTGTTGAAATTGGTTGAAAAATGTAGGAAATCCGATCCAATATATAAATGTACAGACACACACACGCACACACACAATCTGCATTTTATAATAAGTAAGATGTCGCCAGGGCAATATACAGTTTTGAATACAGAATTGTCATTCTCCTAGACTTGGTTGCCACCTAAGGGTAGAGAACCCAATCTGTTCTGCTATTTTACCCATAATTGGAGGGAGAAGAGATGAATTTTTACCTTTTCCAAGAGTATTAGCATGTAAGTGAATGTAAGGAACTCTACTGGGATTTGAACTCTGCTCTCCGATTCCTCAATCCTAGCCACAGCATGCAACTTAGAAGGCAGGGTACTTTTTCAGAAGAGTTAACTATTAAAGGCTAATTACCAAGTACTATCTCTTATTTGTTTATTTGCATTCTTTTTTAATCGGTATACAACCCAACTATGTTTCGTCTACATTCCTTTTTTCCCAGATAACTATCCACATTTCTGCATCTTTTTTTCTATGTGATGATCTCTCGGATTCATGCAGATCACTCTTGGATATCCCCCTATTGTTTTTGCAATGAGCTATTTGGTGCCTTAAGACTCGGTTCTTGGTTGTCCTTAACCAGTGACTTAACACTCATAGTTGTTGTGCATAAAGGTTGTTAATCAGTGGTTGTCAGTTGGCCCCTTTTGCAGGATTTCTTAATTTGTAATGTAGGTGGTTCTTTTAGCACACAGCATATACCTGTAATAGGTGGTTCCAAATGAGTGAAGCAGGTTGCAACTGTTTTACATGAGTAAAAAAAAAAAAGTCTGTAGACAAAAAATACCTCTGGCACATCATACACAAAAGGTGAAGACATGGTGGAATAATGGATAGTGGCTTGGATTTAGGAATTGGAGAACCAAGTTCAAATTTCAGCCAAGTTCATTGCATTCACTTACATGCTAATACCCTTGTGAAAAGTATGAATCCATCTTTTCTACCCTCAGGTATGGGTAAATAGTAGAACAGATTAACAACTAGTCTAGGAGAAGGAATTCTGAATTCAAACCAGCCTTGAGAAATCCAGCCACCTTGCCTCGTAGGTCCTGCCTCTTTAGGCAAATGCTAAATATAGAAAACTTCAAAAACTAATTCACCTCAAATGTCATCGTTAAGAAACAATAAATAATTACAATATCTCATCTTTGAGCTGCAACAGAAAATAATGGACTCCTCTGGCTTAGTATAATGGTTCAAACAAACATTAGACTTGGACACGGTATGGCGCCATGGTCCCGTTTGATTTCAGACCGATAGACAACAACAACACAATGATCCAACAGGTAATAAGGTTGTCTTGTATTATTTAAATGTGATGAAACTTCATATCATACTGATGCCTTCTTTATTTTCCTCCTTTTCGTTATTAAAGGAACATCCATTTTATGCTCAGATGATTTTTGTTATAATTATTTTAACTTTATATAGGTCAATGGTACTCAACCTTTTTACCCAATAACTTTCACCCTAACTCAGAATATCATTCCTCTTCCCTCTCAGATTGTCTGACTCAAAAGTTGCATTCCAAATAATATGCATATGTTATTGAAAATCTGTTCTTTGCCATATTAGTACATATACATTTACATAGATTGTTTTCAAGGTGGGGGGGGGGTTTTACAAATTGCAATAGAAAATGGTGATGGATTTTAAAACTTACATATACAGTAATTTGTTTTAAATCATAACTAATTATTAAATAAATAAACTGAAGTATACTTCAATAAATAAATAAAACCTTCAGTAGAATGCCAGGGTATTGTAATTCAATAAACAAAATTCTGTAAATAAAAACAAGAAAAAGTAAAAGATCCCCCGGAATCACCCACCTCTTGTTGAGAAGCCCTGATATAGGTAATTATCTCAGATTTGTCAGATATCTGAGAAAATGTTGCTTTGTTTAAACACTGTTAAAGACTCACTTTATCCTCTGAAATTTTAAAAACTTGTTCTCATAAAAAAAAACGAAGAAATTTCATTTAGTGACACAGATGTGGTTTCTGCCACTTGAAAATACTGACAGAAGAAAGCAGATGAAGATAAAGAAATTTTACATTGATTGCTGGCACAGATTTTGCTGGATATTGTCTGAATGCATGAGTCATTAGACCTTTTAAGTTAATTATGGCTATTATGAAAACTTAGTCATATTAGGAAATATGTTTAAGATTATTCACATTTGCCACTTCTATTTTATTTTATCTTAGATATTTACACAAAAAAGATATCTATGTTAATGTTAGATGTTACATATATTGTGCAGATTGAAAATATTGTTGGACCATTTGTAATGGGACAGAATAATGCATAAATAGATATCTTTAAATGTACCCTTATTTTCTCTTTTTGAAAGCAAAGCATTGAATCCAATTCATTTGTTAACATTTTTTTAATGTGCATGATTTAACATTTTGAAATAAATAATTTTACTGACAGTCAAATATTTATTCAATAAATATTAAACATGATATATATATATCTGTAGCAAGTATGTTTGTTTGTTTGAGTTTTTTGTTGTTTTTTTTTTTATATTGAAAGTATTTTTATAATGCATTAGAATAAATGAATCATGGTTGCTAGATAAAACCAGACGTAGTGAATTGGGCTTTATTTGAAATCCTATTGTTAATAAATTTTGAATTTTCTTATTTGTGACCATTCTTTTAAAATAGTCCCTAAAAGTCACAATTAATAGAATCCCTAATTTGATTTCTTTTTTTTTTTTACCTTCAATATCTAATGATTTGCTAATTTACTTTTATTTATACTATTTACTTTGTTCAGACAGTTTTCCACATCTTCACTGTCACATTCACAATGTTTTGACCATTATATGTTCTGACCTTCAGATAATATATTGTTGGAATTTCAAACTGAATCCTTTTAGTCCATAGAGGTATATTGTTTTAAAGGTTTGCAATAGTTATTTATGAAATGCTTATTTAATAAGTTTAGTTTAATCTAGCACAAAGCCACAATAGTAGGAGTACTTAGGAAAATCAAACTCATTACATGACTAAATTAGTCATAGAGAGGTTTGGTTTGAAATTCCAACAAAATATCACCTGAAGAAGGCCAGAGCATACAACGGCTGAAACGTGAATGTGACAGTAAAGATGAGGACAACAGTCTGAACAATGTAAATAGTTACAATACCTCATCTCAGAAATATAGACAGATGTTTAACTTTTATGTTGAACTAACTTTTAGAAGACATTTTAATTATAAAATATTAAAGAAGTTAAATACTTTGGATATGTTAAATGAATTTTCAAAGAGCACCCAACCAAGACTGAAAGATTGGGCTACAAGTAGTGAATTGGACTCAGTTTGAAATCCCCACTCTAAAAGATGATGCCGTTTCTGTCAACTTGTGCAACTCTTGTGACTTAAGAATTTCATTATGCATCTGTAACATCCTGACAGATTGCCCTGGTTGCTAGGTGGAATGGGTGATTTTTATAAAGACACCATCTCTAGATAGATTGCCAACTAAGGCAAAAAAGCTTCTAACTATGCATTAGTACACCAACCAGTTTTGAATTCAGATTTATTTCTCATAGACTGGTTGCCAGCCAAGGCTGATAAACTTCTATTTGCCTATTAGCACAATCATTGATGGCTTCCAAGCCGTTTTTTCAACCCAGTTTCACTTACAAGGCTCAAATCAACCTGTAGCATTGTTTTCAGGAACTTTCTAATGATGTTGTGTGCTGAGATCATCTTCCCAAGAAAGTATTATCAGGAAGTTAATATCTTGACCAATTGATCTTGGTGAGATTCAAAATCTGGATCTTATGGTTAGAACACAAATATTTTAATCATTTGGTCAAGAACCCCACTCTACTAAATTATGAATTCCCTATTTTTTTAATTCATAGCCAAACTTGGGTCAGTTATTTGCTGTGCATGATACACACTTAGGTGATCATGTATCTTTTTGATACATGACTGATGAGGCAGATTTTTTTCCCGCAGTGAGTTGCCATTTCTTTCTGCAGTAGACCAGTTGCCACCCAGGGCTATAGAACCCGGCTATTTACTGTCCTGCTATTTACCCATAGTAAACTTAGTAACTTTAGCCAAACTCTGCTTATTTAAAAAAAGTAACCAAAATACATTGCAAAATTTTAATTTTGATAGCTTTTGAAATTCTTGTTTTGAATGCTGGAAACTTGGCATTCAAGATAAAAAAAACAAAAACCTGTCATTGAAAATGTGAAGTGACTTGTTCTTTTCTTGGATGTACCTTTTTTTTTCCTTGGATGTACCCCTTTTTTTTTTTTTTTTTTTTTTTTTCTTCTTCTTTTTTTTTTTTCTTTTTTTTTTTTTCTTCTTTTTTCTACTTTTTTTCTACTTCTTTTTTCTTCTTCTTTTTTCTTCTTCTTTTTCTTCTTTTTTTTCTTCTTTTTTTCTTCTTTTTTTCTTCTTTTTTTCTTCTTTTTTTCTTTTTTTTTTTTTTTTTTTTTTCTTTTTTCTTTTTTTTCTTTTTTCTTCTTTTTTCTTCTTTTTTCTTTTTTTTTTTTTTTTTTTTTTTTTTTTATTTTTTTTTTTATTACTTTTTCATAAATTTTGTGAGATTTAAAAGAATTTCTCTGAAAACCTAGAGATTTTGAATCTAAAGGAATTATTTCTCATGTTTGTCACTGTCCATTCATCCTATCCTTACATAAATGCAAACTTTCATTGAGCAGACACTCTATTTTTTTTTTTATTTCAATTTCAGAATTAATACAAACCGAAAAAAATTATTGCCGAGCTTTAACTATTATGCAAAAGGTAAGTGTAGTAAATAAAATATTAATTTCCACATCTTCATTAGCTTGATGCAAAAGTTCACAGCACTCTCTTTTTCCACAATATTAGGGAAAGCTCAGATGCCTTTGATGTTTACTTGGTTATTTTTATTGCTTATACATACATACTGTTTGTAGAAAAGTGATAATTTTATTTTGGTGAAAATCATGGTTGAATATGCAATGCCAGGCAAAGTTTAAGAAATGTGCCTGCAAAAAGAAAACATGTCAAAAGAACAGTTTTTCTCTTGTTATCACTTGGTAATTTATTTGGTTTCAAAATGCTGTTTTTAGAATTTTAATAAAATTCATGAAAAACACAGACTGAATCTATACATATTTTTTTTTTTTTTTTTTTTTTCAAGAATTAACAAAAATGTTGATTTATTAGATTATATATAAGAATAATTTCATATTTATGTGATTATAAAAACATGAAAACTATTTTATTACTTACCATATTAAAAAGAACTATGAAAACAAATTTTAGTTCATAATTTTAAAAAATTTCAACACGTAATTATAAATTAAAAAATGCATTTTCTCGACTTTTCTTTCATTTCCTCTTGCCACATAAATTCATTAAAATGACTAAAGATCATCTGGATTTATACATTTTTTTTCTTGAGAATGACACCAAAAATGTTTAAAACTATTGTTTATTTAAAAGAATAATTTGGAAAATTTTAAATTTATTCACAAAAAGAGGGAATATATGATTAACTGTGAAGAGAAAAACTGTTCTTTTGATAGATTTTTTTTTTTTAATTTTTAGCATATGTTTGTTAAACTTTACCAAATGCCTGTTCTGAACCTTTTACAATTTGAGTTCTGCAACAGATCACTGAAGCTTGTAATGATAAAGATTTTGAATTCAAGAACAACATTCTAGAAGATTTCAGAATTCAAACTGATCAATTGGGGCAACTTTTGTCAGAAGGAGCAAAAGTTTACAAGCTGAGGTTTAGTCAGTCATGATTTGCGCACAGGATTTAAAGTTAATATTTCATTAATGATGTAGTTTCAATCAGTATGTTTTTCTGCTGTTACCTCTGACCTGGTAAATGTTTTGCTCTGAACAGAATTCTTCGAGTCACTGACAATTTTTACAATTTCATTTATATATATATATATATATATATACACACACACACACATATATGTAAGCAAATATATGGATATAGATCCGACAGTATGAAGAAAAATATACTGAAAAAACAAACAAAAATCCTACGTGATACATTACTTCCGTTACATCGATGACATTTTATTTATCTACCCACATAAACATGATTTAAACGAGATTACTGATAGATTAAATAAAATAGAACCTACTATAGAATTTACCTATGAACTTGAGTCTAATAATTTTTTACCTTTTTTAGACATACTACTCATTAAAAATAATAATAAATTAGAATTCAAAGTATATCGTAAACCCACATGTAAAAACGACTATTTACACTTTTACTCTCACCATGATACTAACACTAAGAGGGGTATTATTATTGGATTCTACTTAAGGGCTCTTCGTATCTGTTCAGCAAAATACTTAAATGATGGATTCAGGTATATTGAGGATACCTTTTCAAATCTTTCGTATCCGAGACAATTATTACTGAGAGCTAAAAATAAAGCATTGAAAATTCATTCATCAGTGCAAAATGACACCTCAAAGGCCACTACTACAACTACATCAGTGAAAGGCACACTTTCAGCTGCCCCTGATAATTCTTTTGGTCGCATCTTTCTACCAAATAACCATTTGACCGAACGAATCTCCAATAATTTAAATGCGTTAAAAATCAAAACTACAATATTACCTACTAGAACTATCCGTAGTTTATTAAATAACACCAGCAAACAACATATTACATCCAATGTGGGCATCTACCAAATCTCATGCAACAAATGTGACTTAAAATATGTGGATGAAACATGTAGGTCCATAAAATCTTGTGTTTTCGAACATAAACGAGATATTCGCCTCGGAAATTTAAACAATGCTTTAGTTGTACACACAACTAAAGCTGATCATAATTTCGATTTTGATTGTGAAGATTTTAAAATATTTTCATAATAAAAATCTTAGGCGGATTTATGAAGCAGGCATAATATCTATCTCACGCATGGTGAACACTAGACCTGGCTTCTTTAATATTTCCCCTTTTCTAGCAAGATTAATGCTCCACAAACATACATATAAGTTTTAGATCAAAATAAAATTCTTTTCGTTTTTCATTCAAAATACTCAAATTTTAGGAATACGTTTTTCACAACATCGCCCACATGACAAACTAATTTACGTGATCATATTTAAACGTAACGCTGATCTTATAAAAGATTTCAGTTATCTGTTTGGATTGGTATTGCTTTTATGTCCAACGTCTTTTTCATGTTGAATTGTATATGGTCTATGTTAATTATGTTTTATGAATATGTCCTGAAGATGGTCTATTAGACCTAAAATGTCCGACGTTAACATTAAAACAGCATAATTGCATATTAGGATTTTTGTTTGTTTTTCAGTATATTTTTCTTCATATATATATATATATATATATATATATATATATATATATGTGTGTGTTTATTTATATATATATATATATATATATATATATATATAAAAACTGCATTTTTAATAAAAAAATTTTTTTCCTTCTTCTTTTAATATTTGTTAAATTAAGAGATCTGCAACACTAATCATGGCAAACAACTAGCCTAAAAACTGCTAGATCTCTTCAGGAACATAACACATGCAAAACACACACACACATACACACACACAATGTCCCACTTCATATTTTCTCGTTTCATTGAGACATGTCTGAAAATTAAGATTTTTAACATATTTTATCATCATGTATTTGATCAAAAGGCCTATTAATATGCAATAATTATTATAATTGTGCTTGTCCCTCTCTGTGTTAGTTTGTACGACCATTATGCCCTGCCAATACTTCATAAATAATGGACTTTTCCATTTTGATCACATGGAAAGAGGAGAAAAGACACTACTTGATTTCAGTGAGAGAATCAGATTATGCTGATAAGAACAGATACTGCACTTTGATCTTAGCCAAAAGGCTAACAAGTGATTGTATTTTCTTCTGCCCCATGCTGGTGGGATGTGACACAAGGTCAGTTTAATGTGGGAAGCCTGAGCATGTGCACCAGGCCACATCCCAAAATAGACCAGACCCTGCAACAATCGGTATTACTACCAATCCCCACCCCCTTTAATACAATGAACGATGTACTGCCATAGGCAGCTGTTTCCCGGGATTGGGTATCTCTCAATATTTTCAATTGCACACTGTTCAGAGACAGACACACAACTGTGAGATTAAATGTAAATTATCTGCCTGAGGAAGATAATTTTGATCCCGGTCAAGATATTTTGTCCATCTTCATAGTTGACCATGTTTTGCAAATGAAAACATTATATAAATACATACATACATACAACAATCTATTTTTCATTAACATATATATTTCAATCTTGAAAATGGCTAAATGTATAGCCGAAATCACTCTAAGTTTTTATATAATTTATCTTCTGAAAAGGAAAAAATTTTAGATCACGAGAAATTGTATAAAAAAAACTAAATCAAAGCACCTTGTCTGTCGTATTCAATGAAATGTGCATATATATATATATATATATATATATATATAATGCCTTGATCTTAATCCCCATCCTTTTCTTTATCCTTTCCTCAAACACCCCTCTTTTCTCTTACTTTCACGCTCTGTAGCCCCTTGCATCCTAGTGGCACTCCCACCTTGCTTTGGGTGAACTACTTAAAAAAAAAAATAAATATGTATAGGGATCAAATGGCAAGATGGAAAAAAAGTGCATAATGACAAGTTTTTCTTAGAATGATGTAAACTGTAACTAACAATTCTTGTATTTCTACCCCTGTGCACTTCTTTTATTCCTTCAATATAAAAAACACACACACACACACACACATAATAAATATATAAATATATATATATATATATATATATATATATATGGTGTATAATGACTTTAGTTCCTTATCCGGTTTAATAAAATAGGCTGAATGTTAAAATTGGCAATTTAGAAATTTTCTTTTGATGCAAATTTGAAAGTGATGACAAGTCAGGAAATTGAGACTTGTGGTCCCATTTTCAGAGATATTTTAAAAAAATCATTAGTCATTTAAAATCTTGCCTCTTTTCTTTTCACTCACAGTTGCCTATCCCTAAATTTGTGTGCATGTGTGTAAATTATGCCTTTTTTTTTTTTTTTTTTTTTTTTGTATCCAAAATCTCAAAGCAATATTTTGTTAATCTTGTCTATATTTTATGTATTATTTTTGTACAGAACACACACACATACACACACCTTGATACCTCCAGAGATGGACAATATAAATAGATGTATAAATCAACTCGAAAAGTGACAACTACACAGAGAGAGAGAGTATGGTAGGAAGCAGATCTTAATCTAACATGTTTTACTTTATTAAAGCTTCGTCAGATCAAGATAGAAATGATAAAAAGTAAATAGATGCAGATTAATGATATGTGTTTGGTTATTTCTTATTGGTTAGATACATGTTATATGTAATGAAGTAACAGATAATATTCAAATATGTGTGTAAAAGTTAGTGAGACACAGCAGGATGTTTTTAAAAATTTTGTTTTGGTTTGATTTTTCATTAAAGATTATTTTGTGCAGCTACATACAAACATATCCAACCAATAAGAAATAACCAAACACAACATACCATTAAACTGTGTCTCTTTGCTTTTTATCATTTCTATCTTAATCTTTGACAAAACTTTGATAAAGTGAAATATGGTAGATTAAGATCTGTTTCCTACTTGTTCTATTATATATATATATATATATATATATATATATATATATATATATATATATATATATATATAGTTTTAAGGTGTGCTATATTTATGGGATAAAGTGCTTACTATCAGAGACAGTGTATGTAAATATAAAAGTCAACATTGAAGTCAACAGGCTGTTTCATGCTAGACACAATCATCAGGCCTGATGATTGCATCTAGCATGAAACATTGAGTCACTGTATTGACTTCAATGTTCACTTATATATATAACTTTTAACATTTCAGGGTTTTTTTTTGTTTTAAACCCTATTCTTTTTCTTTTGCAGATGTTCTATGAAGGCTTACGGAACGAAGTAGGAGTACATGTTGATGTTCTCAACGCAATGTTTCCTTGTCTAGATATTCTTCTGCATAGTCACAAAACCTTCCTAAACAACTTGACAATACTCCAATCTCAACATAAAGATAAAATTATTGAAGAAATAGGAAAAGCACTTATTGAACAAGTAAGTTCTTGTTCTTTCATTTATATTAATCCATATTTGTGCAAAAATTAGATTTCCCTATTAAGGTGACTTGGGGCAATTTTAAGAGTTATACCTCTTACAATGTCTTGTTTGATATAATTTCCAAACATTTTCATTACCAATCAAATGTTTTAAAGCTGTTTAAGTAATAAAAAAAATTCACAAATATTAAAAATTACTGATTTTAGTAACATCTTTACTGATATTTTGATGTTGCAGTTTTTCTATGATGGAATCAATGATTGACCACACTACGGCTACATTAATGTCTCGAAAATAATGTTTGTAGATTAAAACCGTAAAAAAATGATGTTAGAAATATTTAAGCAAAATGATTGATTCTATATAATTGAAAGCAGTCTTATCAGTGTGTAACAAATTCATTTATGCCTATACTGTAAAAAAAAAAAAAAGAAAAAAACATTGTGCATGGTGTCAAATACTCAGAAAGTGTTATTCCCTTGTCAAAGGATCATTGCTTTTCTAGATATTGATTTTCCAAGTGTAGCTTAGATGTGGCACAAGGACGAAAGAGGCACCAAATGAGGATCAAACTCACTACTCAGTTGTAATGGTTCTAGCGAGACAAGCTTGCTAACCATTATGCCAACTTGAGGTGCCCCTGCTTTCCTAGATATTCATGATCTTTGAGACTTTATTGAAATTACTGGAACCAATCTTGAACTGTATAAACAGGAAGTAATCCTTGATCAAATATTTGGTTAATGTTTGTACAGTTTTAGTAGTTTTTTATTGCAGTTTTAACTTCTAAAGAAAAATTATACAAAAATTACTTTTTGTTTATGGATTAACTCCAGTTTGTAAAGAAGAAAACAACACAGTGTAAATTAAGAACTATTCTATAAAATGACCTACTAGGTCTGCTGGGAAGTATCCAGCCATTTTGAATATTTCAAGATCCAGTTGCGTGACCTTGATGTAACTGTGATAGCCAATCAGAAAGGACCTTATTATGCACATGTGAATGTACACTCTGTTCTCAGGTAGCAATAAAATGCTTTTAAGTAAGGTTTGTGTATTGTGTTATCACATTCATTTGATGTAAATATGAATCCAGTTTTGCTTGAAACTTAACATTTGTTCACAGAAGGTATTCAAATGACTAAGAAGGTTTTTTTTTTTTTTTTTTTTTTGAGATGATTCAGTAAGCAAAGCCATGATAAAATTTTGGTAAGAATTTCATACTTGATTGGGAATCCATTGAATGTGATTCATTATCTTGAAGGCTTTCAACAAACAGAGTACTTGAAAATGTTCAATATATAAATAGGCCACAATCATTGGAAATTAGCAATTACCAATACAAGAATTAAAATATTTGGGAATTTCAGAAACTTTCAGCAGAGTATCCAACCATTGTAAATTTATAAGCATTGAATCACTTAGGTCTGTCAGCTTCTCTACACATCCTTGCATCTTCTAAATTTTCCCAAAGTTAAAATTGGCTTATGGTCATATCACATTGAAGCATCAGTTCTTGTCTGACCAATGAGATAGGTGACCATTTGGAAACACAAAGTGCTGTAAACTTGGATGTGCAGGTGGTGTAATGGATAATGTTGCAATTGGAAATCAGAGCAGAGTTCCAATTCCAGTCAAGTTTGTTATATTCACTTTCATGCAAATACTCTTGGGAAAGGTATGAATCCCCCTTCTCTCCTCCAGCTATGGATTAATTATTATTTCTAAAAAAAATTCTTACAATGTAAAAAAAAAAAAAAAATATTTCCTGGCTTTAAATAACTGTTGAAAGGTGGATAAACTGTTAAAAAAAAATGAATCGATCAATCAAACCAAAGCTAAAATAACCATTGAAAAGGTGGAAGGAGATTTTAGACTGTGGATGAGATTAAAGTGAATGTGTTGTCAGTTAATGATATTCCTAAAAGGGGACTTTGCAGACTTTTTTTGAAAAGTTGAAGAGTCACTGGGATAAGTGAAGTTCTAAGAAGGGGGTTAACATGATAGTGTCATAGGCTAGTTTTTCATAAAATAATTGGTTTATCTATGCACAGATCTCTTATGACACTTGTAAACTTTGTTTTGAGTATAAATGCCAGTATAAGGAAAAATATTTAATTTCTGTGTAACAGTATTATTATAATAATTATAATAATAATAAAAAAAAAGGAAAGATAAAACTGAAGAAAATCATTTTGTTTATCAAAATAGATGTAGAAGGCTTGAGTGCCTTTTTATTTTACTCTGAATTGTGGAACAAATATCAGTTATCAAGTAACAAATTATTAATTAAGGAAAAAAGTAAGAGATTTCTTATATAAAAAGAAGTTCTTAAATTATTCAATGAGAATTTTTGCCTCTTAGTGAACATGTGGGTCTGAAGCTGTTATGAAGCAGAAATCTCTCTCACTCACTTTTCTCTCTCTCTGTCTTTCACTGACAAGTAGTTGGTAAAATTTTCCTAAGAAACCCAATAAAGACAATCAGTTCAAACTGATGTTGTGCTGTTTAACACCATGAGAAGGAACCTTTCTCTTGGTGAAAAGATATCTACTTCACTTTTTAACAGCAGGCAGAAACATACCATCTTAAGTATATTGTTTCCAAGAAAGCTGTAGAAACTAATGTAATGGTGCAACTGACTTGGTTCATGACCAAGTAATGACAACGGTCATCAAACACTCCTTTTGAACTACTACGACGATTACCAGTCATTGGTGGTGAAACTACAGACCTGCAGCCACATATCAGAGTACAACTTAATATATTGGGGCAACGTCAGTTATGGGAGAGAGATTTGCTTAAATACTTAGTCACCTACTCACTTTTCTGTCAACTATTATAGCATACCAGTAATGAGACATTTTGTTCAGATACTAGGAAAGTGAAAGGAAAATTAGATTTATGTCTTTCCCCAGTGAATTACTGGAAAGTGAGCATAAATAACCACAGTTGATATTCAAACAATTCAGATTCCGTTTTCTACATTTGTAACTCAACCGCAGAACATCTACAACACTATTACTAACCTTTTTTTTTTAAGTAAGATTACACCTCCAATTTAATTTACATTGAGGACATTTTGTGTCTTGGTATGCTGTCACCTGGATTAAAAGTATAATTTTCTTCTTAACTAACAAGGTTGTTAGCAATTGTTGTAAAGTTTCTGTCTACCACTTTGACCAAATTGATATATAAATAAATTGTCTTAATTGATTGCTGGGGAATATCAGCTACTGTATACTTGAATATGAGGGTGGTGCAATTGGTAATGGCTTGGAATTGTTGATAATTCCATTGTTGTATTTCACTACACACAAATATCTTTGGAAAAGGTATGAATCCACCTCTTCTCTCCTCAGCTATAGGTTAATTAGTAAGACTTGTTTCACTAAACCATTATTATTGCAAAAAAAAACTTCTTACAATCTGGAAATATTTTCTGGCTTTAAATAACCTGCAATAGGTTTATAAGCTCTAGGAAACAAATCAATCATTGTTTTAATTAAACGTTTTGTTTTACTAATAATGTATTATTTATATGAAAATAATGAAATGAAGAAAAATAAATTTTTAATTTGAATTATTTGTAAAGAAATTAAAATATGGTAAAAGATTCAGGAATTATTTGTATTTTTTAGTCTTTCAAGTATTCATTTTATTTCAAACTGATGATTTCATTCTTTCCAAACTGTTTATTATGACATTGTTTTACTAGGTTACTAGTTGTTTTGTCTTTATTAGCAATACATTAGTGAAGTCAAAAAAAGATATTTTGCCCCTTTTTGGCAGCTACTGGCCATCCACAAAATAAAAATAAATTTTTAATATAGTTTCTATTTTTTGTCTCAATTATATAAGAATCTAATGTTGAAAAGTTTGCACCAAGTACCTGAAGAATGCAATCTTCAGGTGATGTGTAGAAACTTTTGTTTTATATTATATATATATATATATATATATATATATATATATATAATAATAATTTTCCTATAAAAGCCAAAACCAGATATACTGTGACTTTTTTTTTTAATTAAAAGATAAAATTGAAATTTGTAATCTGCTTTTGCTTTTATTTATTATATATATATATATATATATATATATATAAAATTTCTAGTTTAAGCACTCTTATGATATTAAAAAAAAAAAAATTATTTTACTTAAGAAATTCCTTGAACATATTTTGTTTTAGATTCCATGAAAGGATCAATTTACAATGAATTTACATCACAAACTGGCCTTCCACCTCATTAACTTCTATCAAATAAAAAACAAAATTCATAGAGTGCTTAATCTATAATAATAAAAAAAAAATTTCTGGTCATAGTGACTATTGAACAACACCAGCCACAGTTCAATTGCAATATTTGAGCACTGATTTGTTTTTAAATCTAATGTATGTAAGTGAAGTTTTTAAATTTTTTTTTTTATATATATGTCACTATCCACCAACTTTACTGTTACTAATCACTGCATTTGTAAAAAATGAGAAAGAAAGAAGTTTTAGACCTTTGCCATTCTGATATGAGAGGAAAACTGATTAAATATAGAAGTGAATATTATTTTTTTTTTTTTTTTTAACTTAAAACCTTTTGTGCTTAATCTGCATTCAAAATGTGTGTGGGGAGGTAGGGATTGTCTGGTTAAAAAAAAAAATGATACTTATTGAAGAAAAGAAGTTCTACTACATATGTAATTATTTTACTTTTTATTTTTTATTTTTTTTCTTAGTTTGACGGTGAAAATGCCATGACACTGAAGCATGCTTATGGTCACTTCTGTTCTCACCATATAGAAGCTGCAGATATTTATAAGGAAAAGAAAGGTGAACGTAAATTTCTTTCCTTTGTCAAGGTCAGTATTCTTTATTGTTACCATGTTTTTTTAACTTAAACCTAATTTACTTGGAAATCTTTTTGAAATCTTTGGTGTGATTATTATACTCTTACATCATTGGCTAAACTATTTTCTCAATACAATTTTATTTTCTTTGATATTTTCAATGAAACAAGCAGACATTTTGAAACTTGTTACTTTAGCTGTTGCTGAAGATTTTTATTTTAGCATTACTTCACACATGAACAACATATAAAATAATGTAAATAAAATTTGTATTGTTAAGTATAATCAGCAAAATGCCTAAACACAATTGACAAAGTTCTCAAGCAATAAGAAAAGGTAAAATAATATTAAGCAAACGACATATATGCAAGTCAAAAGTAGGCAAAAGGTACCCAAAGTAAGAATGGTGTTCATATGTAAAAAAAGATACAGTCAAGTGACCATAGTGTTCTGATTTCAAGACAAAAAAGAACCAAAAATAAAAAATGACAGATGAAACCAAGAATTGGTCCTTTTCTTTTTTTTTTTTTTTAATAGGTTTGGAAGAAATCCCAGCATGCATCTATAGGATTTGTCTTTAAATTTGGGGAGAGGGTAATGTTCTTAGCACTGATTTCTAGATGTTGAAACCAATAGTATCATAAAGAATTATTATTAAAATAATTTAAAGAATTACTGAATTATTTTTAAATGTTAGCTTTTTTGGAGTTATCACAAAAGATTTTTGAGGATTATTTGGCATAATCAGGGTTAACCTAAATTGATAATTTGAAAGTCTTCAATTTTTTTTATTTACTTAGATTCTATAAATTTTCTTTTTCTTTCCAGCGGTGTGCTAATAATAGTATATGTCAAAAACGAGAAATACCAGACTTTCTCCTACTCGTCACTCAGCGTCTTACCAAATATCCCACATTAATAGAAGCAATTATCAAAAACACAAAAGGTAAGGTTATCTCTTAATTTCATCCCATCTTGTCAGCAATTTTCTCCTTTTTATGTTGAAAGACAAAACTGGTTATATACCATAAAATTTTTGATTCACGTGTTTGTTTCTTGCAGCAGGTGGGTTAATGGATAACAGCTTGGAATGAGAAATTGGAGAGCCAAGTTCAAATTCCAGTTGGGTTCATTATATTCACTTATGCACACACATACCCTTTGGAAAGGCATGAATCCATATCCTCCCCACAACCATAGATTAAATTACATGGTAAAATCATAGTTATTCACAAAAATTGTTAATGCAATATTTTTCTTCTCTGTGTCATATCTCTTCAGGATGATGATCATGGCTTTATAATTTTCTGTCCTTTGTAGCTTCTAATAAATTTTGTCTTCTTGTTATCTCTACTAAACTCTGTTTTGCCATCCATTTACTTGAGTTTGCTAGGTAGGTTATACATTCTCTTCTGTCCCTCTTGCCTTCAATCTGTCCTGTGAGTATCAAATTCTCCAAGCCCTCTTTATTTGCCCAAGAAATTTTAACTGTCTCTTTCTGATGTTAAGTATAAGTGTCCTTTACTTACAATCCAAAATGTTTTGGCTTTAAATAACCCACAATGGATTGGTAAGCAATATTTAAAAAAAAAAAATAAATAAATAAATTGGTTTCTAGTAGTTGGGTTTCCTATAGTTTGGATGAAAACAGTGAAATCTTTAAATTGTTAATGTTTCAACACAAATTATTTGTGACATTCTCAAATATTACTTTTTTTTTTTTTTTTTTACAGATAAAAAAGAACGTGAAAATTTGAATAAAGCACTTGAACTGGTGAAAGATATTTTATCAAGTGTGAACAACCAAGTTGAAGAATATGAAAGAGAGCAACGCCTTAGTGATATTTATAACCGAACAGATGCTCGTTCTTCAGCCTTGTTCCGATCAAGAAAATTTAAGGTGAGAATATGAGGTCTTATTTTCAGGAAAATTTTAAAATCTTAAATATTAATTTTTAACAAGTTTTTTTCTTCACACACACACACACACACACACACACACACGGTTGGTGGTACTATATGGCTGTTTTGCTGGTAGGGTTAACAAACTGAAAACAAACAAGTTGGTCCTGGAAGAGATGGGAACAGAAAGGCAGTTGGTCACAATCATAAGGATGTGAAAACTACAATACTTTGACCATGTCATCAATGCCTAGAACCTCTGGAGAAATATATTGATGACAAGAGACGAAAGAGAAGACATGGTGACAGAAGACTGCTGACATCAGGGATAATGTTGGTGGGAGTAAACGTGTGAGAGCATTGGTGAAATTGCTCATGATCCTCAACACTCAGTAATGAGGATGGAAGCAGCAATATATATATATATATATATATATATATATATATATATATATATAATCATTTTTAGGTTCAATATCTTCTTACCATTCATAGAAGTAGTAAAGTCTTAAACTATCATCTCCTATCTCAGGAATTAATTTTAATAGGCAACATTTTATCAGATTTGACCACTGATTCTTATGATTCAAAAGAGCTCAGATCCATTGTCATATTGCTGTACTTCTCATTTGATTACTTCTATTAGGGTGCAAACTATTATGGCTCTCTACAACTTCCACCCCTTCATACCTCAAGCAATATTTGTCACCTAATCCTCCCAGTTTCTGTTCTGCCACTCATTTACACATTTATTAGGTACATTACTCACTCTTTTTCTTCTGCCTCATGCCTTTAATATATCCTGTGGGTGTCCAATACTCTGAGCCCACCTTATATCATTGCTGGAAAGAGCAACAACAGCTACTGGACTTATTTTCCTAAAAAAAATGTTTTAAGGGAGATTTTTATAAATTTCAACCAAAAAATGCACTGGCTTTTTGGTCAATGAATGCTGAATGTTTCCTTATGAGGAAAGGGATAATATTACCATTATATACTTTGCTGTTTGAACCAGCATCTTGGTTGTTCTACTTAGTGTTTCACCTTTATAACTTCTGGCTTTCTTCAGGTGTTTGGAGTTTCAAACTAGCCCATGCCATAAGATTACTCAATTATTTGTGGATATATTGTTCTCATTATGCTTAGGGGAGATAACTCATATCAGTTAATACTCACCAGTCTTATTCATTTCTGTTTCAGTTTTTTTCACTGAACCAGAGTTATATCTTTATTATTACTAAGCCCAGGGATTGAACTTGGAACTATCAGGGAACTTGATATGTTTTAGCCAATTCTATAAGCCATTAGCTTTCATGAATTCAATAAAGTGTTCTTGGCTTGTTGTTAACATCATCTATTTCTAATCTATTAAACTCTGATGTTTAACATTCTCTGACAAACTTTTCACTGTGGGTATAAAACAGATCTATACTTAAACTTTGACCAATCACATGTAGTTCATTAAGATAGTTCAAATTGAGATAATTTAACAAAATCAATTACTTTTTTGCACTCCCTAGCAGAAAGGGTGCTTGTAGCTGCGAGAGATGTTTGTGTATAGGAATAGCATTAATATTTCAACAGAAAAGTCAGCATATGATTTATTTGATTACCTCTCTTTTTTTTCTCTTCTTGTCTAAAATTAGGATTGACAAAATTGCTCAAACAACTGTGTTATTGATCATTGAGAGAATACCTAGCGTTATTGATTTTGAGCAATCACTTGGTAGAAATAGAATTAATGAGAATTGGTTTTTTTTATGGTCTATTGATTTTATAGGATGATTGACTTCAATAGTAAAGATAGAAACATTTCATACAACTGTCTACATGAATTTGCTCACTGTTCATTTTTTTTTTTTCTACATTACTTCACCCCCCCACCCAATTTTTTTTTTTTTTTTTTTTTTTTTTTGCATCCATTCAATGTATTCTTACTTCTTCTGATGTGTATACTATTTCATAGAAATTTTTCTGTGATTAAATATTTCCAATAAAGAATTGGGACAACCCTAATATTGAAAATGGGTGCTTGTTAGCATATTGATTTTTTTTTTTTTTTTTTTTTTTTTTTTTTTTTCATGGGGTGATAACTATTCTCATGAAAACAGACCGCATCCACTAAAAAAAAAAAAATTATAAATGGGTACTTGCAAATATTATTCTTTTGATGAAAAAATATATTTTATAAGTATTTGTGAGTAAAATTTCATAGTGCCTATTTGATCAGGTTGGAATCATTTTTTTTTCCTCTCATAATGATCTTTGCTAACCTATTAATGGTGCTATGAAATAACTGATAAAGCTGGGATAAGCTACAAGGTTTGAGATGAAGATTGTCCCATGTATGATAGAACATTAGTTTGGAATGACTAGTCAGGGTTTTGGGAATAATAATGACACAAGTGGAGGCAAGGTGGAGTAATGGATAGCTGTTCAAATTGAGGGATCAGAGAGCTATGTTCAAATTCCGGTCGAGTTTGTTATATTCACTTGAGCACAAACACCCTTAGGGAAAGGTATTAATCTATCTCCCCCCCCCCCAGCTATGGGTAAATAGCAGGGCAGACTGGGTTCTATAGCCTTTGATGGTAACCAGTCTAGGAGAAAGACAACTCTGAATTCAAAACCTCTAATTATGGATTAAATAGCCTCATTGACTGGCAGTTAGCTATGTGTGGTGAGTACAGCTATACCCCTGAAGGCAGGGTCAATCAGGGATGGGTTCCTCCAACAAGAGTGAGAAGACTCTTGATTTGGAATGATACAAAATTTTAAATTAAAATTCTATTATACTTCTTCTGAAACAACTAATTTAAATTAATAAAAAAAAATTCATACTCCTCAGCAGTGAGATTTTAATAAATGGAGCTTGTGCCCTCCCCCTGCTCCCACACACAGACAAAACTTAAGCACTTCATTTTAAACTGGTAAATGAAACCCAAATGAAAAATTAAGATAAAAGAACTTAAATTTACTTATTTTTATTTTCTCATTTAATTGTAAGAACAATGCTAGAAAGTTATAATTTGGCCTTGAATGAACCTTTTAACAAACAGAATCTGTACATTACATTTTCTGCTTTTCATAAACTAAATTGAAATTCCTCCTTACAAGTCTTTGGTTATGGTTCCTGTTCTGGGAAAGCAGTGACAAGGCGATGGTGTTATTGGGAGAGAAGAATTTAAATATTGAATGGTTCAAAATATTTATTTCCTAAATATTTTAGTGGGGTTTTTATTATGCTACTAACAATAATGAATGATAATAAAGTAAAAAAAAATTTAATTTTTTTTTATTTTTTATTTTTTTTTGAATTTTTTTTTGAATTTTTTTTTGAATTTAGGAAAGTTTAAAAGTTTTATAGGGGATAGTTCTAGAACAATGATGAAAAAACATTAATCTGGAGCCTTTAGTAAGCTGGCTAACTTAGGAATTAATTTTTAATAACATTGGTTAATTTATATACATTTTTTCTTTTTAAATAAACCCTTTCATTGATTTTTTTTTTTTTTTTTTTATCAGAAAACTGACCTTCGATTAAACCAACGGAAATTAATTCATGATGGTGTGATTGGCTGGAAAACAGCTCGTGGAAAAGTGATTGGTAAGTTACTCTTCATTTCTGACAAATTTCAAACAAATGGATGCATCAGATTTAATGTATAAGATCCCTTTTCTCTCCCTGGGACTTTGTGTGAATTATTCAACCCAAGACTTACAGAAAGTATATTGTTCTGTTACTTGGTTTGTATTAATTCTAATTTTGTCAAAATATAAACTAAAAGGTACTAAATATAAGTTGCAAATAGCTGTTTTTATGTTACTGTTTGATGATTAGGATCTTGCATTAATGATATTTATATTACCAAAATATCAATACATTTAGAGACTGCTTCAATTCATTTTTGTTTTAATGTGGAACTTTTTTTAATGGAAAAGAAAGGAAAACTTTTGACATTGTAAATTTATGCTTATTGCTTTAAAGAGTTTCTACTTGTTTGACTCTCTGCAATTTCTGGAATCTCTCCATATGCAATAAAGCTTAACTTCCATTTTATCTATTGTAACAATATTAGGCTGCTTCTCATGTGCAGATCTCATTTCTTATACAAAGTTGTAGTACTTGTTAGGGTCCTAGCTATGGGTAAATAGTTAGACCCCCAAACAGGGATCTTAACACTATAAAAAGTGAAAAGTATAAAATACATTTTTATAATAAAAAAAATAGAGCAATAGAGTTTAATAGTAAAAAAAAAAAAAAAAATTACCAAAGCTCCCAAAGTAAGTTAAATTTTGGCATTAAATGACCCATAAGGAGTTGATATGCCATTAAGCAAACTAAACCAATCCAAACATTTCTTATAAATTTGCCATGATCTTCTTAGATTTTTTTTCTTTATCAGGCCTTGTGAAACTCCAGCATACTTTACAATTTACTTCCAGAAGATTAAAATGTACCAGTCATGTGAAATAGCAGCTTTTCTCAGTCTTTGTCAAAGTTATTTCAAATATTTAAAAAAAAATAAATTTTCCAAATTTTTATTATTACACCAATATTCAGAGAACTTAAAAATTATTTGATCACTTATTTTAATGCATCATTTTACTTACAATTATTGTCATGTGATGCAAACAATAATCAATGCATTATTTAAACAAATTCATTGTAAATAGTCAACAGTGCCTTTTTATAATCATGTCACTTCCATTATTGCTAAAACTGTTTTTATATTTACATAAGTAGTGAAGTAATTGTTCTAAGTAACATAGTTAATCAATAGAAGTGCTGTATATTTCATTGTATATTATTTTTCCAATAAACTTCTGTATGAAGTATAAATAGTGCTGGTTTCTTTAAAGTGTTGAATTTTTCAGACATTGTAATACTATGTTTTTCTGTGTTTTTGTTATTTTAGTTTTCTTATTTCACCCCAAGCAAGGTAATGAAGCCACTAAGATGTAAGGGTCACTGAGGATGAAAGACAATAGAATGAAGGAATCTGAGAAAAAAAAAAAAAATGTTACTGAAGAGAAAGGACAGTAAAAAAGAACAAGATTCAAGGAGATGAATTACGTTATACAGAATTTAGATTTTCTAAAGGAATTTATTTAATAAGGATGGATTTTGATGTAATATTTTTAAAAGTAATTCCATTTCATCCTCTCATTTAGCCTGGATCAATATCATTCTCTAACTACTAAAATATTGCTAAGTTTGCAGCTAAGAAAGTTGGTTCACCATGTCATGCTAGATAATTTTTCTTGCCAGAATCTATCTTACATATTTATAAGTCTACCATTCTTTCTTGCTTTGAATATTATTGCCACATCTGGTCTGGTGCTTTTGCTATATATTTAGAGTCTTGCTATAATCCAAAAAAATAATCTGCAATGTTATTGGTCCTGACATGGCATCTTAGTTTCAATCTCTTTCCCACTGCTGTAATGTAGCTCCCCTGTGCCTTTTCTATAAATATTTTCATGGTAATTCTTTTGATAACTTTCTGCTATGGTACCTAGACTTTATGAATTTAAGTACAGTACTAAATTGGCGGCAAGGTTTCATCATTCTACAGTTGAAATGGTTAGCAGTTTCTTCTGTTGCACTTTTCACTTGTGGAAATCTTTTACAGCTTTTTGCTTCTCAGTCAACTTAGATCTTCGAAAATTTAAATGCAATATCAATCATTATCTACTGTCATCTTAATTCTTGTTCTTTTATTGTGTCCTAGTGGCTTTATTGCCTTGCTTGAGGTGAAATGATTAAGAAAAAATTCTTTACATTGAACATAGGTTTTTGAGTGGCACACACCTTTGAAATGTGGTCAAGTGTTGGTTCAACATGATTAGTGTTCACCAGCAAAACACCAGAAAATGTAAAAAAGTCCATGTGGATGAGACTACAATTTCTATCACCAAACAATCTATCAGCTCTTGTATATGAGCGGTATTAGTTATGGTGTCTGCCAGGGCCTGGATCTTTACAATACCACCTCATTCGCTTACCATCTAGTTCACATACCAATTGGTCTTTTATCCCTTGTTTTTTCTTTTAGAGTGGGTTTACAATTTCTTCTAATGACTTCTTCTTCTCTTTCACTCCCAGTATCTCCTTGCGCCTTAGTGACATTATTGCCTTGCTTGGGTGGAATTGATTAAAAAAAAAGTCATATATAAAGATAAAAAGGTAGTAATGAATATGATCCCCCATTCAGATACCAACAATTCAAAGGTGGATTGAAATTTAACTCATAATATGTCAAAGAGGTAAACAAAATAAATTTTGTTTAGGAGATAGATTCTCTGTTTTGATTATACTCCTTATTCTTCTGTAACCTGTTTGTAGGTAATAAGATAGTCTTTTGTTATTTGTGTTTTAAATTGTTTAATTTTTTTTTTTCCAGATGTGATTGCTGTGGTGCTAACTGATCTCATAGTCTTGATGCAGGAGAGTAATCAAAAATATACATTTATAATGCAAGACAATAAGGTATGTAGATAAAAATTGGAGTATCCAATAGAGATTTCTGTCTATGTTTCTGAGATGAAGTATTGTAACTATTTACATTGTCTGGGCGGTTCTCCTCAGCTTTGTTGTGATATTTACAACGTTTAATCTGTTGTACACTCCGACATTCTTGACGTGATTGGAATTTTGAACTGAACCCTTTATTTCATCCACCGGGGTAGATTGTTCTAGTTCCACATGCTGTGCCTTTTCTGGATATCATAGTTTCAGTTATTTCCCTTTAGTAACTCAACTTTCCAAGTTTTTGTTCACTTCTGCTACAGTCAGTTCTTGAACTCCCAACTCTTTGGTAGGGAGGTGTTTTGGAACCCTATCAATGAGTGGAAAACACTTCCTTGTGTGTGTGTGTGTGTGATCTAAATAAGAGCAACAAGAAAAGATGAGGAGAATAATTTGAATGTAAATAGTGTAAATAATAACTCCTCCTCCCAGAAATTCAGGCACACAGTAAATAAAAGTAAATTGAGTTTTTCAAATACTTACCTCAAAAATGCACTTTTATCAAACCTATGGTTATATTGAAATGAGCTTTTCATGGCCCAGTATAAGTGTAGGGTTAAACTGCAAGAAGACAGAATGTATGGTCATCAGTAAGAGGAAGACCCCGAAATGTGATTTGCAGGTTGGGAACACTAGAATCAAGCAGACGCAGAAGTTTAAATATCTGGAAAGTATCTTGACAGAAGACAGTAAGTGCAACACTGAAATCCGTAGACATATTGGAATGACAAAGGACACATTTCAAAAGCTGAGCAGAGTATTGCGAGACAGCAGGATTTCTTTAGTAACAAAGAAAAGAATACTAAGCTGTTATGTGACATCTGTTCTTCGTTACAGCAGTGAATGTTGGACAATTTCCTCAAAGTTGAAGAGACTCAAATTCTACAGAATGATGCTAAGGATATCATGGACCGAGTATGTGAGCAATGATGAAGTCTTAGAGAGGTTACAAACAAGGAGAAGGCTTATACTTAACATCAGAAAGAGGCAGTTTCTAGGACACATAATGAGGAAGGAGGGCCTGGAGAATCTGATACTCACGGGTCAAATAGAGGGAAAGAGAGACAAGGGAAAGCAGCACATGACATACCTGATGAGCTTGAGCAGGTGGATGACAGAACATGGTCTGGAGGAGGAAGCAGAGGGAAGGAGCTTGCTGAGAGCTGCAAGGGATAGAAGGAAGTGGAGAGCCATGATCGCCTACGTCCTGAAAGGATATGGCACATAAAAAGAAAAGATAAATGTAGGGTACTGATGAGAATTGAACTCACTACAATAGTAATTGTCTATGAGATTAGCTATTTCTCCATGGGAAGAAACCACTCCTTCCTATATTATATGTTTAGCTTTTTGTACCTAACTTTGAATATCTGACCTCACATGTATATTTATCATTGCTATTCTTCAGCATTCGTAGCTGTAATGAATTGCATCTAACATGGCATATATGTAATTAAGTAAATAAATTAAGTAGATACAACCTATGAATACACAAATAAGCACAAGTAAATCTAACAATAAATAAGTAATAAGTAAAAAGTTAACAAAAATATTATAAAATATCTACAAATAACCACATTGAAATCCACAATTATTTATATTCAATAGCCTCTAGAATAATTTGGAACATAACCCTTAGGATAATAGAATAGAATTTGCTACTCATAATCCACCATGGACCAGCATATCGAGTCAAAACACAACACACATGGTGTGAAGATTGTGTTCAAGCATGAAACACTGTTGCCACTCGGTGTTGACCTTAGTCTTCATGATACTTGTCTGAATATAAATAACTCTTCATCCCAGAGATTCCAATAGAAATCACATATTGTTGAATATTTTAATATTATATAATTTTTATTTCCTACCTACAACTGACTGATGACTTTTGTTTCTAAAGTGGTTGATGCGCGATATCTGATAAGAAAGTTTTCTTTTTTTACAATTGCACTCAATCCATGATTCATGACAATTCAGAAGGCAGTTGATGGAGGCAGTTAAAGCAGCAACTGTATTTCTCACTAAAATTTTAAAATAAAAACCAAAAGTATCTTAATTCCAAGCAATTAAAAATTATAGATCAAATTTTGTTCTATAATGTTTACAAAATTCAGAAAAATTTCTACATTTACATTTTAATATTAGAGATGGTGCTAAAAAATGCACATCCTGAATAAGATATCTCAAAATAAATTCTAATGTCTAGTCATTGGTTATTTTATAAAGTTGGTCAGGCTGAGAATTTTTTTTTTTTTTTTTTTTTTTTTTTTGAGTACTGCCTTGACTCTGAAAGCCATTGCTGATGCAGGGTTTTTCCACGGATTGTTTAACTTGTCCAAATTGTCTTTATTACTTGTGATGGTTATTTTTATGGGTGCAATTTTTCTTTTCCTAATATGTGATAGATTTTCTATTGGATCTGGTGAGTGAGACAACCATTACAAGCTTATCATTATCATGATGCTGAATTTTTTTATTTTATTTTTTTATACATGGAGCAGTATAGTATAGAGCATAAAAAATAATGCACTGATAAAAAACGGTTGCTGAAGACATTGGGTTTATAAAAAAAAAAAAAGTTCATCATGATATGATATCCTCAAGGACACATGGCACAGTGGATCCAAGGTGTTGGTTAGATCCAGTGACAGGTCCCAAAGAGTTCAATACCTGGTTAAGGCAGTGGAGAACTTGGAGAGGGGAATTAACTGACATCTATTAGACATGGAACAGTCTACCCCAATGAGCGAAATAAAGGGTTCAGTTTGACATTCCAACCACCTGAAGAAGGCTGGAGTGTACAACAGTTGAAACCTTATAATAAACATGGCAGCAAAGATGAGGACAATAGTCTGAATAATGTAAATAGTGTGCATAATACTTCATCTCAGAAATATAGACAGATACTTGTAATTTTTGTTTGAATTATTATAATACAGTGCAACCTCGATTCTCAAATGTCAAACAAATTGGTTTTCAAACAGAATATTCGAGATACCTCAGTTATCAAACAAAATTTTGGCTCTTGAACAACATTGCTGAACCAAGTTAACGTGAACAGAATCATTTCTTAGTCAACCACCGTGTTGTATATATTTGTGTTTCTTTTTTCTCTTCATTAGTTCTCAGTCATGGCTTCAAAGAAAGCTAGCAGTGATACTGGTAAAGGAAAAAGAAAATTTAAAAGAAAAACAATTGTTGATGATATTATCTCTTCCTACTCAGTTTCATATGGCAAAATCAACGATCTATACTATTCTTATAAATAAAGAGACGATCATGTCTTTCCTTCCCTTTTTCCAAACAATAACATCTTTCCTTCTATTTACGCCATCAACTCTCCTACATACAGATATGGTAAAATTGAAGTGTTGGTCTATATTTTATCTGTTTAGTATTGGGTTTATTTTTTCTTTCTTAGATTTAATGATTTTCATTAGTTTTATATATTATGATTTTCATTAGTGTTATGTATTATGATTTTCATTAGTGTTGTGTATAAACTTGTGCACAAAGTGTTAAAGTTTAAATAAGCAATCATCTTGGGACCAGGAATGGATGAATCCATTTTACATTGATTCCTATTGAAAAAATAGTTTCAGTTTACAAACCAGCTTTAGGATCGAACTAAATTTGTAAACTGAGGTTCCACTGTACATTTATTTATGAATGCATAATATAAGGTAACCCAAAAGTCCTTGACCTTTTTTTATAGTGTGTGGGAAGAAGTGAACACTGATAGACAAATGAGTCACATTCCAGAAAAGCAGTGAGTGCATTAGTCTTGACAAATGCAGGTGCATTACACGCACACATCAGCCATAGCTCGAGTTGAGGCAAAGAAATATGGCAGTGTCAAAGCAGTTCATTTGGGGTTGTCTGCTTTATGATTTTAAAGTGGGGTATGTCTGCAGCTTCATCAAGATGCTGAATATGTCAAACCTTTGGGGATAATACTGTGAGTGAACATATTGTTAGGCATTGGTTTCAGAAGTTCACATTGGGAGATCTGTCCTTTTGTGATGAACCCGGCAATGTCTGGCCACAGGTTCTGGAGGATGAACTCCTGAAGACGGCAATAGATGAGGACAGCAGCCAAACCTGTGGTAACATTTCCAGGTTTCTGAAAAAAACCATCAGACTTCACCTGCACCACCTAGGAAAGGCATGCAAGTGGGTACACCATACATTGTTGGAACCCAACAATCAACAATGAGTGACAGTCTGTTTCCTGGTGCTTGCTTAGTAACACAACATACTCATATTTGGTCAAGTGCTCACCAGTGACAAAGTATGACACTCCTAAGTGTACTAGACATTGGTTGTTACCATGAGAACTTGTGCCTCACATCAGAAGACCACCCCTACATCCACACAAGATCATGCTTTATATCTGGTGGTCTAATCAACAAATGGTGCACTATGAGCTGCTGCCAACAGGCAAAAGCATCACTGCGGACATGTACTTGTAGCAGTTAGAATGTGCGCACAAAAGGCACTGAAGCAGAAAGAGCTAGCATTGATAAATCACAAGAGTGTACTGTTCCTCCATGACAATGCCATGCCTTGTGGCATGGGTGACCATGGATACCATACAGCGATGTAGCCCTCCACCTTCCTCTCCAGATCTTGTGCCAACAAATTACCACTTCTTCCATTCCTTGGACAACCACCTTTGTGTGAAATCCTTCGCAAATGAGGCAGACTTGCAGCAGGCACTTGCATCCAAGACACCTGATTTTTACCTCCAGGGTATTATGCAACTGGAGGCTTAACATTATATTGAATTTGCTGTTTACCTTTTTTCTATTTTTTTTTTTTCTTTCTAATAAATCAAAAATGACAAGGACTTTTTTGGTTGCCTCATATTAACAGTGGGCTTTAAAATTAGGGACATAATCATGTTCTATGATCATGATAAAAGGTCTCTTAATATGGACAGTGACATGTTACTTTGATTGTGTATAAGTTCATATTGATTGTGTATAAGTTCATATTGATTGTGTATAAGTTCATATTGATTGTGTATAAGTTCATATTGATTGTGTATAAGTTCATATTGATTGTGTATAAGTTCATATTGATTGTGTATAAGTTCATATTGATTGTGTATAAGTTCATATTGATTGTGTATAAGTTCATATTGATTTGTGTATAAGTTCATATTGATTGTGTATAAGTTCATATTGATTGTGTATAAGTTCATATTGATTGTGTATAAGTTCATATTGATTGTGTATAAGTTCATATTGATTGTGTATAAGTTCATATTGATTGTGTATAAGTTCATATTGATTGTGTATAAGTTCATATTGATTTGTATAAGTTCATATTGATTGTGTATAAGTTCATATTGATTGTGTATAAGTTCATATTGATTGTGTATAAGTTCATATTGATTGTGTATAAGTTCATATTGATTGTGTATAAGTTCATATTGATTGTGTATAAGTTCATATTGATTGTGTATAAGTTCATATTGATTGTGTATAAGTTCATATTGATTGTGTATAAGTTCATATTGATTGTGTATAAGTTCATATTGATTGTGTATAAGTTCATATTGATTGTGTATAAGTTCATATTGATTGTGTATAAGTTCATATTGATTGTGTATAAGTTCATATTGATTGTGTATAAGTTCATATTGATTGTGTATAAGTTCATATTGATTGTTGCTGATTGTAAAATATTTGTTTCAGTCTTGTGTGATCCCACTGTGTGAACTGCTGGTCAGGGAGAAAGGGGATACTAAAGATGGCAAAGGTATCTACCTTATCACCAAGAAAAACACACAACCTGAAATGTATGAATTTGTATGCAAGTCAACAGAAGATATGAAAAATTGGATTGTTCTCCTGCGTTCTGCTGTTGAGCAGTGTCCACAAGAAGGTAAAAACCAAAGAAAAACTTCATGATTTTGATTCAATTTCACTTCATAAAGCTTCAACTGGTATGCATATATAGTCCTATTCTGTCTAATAAATTCATTAAAACACCACCAATTTATAATACATTTTCATTATAATAGTTATTAGATAAATAAAAATTCAAATGACTTATCTTTCAGCTTGTAATTTAGTAGAGGTGCCATTCTGCTCGTTAGGGTAAGATAAATCTATTAAATTCATTAACAGATCTTCAGTAATATCTGATAATAAATTCAATAGATTTCTTACCTTGACAGCCAAAACTTCAAGTATGAAAATAAATCATTTGAATTTTTATTTTATCTAACTTTTATTGCTTTATATTTTAATATTGAGTATTTTGTAAAAATCTGCTCACGTTGAAAATATTAGCCTACAGTAATTTACTGGTCAACATGTTTTGTTCGGTCTAAACACACACACACATATATATATATATATATATATATATAATTTTAATCTGACATTTTTATTACTTCAGAAGAAGTAATAAAAATGTTGGGTTAATAATAAAAATCTTTAGAAATTTCTTTGTTTTGGATATGAAACTGCAGATATGGCTTTTGGGAAGAAACCTGAATGAAGAGATGTGCTTTACGGCAAATAGAACTTTGCTTGGCTGTGAGGCTCTCTATATCTGAATGGTTGGTGATTCCTCCTGCAAAGAAGTAATCAGGTTCAAATCCTTCCAAAGGACATATTTTTTTTTTAAGTTTTTTCAAATGCACAGGCCAGTAGATGAAATAAACACTGTTTAAAAATAAAAAAAGTCTTTGACTCAAATACATTAAAAATGTTTGAAGTAATAAAAATGCATATACTCCCCCCGCATCACACTGCATAATTAAAATCTGTCAATCTTGAAAGGGCAAGTCTCTATAATTCAGATGCTTTTTGAAGCCCAGTTTAAAATAATACCTCAAAACAACCAGAATCTCAATACTTCACTTTGACATTATAACATCTGAAACAAAAAAGAAAGCAGATGAATAGGATTAATAATGATATATGATATAATAATAATGTAGTGAAGACGTGGATAGTATTTAGAATCGTGCATGAAATAATCTTTGGTGTAAAAGTCTACAAAAATAAAGACAGCCATTATTGCCGGACTTGAAAAATGCGAACGTAGTAATGTTTGGCTGAAATAGATATTCTTATGAGGTAATTTTGAATTTCTCTATTATGTAACTTTGTTTAGTGTATTTGGGCAGCAGATTATTATTCAAACATATATTGTTAAATATAACAGACAACGAATGTCTATTATGTTTGAACATAGGTGTTTCTAAACTTTGTATGGTTGCTTTAATTTCGGGAGAAAATAAGGACACATTGTCCACCATTGTATATTTTTTTTATTATGTTGTTCGAAAGCTTAGATCAAGGAACAGTATAATAAGAAAAATAAAAAAATATCCAAATATTAGACAATTTTTGTCTTTATTTTCTCGTGAAATTAAAGCACCTATACAAAGCTTAGAATGGCTCATGATCAAACATAAGACATTCTTGTCTGTTATATTTAACAATATGTTTATGTATGTATATATATATATATATATATATATATATATATATATATATATATATATATATGTTGAAAAATGTATCCCTTCCACAATACAAACGTAGCAATAACTGATACATTAAATTGTAGACATATTGAAAACCCAGCACCCCTGTCTAGAAAAATAGATTTATCTGTAACCTTTGAAACATGAATTTTGTTTTAGCTGTGTATTTAAAACCCAGTAATTTTAAAAAGTTACTCCAAAATTCACTTGAGGATGAAATGGAACTAATATCTTTAATTTAATCACAAAATTAAATTCATGGCTTTTAGCTTCCATTTTTTTGAAACATGGTTAGAACTGTGTATATAAAAAAAAAAATATTTTAAATCAATTAATTTATAATATATATATATATATATATATATATATATATAATGTGAGTGTGTGTGTTTTTCCTCACCAGTAGCACAACACTAAGTTTCATGCACAATGCAATCTTGAGGTGCTGATTGAAAACTAACCCTTTTTATTTCTACCTTTGATCACTTCTTTTATTCCTTCAATATAAAAATATATATATATATATATATATATATATAAAATTTCTTTTTACTTTAACTGTTATATTTAATGGGTACATGTTTGAGTTTTTTTAAATATAGAAAATGTGTCTTCTGGCAGGTTTCAAACCTGTGCCTCCCCCCCTTATGGCAGGAATTACCATCTCTCCAGGTGTGCTTTAGACTGCTCAGACACGGAAGCATTTCATTGACAAGCAAAGTTCAGTTACTCTGTTTAAAAAAGATTCATCTCTTGTTAATGTTTCTCAAAGAATAAAATTATATAGTGAGTTTGTCATAACTGTACAGGTGCAGCAGAAATAGCTTCAACATACTTCCCAGATAATAAGACATACTGTCTTACCATTATGTGGGAGGTATTTCTGCCACACCCTATTACAGTTAGATGAATTATATCTTAGTATCAATAAACTTAAATTGTAAATCCCCTTATTTTGTAAGGATTCTTTAAATAAGAGAAGTGTTTTAATCTTTTTAAAATGTAAGTTATATAATTCATCTAAAATCTATTTTCTTTTCTTTGTTTACAGTTGTTGACAACTTAGCTTTTCAGAAGCTGGAAGTAAAACGACTTTTGGAATTGCGAGCTGAAAAAATGACAAAGCTTTTTGGTAATACTTCTAATGATGTTCAGAATAAATCCTCTCTTTCATTAAAGTCAATTTTTTGCTGTAATTTACCCTTTTCTATCCTTAAAGCAACGTCAAAATTAGGAAAGAAAATTTTTGAATTGGGTATACGAAAAAAAAAATATTATTGTTAGTGTGAATTATTGTATTTGCTTGAACAAAATTTTCATCTGTTTGATTTTTGGCATTACCATCAATTTTTAAATTTCCTATATATTTGAGAAGCAGAGATGTTATAAATTTTAAAAATATCATTTATTTTGAATAAATGTTGATTGCCTATAATTTTCTGAAGGTATAATATATAATATATATATATATATATATATATATATATATATATATATATATATATATATTTTTCCTGATATTTTTTTCCTGTAATTATTAAACCGGCTTAATGTTATTTATGGAGTAGATTCCGCTTAAGTAAAACATATATTAGAACCACAACTTTTAGTCCTTGTAAGTAATTTTTTTTAATCGATTTACATGAGAAGGACAATATTTTATCTGTTCAAACTTATTAATGACTACGCCCTCTCACAATTGTCATATCAAATCCAACCCATGATAAATCTTCAGAAGATATTTCTTTGTATATCCCAAGTTAGTATTTTCATGAACAGAAAATTTGGAAATTACACTTTAAAATTATAAATTTTTGAAGCATCTTAATCAAGTAGATTTTATTGTTAATGTTTCTGTTAGAGTTAAATCAAGGTTAAAAACAGAAAAAATGAAAAAAAATGCTTGCTTGAGAAATATCAAAATGAAATTGATGGATATCTTCAGAACAAATCTGGGATATTTTTTCCTTTTCTTCATTGTGCTACTTTAAATATAGATTTAAAGCTATTTGATATTCCATCTGTAGGTATAAATACTTACTGATTGAGTTTTCATAGTTTGAATCTGTTACTGAACTCTTGTAGAGAGAAAAAATTTTATGACAACAATCATAAAATATTTAAAAGTATTTAAACTATACTTCATGTTTTAAATATCATCTACATTACTAGATTGTTTTTGAATGTCAGGGGTTTTGAATATTTCTCTGGTGGGAGCATTTTTTAACTGATCATATAACCATTATCAATCATGTTTTGAATAAATAGTGTTAGTAAAAATGTATTTATATGTACATTTTTTTATAGCAAATTTTTTGTCTATATACTTTACAAATAAACTTTTCTTTTAATTTGTTACTGAATTTAAAATTGAAGTCATAGATTAGATTTTATTATTTTAAACTTTGACACTCTTTTTCACTTTAATCCACCCACCCAGATATTTTGAACTCTTGATGTTATTAATTTTTGACTTGTGTATATTTTTTTCATCTTATTTCAGTTGCTTTTTATCCCATATTATAATTATAAAATCTTCAAGGTACTCTTATTTGTAGCTCACATCTAGATCTGTTTCTCTTGCTGACAGCCACATGTTCTACATTGCTAATTTTTTCTTTAACGTTTTTCCTTACTACCTTCTCAAGAAATTGCTGCAGTTGCCTTTCTTGTCTATCATCAAAGCAGTGTCATCTGTATATCTTATGTTGTTCTAGTTGGGTTATCAAAACAGTAATGTCTGTATATTGTGATGTATATAGATGTTTTTATACAGGCACAATTTCTTTCTTTTTTTTTTTCCCCTCCTCCTTTTTTTTTTTTTTCTTATTTTTTCTTTTTTCTTTTTCTTTTTTTTCCTGGTATATGGGGAGAGAAATTATTATTTTCAATATTTTTCTAATTAAAAAGTGATTAATTTCCCTGATATTGATTGTTAATCAGCAATTGAATTTCTCCTTTTAAAGATGAATTGCTCTTTGCAGATCACAATATTTGACGTAAATATTCCTGCTGTATTTATTCACTGAAATCTTAAATTTCATTCACTAATAACTGCATGCTAAAGTTGTTTTTTTTAACCTGATCCTTGTGATTCTAATTAATTTATTAATTATTTGAAATAATCACCTTAAGATTATTGCTCAGAATCACTACATATATTTTTTTAATACACACCAAAAGATAGAGATAAAAATTTTGTTTGAGGTGAACACCGCACAGTCTCCGCTTGTCCTTTTTATTATATGAGATAAATCAATCACAGTTGATTGTTTTTTGTTTTTTTTTACAAGTACCCTTCAAATAAAAGATCCTTTATCATAATTTCATAGTAGTCATCGCTATACCTCCATAATTAATTATTTGCTACAAAACTTGTATCATGTGCTGTGTGAAAATGTATTTTTCCTCAAAAGCCTTCTTGTTACTTGTTTTTAAGTATAAAATTTTGTAATTGCACGATTTGAATTTGAGAATTAAGTACTTTTTCAAAGCATAATATACCATGTTGTAAATTTTCAGATTCAATGACCCATATAGATACAGAAATTGTGAGACTGTGTGAAGAGAAGAACAAAAAAATCAATGAATATGTGGAACTGTATAATTACTCCACAGTAGATGAGACCAACACATCAACAAACATGTCAGCACAATCTACCACGTCTACATCGTCTGGTACCACTACCTCCACAACATCATCATCCTCATCATCATCATCAACAACAGTAACATCAGCAGTGGTTGCCACAGGGGTAAATATGAATATTTACTAAATTACTTAAGCTTTCTTTTTATGTGCCATGTCCTTACAGGACATAGGCAATCATGGCTCTCCACCTCCCCCATATCCCTTGCAGCTCTCAACAAGTTCCTTCCCTCTGCTTCCTCCCCCAGACCACGTTCTGTCATCCACTTGCTTAAGTCCACGCATTGTTTTCCCTTGTCTCTCTTTCCCTCTATTCGACCCATGAGTTTCAGATGCAGTGGATCAAATTGGGTAGGGAAATTATTCTCTCTCTCTCTTCCAAATTGGAGAGAGCTTACTTGCTTCAAAAATCACTTTTTGAAATACTTGAACACCGACTACTGTTACCAATGGGTTATACATATGTATCTTAGCCAACAAAACAGACTATATACTAAATATATTTTAATATTGGTGACATTACATTTAAAATTTTGCTATAATTATAGAGAAAGAGTGTTTAGTGTTGGAGATAAAGCATTTATAGTTATAGTAAATGTGGACATAGGAATTAACATTGTATAGTGACTGCTAGTTTCACACCTCACATGATAATCATAGTCTGAAGATTACTTGAGGCATGGAAGTGAGTGTCATCATGAAGTGTTGATTCCTATCTCCACTCTCTCTATACCCTCGGATGAGATGACAGACAAGTCTATGAAATTCTGGAGTTGGGATGCTGAAGGTAAAATCAATCAGCTAAATGACAAACCTTTTACTTGTATTAATTATATATATATATATATATATATATATATATATATATATATATATCCATGAATCATTCATACAAAAAAACAAATATAGAGGTTAATGAATTAAATGGCGAGAATACTTTGTTGCAAACAATATAAGATACATCAACCCTGAATCTGTATATAAATGATATGATCCCCGTTTATAAATTCCAGTTGCATAATCTACTTCCATACCTGATGTCTGTAGGAACAGATGAAAGCTTGTAAAAAAAATTAAAAAGACCTTATGCAACTGGAATTTATTCCATTAATTTGATTTATATAGAATTTTGAGAGAACTTAACAAGACAAAAGACATGCTCATCAATAGGTTACATAAAATCCAAGGACGAAATGCTGATATTAGAGAAAGAGAAAATAATTCAAAGATGGAATGAATATATACGAGAACTCTTCTACGATGAAAGAGAACAACCAGCAATACACAAAAATACCAATGAACAGGAAATATTGAAAAATATTATGAATAGAGAGCACCACAGAATCAGGCCAGAGACACTGGAGCAAGGAACACAATATTTATACTCAGAGTAATACAAGTGCGGAAGTACGTGTACCTGTGTTTTATAGATTACGCAAAGGCATTTGATAAAGTACACCACAAAGATCTGTTAGAGCTGCTCAGCAACCTTGACATTTGGGAAAGACATTAGAATAATCAAGAATCTATACTGACAGCAAACTGCCTACATACAGACAAAGAATGAGTTCAATAGATATACAAAAATAAAAAGGGGTGTAAGACAAGGATGTATCTTTTTATCAGATTTATTGAACTTATACAGTGAGCCAATTCTGATAGAATTGGAAGTCCTACCAGCATTCGTTATTGGTGGCTACAATCTTAACAATATGCAGATGACAGTGCTGATAGCAGACACGGAAAGGAAACTACAAAACCTCCTACAGAAGGTACTAAAGGAAAGCAAGAAGAAAGGACTAAGCATAAACTATAAGAAGACAGAATGCATGGTTATCAACAAAAAGGTGAGCCCAAAATGCAAATCACAGGTCGGGGATACTAAAATCAAGCAGGTATAGAAATTTAAACATCTGGGAAGTGTTCTAACAGGATGGAAAGTATGACATTCAGATCTGAAGATGTCTTGGGATGGCCAAAGATGCATTCAAAAAGCTAAGCAGTGTACGGCAGTGAATGCTGGACAATCTCCTCAAAGGTGAAGAAGAGACTTGAAACAACAGAAATGCAGTTCTACAGAAAGATGCTAAAGATACCATGGGCTGTACATGTGAGCAACAACAAGGTTTTGAAGAGAATGGAAACAAAGAGGAAACTTGTATTTAACATCAGGAAGAGGCAAATGAAATTTCTGGACTTGGAAAATCTGATATTCACAGGACATAGAGAAGAAGAGAGACAGAAGAAAGCAGCTTGTAATATACTTGGTAAATGGATGGTGGAACAGGGTTTGGGAGAAATTAAGAGCTACAAAGGATAGGAAAATGTTGAGGGCCATGATCGCCTATGTCTTGAAGAGATACTGCAATAACAGAAGATATAATTTGGTCCTTGTATATATTTAAAAATGATACATATTGTTTTTTTTTTTTTTATTTAGAACCTTTGGCAGAAGTTGAAAACAATTGAGGGTATATTGTCATGAATCAGTTTTTCAATTGGCTAGAGATTTTTATTTATTTTTCAGTTTTTGGATGATGGTGCAACTTGAGTGTATTCTGGTTTTTTGCTACTAAGTTAATAAATTTTACAAATCAGCATTGCCAATTTCTTTCATCTCATTTCTGTTGCTTTTTATCACAACTTTCAGACATCATTCTACAATAATTGGTAAACTGTACAGACTAGAATTAGAGAATAAACCTCCAGTGAGACTCAATCTAACTTGAGATCTTACCAATTAAACCATGAAGATTGGCATTTAATACCATGAAGACAGTGCTTGCATAAACTCCAATTAACCATGCAGCTTGAATTCTTTACTTGAGGTGAAATTGCTAAGACAGTTGTCCCAAACAGGTAGAAAAGAGATATTTGAAATTCTCAGGAGGCTTCTTTTTTAATTCACACTGCTTACAAATAATAATAATAATAATAAAACTAGTCTGAGTGGTGATAAAAAGCAACAAATAAAACGAAAGAAATATTAGTTATTTTGGGGAACAGATTTTGATGAGTTTGCTTTCCTGATCACTATGATCTTTTTCAAGTCTAAAGTCAACTGATATCTATCCTACATATCCTTATAAAATGTGCACTTCATACCTCCTCCCTATACACCCTTACAACAACTTTATTCAGTAACCTTTAACTTTGAGTGGCTCTTGACGTTTGTATTGCATGAACATTGGTAAGAAAAATAAAATTATTACAAGCAACCAACTTTTGGAGAATGGTTATTTTTTTATGTCCCTCTCCAGAATAATTTAACCTAGCATATTTATTGTCTTTAAAGTGCAATAATGAAACATTATGAAATGTTTGTATCTTTTGGATGTCTTATTTCAGATGGTTGAAGGAATGTCAATCTCTTGAATATTTAACCAGATTTCAATAACGTTATAATTTATTTTCTAGGATAAGTGTCAGTCAAAAGAAGAGGGACCAGATGCTTGGGAATTATTGCAGAAAGCAATGGATGAGAGTAAGTGATATCCAGTCATTTTTAACTTAGAAAAACTGAAACTTTTGTACTTTTTATTTTTCCTATAAGATGAATAATTGACAATCATAATTTTTGACTGGTGTTTCTTTCATCTTAATTTTAATTGCAACTATTCAGACTGTCAATAAACAGTGCAGATTAAAAATAAAGAATAGTTTATTGACAAGATTTAAACTTCAATTCCTCTTTCTTAAAAAGATTTGGTATCTGAATTAGCTGCTGCTGCCCTATCAAGCTCAAAGAGACTACAACTGGATGATATAGAGAAATAGAAAGGATAATGGTAATATTTGCTGTTTCTTTATAAGGAAGCATTTAGCATTCAATGACTGAGTAATACTACTGTAGTTTGAAATTTATAAAAAAAATTTTATTAAAAGAACTTTTCAAGAAAATAAGCTTCTCAAGTCCAGTAACTGTCATAGCTCTTTCCAATGTTGATAGAGGCTTCTACTTGTTTGAATTAGTGAGAATGTCAACATTTTGATTATTTCACTATTTTCTCAAGTTACATGTGCTATCCATTTTCGATGTTGTTCAAAGTCCTCAATTGATATGGTTTTTGTTATTTGGTAGAGTTCTTTGTGATTCTTTAGTGCTAGTACATGAGACTTAAAGAAGAATGGTCCTTGCTAAGACTTCCAAGCTTCATTTCTTCAAAACCATTTTTAATCATTGGCTTGAGAAGTGGTTATATACAACTGACAGTTTAGATATATCTGAATGTGTTTAATGCCACACATGACATCCATAGGAAAGTCTTGATCTGTCAAGGATATTTAAAAACATGACTTTAGTTCTTAGGTTAATGTTTTGACTTTGTAACAACTTGCGATGTTGGACAAAACTACGTTTAGTGCACTCTATTATATGGTCAGTTTCCTTATTTCCAATACTAAATTTGTTATAACTCCATCGTACACCGAGGGTAACTGTCAGATTTGGTCTTGTAACATATGTAGGTTGTTGTAGTTCAACTCTTCAAGGAAGAGGGATGTAAACTGTAGTCTCACTTGGAGCTTACTCTTCATTTTTTACCTAAAACTGTTTACTGAAAACCTTAATAGTTGCAATGAAAGTAATACTTGTCATAAATTAAAAAAATGATTCAAAATCTTTTTTTGTGGATAAAATAAAGTATTTTAATGACTATCTACAATTAATAAATAAATAAAGATTGTAACTTAGTGATATTTTAAAGTATTTTATTTAATTTTTTTTTTTTTTTTTAAGACTTTTAATGACTTCCGATTCCAAATCATCTTGCTAGTGTAATCCTGAATTAAGCTTTCTTTTCCAGGTTATTTAAATTATCTAAATTAATACAAACTTGTCATGGATAATTTATTAAATAAGTTATCATCAGTATAATCTCAGAAATCAAAAATCAATGTTGCTTTCACTGAAACTAATTTTGAATCCCATTAAAATCATCAAACTTTATATATATATATATAATCCGTGTGTGTGTGTGTGTTAATAAAGATAAAAGGAAAACTTTTCTTTACCTTTTTCCTTTTGTCTTTATAGTCTTTTTAAAGATATATATTTATATTTGAATTTTGACACTCGATTATTCAGCTTGATTTTTTATATACAGTGAACTCTGTTTTCTGTAAGTAGTTCTTCCTTTTAAGTGGATTTGCATGAAAAGGATGAAACTATAGATTATACTTGATTTTGTTTATATACACACGCACATGCACACACATATATATATATATATATATATATATATATTTGAAAACTGAGACATCTTCACAAAACATCTTCATTCAAAGTAAGTTTTTATTGATGGAATTAATCCTGTATATAAAAAGAGAAACGTACAACAAATGCCAGTTACACTTTACATCAAAACAAAAATGCAAAAACTCCCAATATTTAAATTTTCCTGTCTTTTTTATATATATATATATATATATATATATATATATATCAATAATGTGCCTTTCTCTCATTCAGCTTCTATCACCGCTTACATTTATTGTTATTATTTTAACTATCCTACATTGTATTAATTGTGATTTTGTTAAGAAAGGAGATAAGTATAATCCTGGAAGAGAATTTCCTGCAGAGGATTCAGAAATTAGTACATTATCAATACAATTTTTCCTTAAAAATTTCTATCAAAACTGCTTTTTTTAAATTGAAATTAGTGTTGGACCTATTATGATTAAGTTTATTTTCTAAAAGATTCCTCCTATATTCATATAATCTATTATTTCAATTTTTACATTTTTCTCCAATATATCTCATAGGACAATTTTTTTCAATAATTTTTGTATATTCCTGCTTTGGATAGATACTTTAATATTGTTTATTGCATTAAATCCTTTATTCTTTTTTATAGTAGTTGTAATAAATTTAATATTAAGAATGTATAAAGTCTTTTTATTTGTAGTCTTTATAGATCTGGTAGGTTGTATATGTCTAGTTTTATCAGATTGTTATATTCTTTGTTTTTGTAAGCATTTCTCTTCACATATATACCTGTATCTTATAATGTTTTCTTATCAACTGTAACTGGCATTTCTGTATTCCATTTTTTTGTTTTTTTTGTCTGAAGATGTTCTTGGAATAAAATGTGTCACAACAGTTTTCTATTTTTTTATATATACAATATATAAATTTATATATATCAGAACAGTGTTAGATAGTTGACAGTGGAAAAGTTCTGTGGAACACATTGTCCAATGATGTTTTTTTTAAATGACAGGTTAAGTTAAACAGAACTTTTCTACTTTGTCATTCAGTTACATGTGTGTGTACGCATAAATGTTCTCAATTTTATCAATGTAGTACTTTTACAGCAGTTCTATGGAATCTAGGCACATATAAATCAAACTATACTGCTTTTTTTTATTATATATATATATATATATATATATATAAACATTGATAAAATTTGAGAACACACATTATGAACTTACCTACCTCCTCTCTCACGGTATCCTCCCCCCAATCAAATTTTTTTTTTTTATTGTAAGGGAAATAACTCTTGAAATATTTCTCCACTTAATAAAGCATCGACTTTGAAAGCAGCAGAAATAAATTGTTCAGTGCAATAAACTATTCCAGAAGTTGGTCAGAAAATTGATCTCGTACCTTGTGTTGCTTTTATCATCATCACATCTTTCTAGCTGTCTTTGTGTACAATCAGGAAAAAACCAGAGGATGCAACAATCAACAAAAATTTTGTCTAATATACCAACTGGTATGGTCCATTTCAAACAATGCAAGCCACACAGGCAATAAACAATACCATTCTCAGCAACATGTTTAACATAGGTGATCCCACATTTATATATAAAGATGCTCTTTCAACCTCTGTTGAGCCAAGAAAAACATTTCATATTGAAATCTAGACTAGCCTAGACACAATTTTCTCAATCTCTGTTAGTATTCACTGTCTGTTATTTGGGCCTTATACCTGAAAGGACAATATGAATCATTATCTCCCTGCAGATGTGGTCTAATATTTAATAATTCTTGGAAGAATAACAACTCTTCTTAAAATCATAGACAAAATCTAAGCATCTGTTAGTGTAAACATCTGAGTACAGAGTAAACGCAACTACATATTTCCTGAATGTGATCAAACCCTTGGCTTGTTAGATACAGGACATGCAGCCTCACTGAATAGGATAAGGCTGAATGCATTTCCCTTGATAGTCTTCCTTTTTAGAAACAATATTTTGAATGCACCTCTCATAAGCACCCTGTTAAATGTGCATTTGCTTTGCTTGATATCTATAATTTCCTGCAACTCTTTTACTTCAGTTTATTCATTATGCTTGAAGCAAACTTTATTTTCTTATTTATTCATATAAAAATGTTTGCAAGTTATGTAATATTGTTGCATAAAGGTTTTAAAACGTTTTTATTTTAGATTTTTTTTTTTTTTTAAATTAGAATTTTGTTCTTTAGCATATATGTAGAATTTTAAACATTTGGATGTGAAGTTTGAACCAATTTGTCTGTCTATAATGAATGATATAGTATTCTTATTTAAAATGACCATTGAGCTTCCTATCCATGATGGAAAACACTGTGTACGTAATATTGATGTGATGAAAAAGATTAATTATAAATAAAATTAAATACATTTTGTTTTTGTTTTTTTTTACTGTGAACATTGTATTTTGTGGGTACGCATGTTTGAGCAGACATCCTATTTTTTTTTCCCTCCAACATTGATTTCACTGATTTCGTTTTTATTTCTACTTTTCTTTTTCTCTCCTTCTTTTCTCTCCTCTCTTTTTCTCCTCCCTTTTTCTCCTTTTCTCTCCTCCTTCTTTTCTCTCCTCCTTCTCTTTTTCTCTCCTCCTTCTCTTTTTCTCTCCTCCTTCTCTTTTTCTCTCCTCCTTCTCTTTTTCTCTCCTCCTTCTCTTTTTCTCTCCTCCTTCTCTTTTTCTCTCCTCCTTCTCTTTCTCTCCTCCCTCTTTTCTCTCCTCCTCTCTTTTCTCTCCTCCTCTTTCTTTCTCCTTCTCTTTTTCCTCTCTTTCCTTTTCTCTTTTCCTTTTTCTCTTTTCCTTTTTTCTCTTTTTTTTTCTCTCTTCCTTTTTTTTTTCTCTCTTCCTTTTTCTCTTTTCCTTTTTCTCTCTTTTTCCTTTTTCTCTTTTCCTTTTTCTCTTTTTTTTTCTCTTCCTTTTTCTCTCTTCCTTTTTCTCTTTTCCTTTTTCTCTCTTTTCCTTTTTTTTCTCTTTTCTTTTTTCTCTCTTCCTTTTTCTCTTTTCCTTTTTCTCTCTTCTTTTTTTCTCTCTTTTCTTTTCTCTTTTTTTCTCTCTTTTTCCTTTTTTCTCTTTTTTCCTTTTCTTTTTCTCTTCCTTTTTCTCTTTTCCTTTTTTCTCTTTTCCTTTTTTCTCTTTCCCTTTTTTCTCTTTCCCTTTTTCTCTTTCCTTTTTTTTCTTTTTTCTCATTCCCTTTTTCTCTTTCCCTTTTTCTCTTTCCCTTTTTCTCTTTCCCCTTTTTTCTCTTTTCCTTTTTCTCTTTTTTTTCTCTTTTCCTTTTTCTCTTTTTTCCCCCTCTTTTTTTTTTCTTTTTTTTTTTTTTTCCCCTCCTCTCTTTTTTTTTTCCCTCCTCTCTTATTTTTTTCCCTCCTCTATTTTTTTCCCTCCTCTATTTTCTTTTTCTTTCTCTTTTTATTCTTTCTATTTTATTTTCTTTTTCTGTGATGCCTACTTAAACTTGTACCTACCAAATATAACATTTATAGTAATAAGTAATAACGTCAGTATCCACTGATTGCTTAAAATTACATATCTTTTCGATAATGAAACTAATGTTAGAATCTGAGTCTTGTCCATGTTAACTCTGTATGTGTGTATATATATATATATATATATATATATATATATATTCCATTATTTTAAATTTAATAAGCAGCATTTATATACATCAATTTATTTGAAATATTGTTCTCATCTTGTTTATTATAAATGTTATAGAACAAGCTTCAGCCAAGTATCCTCTGGCAGTCTTCAGGTGGCCATTGTATAAGCCAAATTTGTTTATATGGATCAAGTAGCAGAAGAGAAAAACTTATTGCACTAACATTTATTCAAATGCAACAAGTTCAAAACTGAAAATGCAAAAAAAAAACAATCATATTTTACATAGATTTTTCAAAACAAATGCTAAAATGATATCTTCAAATTGTTCATTGAAAACAATCTTTTTTTTTATGTAGGTTTAAAAAAATTATTTTTTAAGTTACTGTTTGCAATTAAACATCATCAAATATATTTTCCTCCTCCAGTTATTTTAACCCCTATTCTCCTGGTGTCAGTTTAAACTGACATTTATTTTCCATATATTGTGGCCATCTTGCTTAAAGTTTGTATTTTCTTGATTTCTGATGAAAACTTGGAAATTTTTCAGCATATTTCAGTGAAATTTTCACTTTCTAAAATTTAGATATATTGAAAAAAAGCTGTCAGTTTAAATTGACACAAGAAGGATATAGGTTTTCATGTATCACATTTTTCTCTCCCTTCCCATGCTAAAGTTCTTGAAATAATTTTAGGACCATTGCAAAATGTGTCACTCTCTTGAAGTCACTTGTTAACTTATTTGCATTTATTTTCAAAATTCAAGTAAGGTAGTTGTTAAACATTTACTTAATTTGCCTAGCAACCATTCTGTAAAAGAAACTTGTTTATAATATTCATGAGGACATGTAGATTAAATCCATTTTTGAAGTTCTACATATACCAAGGAAAAAAACAAATGAGGTTTTGAAAATTTTTATTTTAAAACAGGTTTTTTTTTTTTTTCCTTTTTATTAATGCTTGTGTTTGTAATGATTTCAATTGGGCTTTTTGCATTATTTTATTTTATTTTTTGCCAATTATTTTTTTAAAACATTATTTATTGCATTTCTATTTTCAATTTGACAACATTGTTTCATTTATTTATTTTTCATATATTTATCCACTGAGAGTGCTGCATTATTTTGATAAGAATGACCCTACAATATTTTCCCCTCCAGTTCCCAGCAGTAGAATGTTTTTCCTTCAAGTTTTGTTTTAAATATATTAGATGACATATTTTTTGTTGACTTTTGTGTTTTATCATGAAAATTTAATGGTTTTCCTATATGAATTTTCTGATGAATCTTAATTCTAAGTTAAAGATTGAATATGCTCATGGCAAGTTCTACAACAATAAAATATCCATAGATATTTCTCTATTACATCACTATATATTTGAGCTTAACAACTTTAACAAAGTATTAATATAATAATCATAAATATGAATGCTGGTCATTATTTTAAGAAGTAAAATGAAAAGATTTGAAATTGATAACTTTTTCTATTTCACTGAAACAAAAGTTAAACACTTCTTTCATTTTCTCACTGAAACCAAGTAGTGTCTCTGATATGTCTTTTCTGTCTTTCCAAACAATCAAAACAGAATAGTCAATTATTAATGAGATAGTGGCAGGGTGTAACGGTCATACTAAGTTAAGGGAGGGTCAAACAATCATCACATACTAGTTTATTCAACAACAAAAAAGGTGATAGGTTTATTTACATATGGCTAAGCATGCCTACCTTGGAGCAGATTAGCTGTGTGTTCTTCCTAGGATCACTGTATAATATCTGTGTACTTACACACCAGAGGTGGCAAGAGAACCTGAAAAATTCTCTGTACCAATCTACTTCCTAAAATCTGACCAAACATCAGAATTTAAGGGTTGGATGCCTTTTGTTGAATCTAAGAATTTTCATTTCCCTTTGATGTGGATTTTAATAGACTTTCTCCAAAAATTCAAAAATAAATAAATAAAAAAAAGTATTCTTAAAAATGTAAATAATTTTGTTCAAGGATTGATGATAAATTAATCACAGCTCTCTTTCATTTTTGAGAAAGTCTATGATTTCAAATTTGAATAATAAACAAAGAATTAATTTGGCATTATCATGGATGATTCAAAAAGCATTGCTTATCAAGCTAGTTTTGTTGATCATTACTCATGAGTTTGATCTTTGCTGGATACCCCATTATTGTGGCCTTGTACCAAACTAAATCATGTTTAGTAAACAGTTGTGAATTTGGCAATAGTACTATTGATCAGTTTTCAAGTTGGGATAAAAATCAGGAACTTGATTGCTTATTTACAAGATGACTAGTTTCTCTCTACTGAGAATCATCTTTAATAACTTTTACATTGTGTAAAACTTGGTGAATCACTTTGAGGTAAGGATATATCATTCATTAATTTCATTAAATACTGAAATGTTGAAACTGATCAAATAAACTTCAGTTTAAATTTTTGTTTTCTTTATTCTAGTGAGTTGATAGAATTTTTAGTTTTTAGAATTTTAAATATTTTCCATTGTCCAGACCATCGCAATAGTTATTCTTATAATAAAGAATAAAATAATTATTTTAATAATTGACATTTGAGCTTTTTGCATGCTTGGCTGCTTTCCAAATTTTATAGCTTGTTTAGATGACCTCCATATTTACTTTATAAGTTAGACAAAAAAAATTACTAAATTCATTTTATTTGCATATTGTTGGTTTTTGCATTTCAAACGATTTTCACATAAATTCTGATTTATCTCCCCTGAATGCTTTCATTTTATTTAACTTCTTTTTGTTTTTTTAATTCTGAAATGTTGAATTAATTTTCATTTGTTATTTATAGGAAAAATAATTGAAATAAATTATTACATTTATCCTCAATGTAAGATAATCGTTTGAAATTCTAAAACTGATTTATATCCTTTTATTTAGCACATCCTTAAAACACATTACTGCTGGGAATATAAGTATGTAAAGATCCTCTCTTCCCATTGATAATTTGATTGTCTTCCTTTGCCAAGGTTTCATTTATTCCTTTTCCCAACCATCTGACATGTGAAAATGGTAGTTGCTGTTTCCTCTTTATTTTTTTTTTTCACTGGTATCTCACCATTGTCCTTCAGTTACCAGACTAACAAAAGTACTCAGAAGCATTGGTATGTGCCAGACACCTTATGTAGTGGCCGGCACCGAGCACTTAGGCAGTAGTACTATCACACATGCGGCACCCAAACGAGCAGAAACTTTTGCTGGCTTTGACAGCCTTGATTTAAGGAAAGGTAAGCTTTGGCTTGTAGTTTTACAAAGTTTGTTTTTGTTACTCTTTTAGATATTCACCTGCACTGAAAAAATGTTCACCACTTTATTTTTTGCGATCTATTGTTGTACACTAGATATCTAATACAAATCAATAATTAAAAAATTAGATTTTTTTTTTAAGAAATTTTATTTATTTTGGTGTGATTTTTAGATATTTTCAAAATATTTTTTCGTTATCCTAATGGTTAAAGTTGGGTGTTTTTCTTCTGTATTAATCCACTCATCTCATTTCTAAAAGAAACTTCTAGGATCTTTCAATGATCCCTTATCAATATTCAAGGACTTAAACTGCAATTGTGATTTATTTTAATGCATATATGCACTTAAAATTGTAAAGTTATTTGCATGTGTAAAATCAAGTCTCCAGGTAAGGTGATGTTCTTAAAGATGTTAACAACAGCAAAAATTCAATCATAATCTAATATTTATTAATATTCTTTGATATACAGGAACACAAATAATATCTACATTGCTGACTAAAATAAAAAATATTTATAGTTTCTAAATTTTTCTGTATTTGACTCCAAATTTATAGTTAGTACATAAAATTGTGATCTATAAACAAAACAAAAAATAATTCAGTTTTTCTTTTATAGTTGTAACCATGGATTCCTGTTCAGTTAGCTTATAATGCAAACATATTCAAGTAGGTTGTAAATGATTTTATCTGGGCCTGAATCACCAGTAGTTTTATGACAACCAGTAGAAGATGTGGGTGCTTTAAAGCAACCACTCCCTCTCCAGAAATAGGGGAAAAGAAATTAATCATGTGAATAAATAAATAAAAACTTTCAAGATCAAGTTCCACTTAGTCAGAAGGTAGGAAATTCCAATCATGAGCTTACATCAGTTATGTGCCATGCGTGATACATGCTTAGGCAATCATTTATCTTTCAATACATGACTGACAAAGCAGATTTGTTTTTCCCCACAGTAAGTTGCCATTTTTTTCTGCAGTAGACCAGTTGTCATCTAAGGCTATAGAACCTGGTCTGTCCTGCTATTTATCCAAAGCTGAGAGGGGAGAAGAAAAGGATTCATACTTTTCACATAAGTGAATGTAATTGATTCGACTGGAATCTGAGCTTATATAGTCAGGCTATATTTTAGAATGTCTAATCAGAAGCCACTTGTTGGCAAGTAAAAGGCTACTCATCATCATGTAAAAATAGGCAAAGGGATGGTAGATGAGAGTTGGCAGTCAGATAATTTATGAGCCATCTGTCAGGGTTTAGAATGTCGAAGTCAGAGAGGAGCAGTTGGTGTACTTGCTAGCTAAAGAGAAGATTTGGTCCATTAGACAGTCATGAGTGAAGACAAATAATAGCGAATATATCTCAAGTGTTACTTGCACTGCCTGGTGAATCCATGAATAAAGAAACCAGTATATTGGAAACCGGATTCATCTTTTCTTTTTCTTACTATGGCAATATCTTGTGATAGGTGTAGGTTTTCATAGTTAACTCTTCTACTAACCTTTATTACTCTCTGTATGACTTTGTGTTGTACAAAAAGTTTATCCTGCCACTGAAAGTGACTCTGATCCTTGATCAATAGTGTTTGAATTTCATAGATGTGTTGTCATATCCTGCTATGACAACAGAAAACAACTTTGAGTGAAAATAACAATAAGGATAATGGCCTTGAAGAAGAATGCAGTAGAAAGGGAAGTAATATTAATGATGCAGAATGCTAAAGGTTAACTTTGCACTGATAATAATTTCTTGTTACTTGGGAGTAATGATTGTTTTCTTCATATGGACACACTTCTAGCAGTATATATCAATTCCGTTATATTAATGAAGATGAGTGGATAATACCTGCTCACTAAAAGAAACATTTTTAATCTATACAAATTTTTGAAGGTATCTGACTTACAAACATTTATTTCAGAAAAATATTTTGTTTTCAGGTAGATGGCTCATTTGCCTTTTTTTTTCTTTTTTTGTTTTTGCTTTGCTTTTTTTCTTTTATTCATTATCCTTTCCTTGCTTTCATTTTTTTTCTTTTTCCCCTTTTTGCTTTATTCCTTTTCCTCTTTGTGATTTTTAAAAAGTTTTCTTTCTTTGTTTTATTTTTCCTTTCTTAAATTTTATATATGTTCAAACATATTGCAAGGTTTGCTTAATTTTTAAAAAATACATTTGTTTGTGTATAAGCAGTTGCACAACCAAACAATTTATAAGGATACTGTCCAAAGTTTGTAATGCTTTTATTGAAGTACTTTCAACCAACACTAGTCACTATCAAGAGTGTTAATGTTATAAATTAAAGTTTTTATTATAGAAATGTTATAATTCTATATTAAATGTGTGTGTGTGTGTGTGTGTGTTTAGGACAGTTCTTAACTGTAGCTAAGTATTATATATATATATATATATATATATATATATATATATATATATATATAATTTCAAAGTTTTTAAAAATTATTTCTCATGTAATTTATGGTTAAAACTGTTCTACACATGAGTATTCAATACCCATACTAATTCAAATTTTATTGTTAGTGGATACCCATTTCTGAGTAGACGTCTTGTTTTTTAAACTGTGTATTACATCTACCGGCCTGTACACTTAAGAAAATTTAATAAAGAAAGTGTACCCTCTGGCAGTGTTTGGCCCCCTTTGGAGTGGGGAAAAAAACCATACATTTAAATGTATTGACATGTATGATTTCTCCTACAAAGTGGGGAAAAACAAGTTTGAACACTACCAGAGGTCAAAATTTCTTTATTCAAACTTTTATAATATTATGAACTTTGGACAGTTTCTTTATAAGTTTCATATGGATGTGTAATAGCCGACCGGAGAAAACATTTAAAAAAAGAAAACGACCTTGTCTAATAAGTTCGATTTTAAAGAATTCTTACATAATTTTCATTATCTATGCATACCATTGATAAAATTTAATTTCTGAATTTAGCAAAATAACACATTGACAACACTAAATAACTAAAAAAAACAAAATATACTACACTAATAAAATTTATCTGAGAGAAGATTCATACCTATCCGATCTTAGCAACCTCAGTAAGTGACTTTTTTTTTCTTTTTTATTAAGACTTTTTGCTTAAAGGAACCACTTCAGAGCTTCTCTTTGGTTTAACCAAATCTGCTAACATTACAACTATTGTGCTTTTGGGAATCATTATTAAATTTTGTGATTTTTCTTTTATATATTTGGAATTGACTGAAGCTAATTTGAAACCAGAAAAGCAAACTAAAATAAATAAGAGGGTCTAATTTATTTTCCTTCAAATATGTTTGCAATGCTTTCAGTTTTTGGAAATAGCAAGAATGGTCTGCTGCTTTCATACTATGTGAACTTGTTTCACCTTTGGTATGCCGGCCTCTTGCTTCCAATATATTTAGGTTTTTTATTCAGGGTTTCCTTAGTATGGGTAGGTAGGTAAATAGTTGACACTTACAACAAATTTTGCCATGATATCCTAAGAGCTCACTTTTTCCCACCTATCAACTTTCTGTTCATCTACAGAATCTCTCTGCTCCTCATTAAGTTTAAAGTAACTTTCAGTGAAACTTGAACTTGCATTCTTCTCAGAATTTAACAGGGCCAGAATTTCTTGTATTGTGTCTCTCTTTTCATGCCATATTGTTTATTTTTAAGCATTTCACTTCAAGCAAGGTGGGAGTGCCACTAGCACACAAGGGGCTAAAGAGAGTGAAAGTAAGAGTAAAGAGGGGTGTTTGAGGAAAGGATATCAAGAAGGACGGGGATCAAGATCAATGCATCAAAAGATGTCGATTGACATTGAATATTATAGCTGTCAGGGAAGCAAGTAAGAGGAAGAGAGTTCCACTGTCGGGAAGTGTGAAAGAAGAAGCTGTTGGAGTAGAAGAGGTGGTTACATTTAACTGTTTCACTAATGAAAGGGTGGGGACTGAGATGCCAACCTTATAGCATGCTTAAATTCATGCAGTTTGGGGCACCAGGAAAAATAGTTCGTCAAAATAGCTGCCATGAAAATATTTGCAGAAAAGACAGAGGGAGGCCACATCACATGTGAGAAAGTGACTGGAATCGAGATGCCAGGTCAGGACCTATCACATTGCATATCCATCTTTGGAATCTGTCAAGAACCTCGAGATGAACAGCAGGGGCACCAGACCATATATGGCAACAGTATTCAATGCAAGAATTGAATGGTAGATTTGAAGGATGGACTCAGATGAGAAAAACTTCTGTCATGATACACAGAACCAACTTTCTTTGCGGTAGATTCAATGTGGTTGTTCCACCTCGGGCCAATGGAAAACGTGAGACCAAGAAGGTGCAGAACGACACTCTCGTGAAGTTGGGCATCAACTATGCTGATAGGAGGCAGGGAGGTTTCTCTATGGTGGATGAATGAGAGTGGTTTCATTTTGCAGGCATTAAAGTTTACAAGCAATTTCCTACCCCAGTCAACCACATATTGCAGGTCATTTTCAAGACCAATGGCCATGTTAACTTTGTCAGCAATGTCGGATTTACTATTGAGACTGGAGTAAATGGTGGTGTTGTCTGCATAGATGCTTACTTAAGAACTAATGACATCAGGAAGATCATTGATGTAGGACCCAGGATAGAACCTTGAGGAACACCAGCATTTGTATAAAAGGAACTGGAAGAGAATCAGTTTAGGATGAACTTCATTTCATGATTTGACAGGAATGATTGGATTAAATCAAATAATCATCCTGTAATACCATGTCCCTGAAGTTTATGAAGAAGGCTGGAATGTCAAACCCTATCGAACATCTTAGAGATATCTAAAGCTACAACTTGAGCTTCACTGTCATTATCAAGAGCTTGGTATACAAATTCAGTTATGACTGTAAGCACATCAGCGGTAGACTGGGCAAAGCAGAAACCATATTGTTTGTCAGAGAGTAGATCATGGGGGGTATGGTGCTTAACCACTTTGGTATTGATTAAAGCCTTGAAGACTTTGCTGAAGAGGACTAGGAGACTGATAGGACTGTAGTTAGATGGGTCAGAAGAGTCTCCAAAGTTCTTAAAAACAAGGACAACAGATGAGGACTTCTGACAGGCTGACAGCAAGAGTACCTCTATTTTCTTTTTAAATTTCTCTTGCAACCAATTATCTTTATTTATTAGAATAAATCAATGATGAGAGAATACTTTTTTAAATAAAACAAAAGATTAAAATTTGAATTTTCTTTTAGTGTTAAACTCAATTGCCTGCTGTAAGAACTAGCAATGCCACAATGTGGATATGTATTATCTGATTATAGATCTTTTCAGAATATCTTTATAAAGTCTTTTTGTTTTGTTTTCCATTTCCCTCAGTTCTTCATTCTATCTTTTTCATATTCATTTATTAACCTTTTATCACTCTTTATGTAGTTTCATTTGCTGTCCACAAAGTTCATCCTAACATTGAATTTGAATTTCATAGTTGTGTTGTCATACTCTACTATGACAATAGAAAACACCTTTGAGTGAACTTAACATTCAGGTTACTGCAAATGAGAAAGAATGCAGTGGAAAAGGAAATATTAATAATGCGGAGTGCTTTTTGATTTTTTAATGTTAAACGTAGTATTTTAGTTTCTGTACATCTAGATTTCTATTTAAATAATTTGACCTTTTTAAACGGGTTATTTGTAAGATTTACTTTCATCAATTGAACTCTGGCTGCTTGCTGATACACTATTGGCTAAATTTTCACTATTTTGGTCAGATCAAGGCTAGGCCTGCTAATGGTAACATGTAACCCAGTACAACTTGTCAAATAGTTGGGTGGTTGGCATCTGAACCAGCTTCCCCCACTGGCTTTTCTGCTGGTGAGGAGTGTGGTATGTCACAATACAGGACAAAAAACAAGAATTGTTAAAAGGTGGATGGGCTTCTTTTATGAACCAACATACTTTTGTTTTTATATATATATATATATATATATATATATATATATATATATATATATATATATATATATATATATATATATATATAGTAAAAGGCTAGGATGAGATCTCAAGCCTTGAAGGGCAACCTTCCTAGAGATGGGGTCTTGATAAAACACTCTATACTTGGTTTACTTGTGAGTGTTTGAGATGAGTGTCAGGAAGAGTATCCGGTTTTGTAAAACCTTGCCCCAAATAATTATAACAAATCCTTTGTCAGGCAGGACTCGGATGCTTTGTGTGAGATTAATTCCATTCTTGTCTCAATAAAAAGACATGGCTATGTATAAATGTGTTTCAAAATGTGTAACAGCAAATCAACATTGGCAAGCATCAAATGAGTATTACAAACTTGTTACTCTGAACAGTTTTATTCTAATTACATATTAAGCTGTGTCTGTATTTTCTGATTGGTTGCTAGTGTATTGTATTGGTAAACCAGTATTATAAGTTCAACAAGTTAAATAAGTTACAGAAATGGACATTTGTTCTTGTGCAACAGTTTAAATACATATTTAATTAATATCAGCAATATTCTCTAGTTTCTTGGAGAAAATTTTGCTCATATTTCTGATTTTTGTTTCTTTCTCCACAGAGCCTGTTCATAAACGCCAACTGTCTTATGCTCATCCTGATGGACGAAGTTCCAGTATGTTTAATCTCTCTGAAAGTGAAACTTTGTCAGCCAAGGTAAGTAGAAGAATTGTTGTCAACCAAAGTTCAGAACATAAGCCAATGAAACTTCAAATGGTAGCATAGAATATAGACCTCTTTGCTCCTAGATATATGAAGATAAAAATTTAATATTAAAAATGACCTGTTCAGATACCAATGCTTCAAATGTGAGAGAAAATTTAACCAATGTTGCTTCAAAGAATTAAATTGCATAAAATTCTAAATACCTTGTTTGAAAAGAAATCTTTTAATTTTAGATGAGTTTGCATTGTATATAATTTCAAATTTAGTTTTTAATTTTGCATCAGTGATTCATTTTTAGAATATTTTTTTTCATGATACATTAAATTTCGTTAGCTAAATCAAAAGTATGTAATTCAAAATATATGTATAAAATCAAAAAATAGTTCAATCAAAAATAGTCATTAGTTTAAGAAAGTAATTAAGGTCTAGTGGATACACTAATTTTGAAATGTTTACTGCAAACATTTTTAACCAAAGATGAAAATAAGCAGCCTATTATAATTGTGCTTTTGCCTCCCTTTGTTAGTTTGTATGATTACCAATACCTCATAAATAATAGACTATTCCATTTTCATCATGTGGTTAGATGAGAAAAGACACTACTTAGTTCTACTGAGAAAATGAATGAATGAAAGTTAGATAGAACTGTTTAACAGCTGTTTCAGTAACATGGAAAAAAACTGTCAATTTCAAATCTTTTTATTTCTATCCACTTCTTAAAATAACAACCAGCATTCATATTTATGATTGTTATTGCAATATTTTGTTAAAGTTGTTAAGCTCAAATATTTAACAATGTGATAGTGGATTTTCTATGGATATTTTTGTTGTAGTACTTGCTATGAACTTATTCAATCATTTAACTTAAGAATTAAGATTAATCAGAAAATTCAAGTAGGAAAACCATGAAATTTTCATAGGTTAAAATTAGTTAAATTTATGGCAACAACATTGTATATTTTTATAAGATGAGCATATTCTTAGTTTGTTTTTGCCTAATAAATGCTTAGTCTTTTGCTTCTAAGATTCTTATGTATACTCACTGCTGATTTATATGCATGACTAACATTTTATTAGTAACCTACTAATTGTTTAATTATAAAACCGTATGTTCCTAACCTTTTTATATATGTTTGCATGATAACTGGCATATAGTTTTTATTACTTTTAGTAAATTTGAAAAATATAAATATTCTCTGACCTTGAATTTACAAAGAAATCTTAACTCTCTATTTGATAAATATTGTAAGAATTTGTTTAAGTATAGTAAATACAATTTCTTAATAAATTTGATTGCTTGTATTTTTTATCAGTTTTAAATAAATGAAGGCAGATCATCATTGAATAAGAGGAGGTGCTGAAAAGTTCTCACTGATGAAAAGCTCTCATATCCAGTACTATCTTTCCATCTGAGGATTGATAAGTACTTTGGAGTCATTAGATTTTTTAAAAAAATATTATCTGGAATTTTATTTTGTATTAAATTATAAAATCAATGATCTATATGTATTTTGCATATTTTTCATTGTATTATATATATATATTTTTTTTTTCATCCCAAAAGTTGATGGCAAAAATCTGCTTGTGTCCTATACACAATGTATGTGTGCACACACACATACACAATCCATATGTAAATAGATTTAAATAGTTATGCATAGTTTAGTATGCTGCTCTGATCAAAGGAGAAAACAATTCACCATAATGGAAATGTCTAGAGAGTGCCTTGGTAAATTTGTGCTTTGGGTTTTACAACAGTTCACCATTCCTAGCAGAACTTCTATTATCACAGTCTGGGATATCCAATAACAAAAGGGATGAAAAGAAAAAAAATCTAAATGAAATTGGCGAAATAAAAAAAAATAAAAAAATAAAAATTCCCAGCATCCCTCATTCATGCACACGTGTAGTCATACCAACATAACAAATTTAGTCCGGTGAAGCCACTTTGTCATACATTTTTCCCCCTAATAGTTTGAAAATAAACTATTTTTTTTTTTATTTTGCTGTTATGAGCTTTTTTATTATTAGAGCAATATAGGTTAATTTCTAAATCATCAGACTGAATTTTTGATCAATAAAAATCTTTCCAATAAGATTGCAGCTTTTTATTTTTTTTTTCAAAACTTTATCTTTAAAATAAAGATTTGTCTTCTACATCAAACAATCTAGTAAATCAGTGTTCCCCAAATGGTGCAGCAATGCAGTGGAAGAGGATAAGCAGATGAGATTGAGTGATTAAAAGACATTAAAAAATTTAGAAACACTTTCAAAATATTCATATGCCAAAAATAAATGATTTCAAAATTTAAAATATTATTATGGTTTCCTTGTAATTGCATGCATGAGTCCCAGTATAAATAGTTATAAATAATTACTGACCAATTTTATCACTATGATATTTTTCATTATATCAAGTATTATGAATATAGTAAATAGGGTCTGCAAATTGGAGTATAGAGTTAACAATGATAATGTTCTGACTTCAAATCTACGGTTATCTTCCATTAACCCTCTGTCTGGACCCTCTTTGCCATAGGGCTACTTGCACCTTTTCACCGGGACTTTGGTGAGATGCAAACAAATTTTCATTCCAAAAATGCAACCCAGAGAAAAAAAAAAGTTTGGGAATCACTGTAGTATATTAACATTGGTTTATTTGAGAAAAACTTTGACAGGCTGATCAAATTCACTCTTTTTATAGGCTAAAACCATTGATATTCATATATCTATATATATATCTATCTATCTATCTATCTATCTATCTATATATATATATATATATATATATATATATATATATATATATGTTCTCTCACACACACACACACACACACACACACACACACACACACACACTGTGAAACAAAGGGGGAAAGCTTTTAAATGACATGTTTCACCGATGACTCCTGAAACCTTAAAAACATGCTATATAGCAAAGATTAGCAAAGATATGCTGCATAATTACATTTCAAATGCAATGGAGGTTCATCATAATACATCTGGCCACAATTTCAACTTAATAAATGTCAATCTGATCAAGAGAGAAAAGGATTCACTAAGAAAAAACATGTACTGAGAATGCCAGGACCACACATAATATCACTGATCATCGTAAAAGCAATAGTAGCACAATGCGGTATACAAGCTAGTAGGGGGGGGAACAGATCTACTATGAGTAGGTTGGTTTAAAATCCAACAGATCAACAACTCGCACACTCACACACATTAAAATTTTAAAAATGTACAAGTGCTCAGTATTTACAATATAATAGAGCGTAAATAATTTTTTTAAAATTGAAAAATTTACTTACTGTAAATTAATATCCATTTGTGAATTATTTTTATTCCTCTCCCAACTATGTAGTTTTGTGGTTTATGTCCACTTTTCAAGGGTTAAAATGTTTTTATATGAATGACTATTTTTTTATACTTCCATTTTTCCTTCCCTGTTAGTGATGAGTCCATGCCGAAATTAACTTGCATGTCCATCAATCTGTTCAAGAGTACATTTCTAATACACAACAGACGTGTGTATGTTCATGCTCCCATGTGCACTCATAAAAAAATACACTTTGTAAAATAAACAATAGAAAAATAATTACATTAAAAAAAAAATGATGCGTTTATGAGCATGAACATATACATCTGTTGCATATTGGATGCTCTTGAATGATTGATGGACATGCATGCACATGTCACTTAACACAGTCAACAGTAAATGCAAATAAAAAAAAACAAAAAAGAAAAACAGACATTTATATAAAAACATTTTAACCCTTGAAAAGTGGACATGAACCATGAAACTAGTTGGGAGAGGAATAAAAATAATTCAAATATATATATATATTTATTAAAGACATTTTTATGTTTAACGTTCTTTTTATAGATACAAGTATTTAAGTAAATGCTCTGTTTATAATAAACAGTATTAAATAACATTTACCGGCCTGAATGTCGAGAAATTTTCATAGAAAATATTCGTTCTTTGACAGGATTTGAACCTGCATCCTATATGGAACCGTCATTTAAGAAACGTGCCTTATCGATCCATGGAAGATTGAACAAGGTCAGTAATTTACTGCTTATAAACTTCAATCTTCCATGAATCTCGTACATTCATAACTGCTCTGGCGTATCAAATGTAAACAAATGACGTCATGCCATATTATGGAAATGAGTTGTTCTCAACCTTATAGGATGCAGGTTCGAATAAAAGAATGAATATTTTCTATAGGATGAAAAATCCTGACAAAAAGGCCGGTAAATGTTATTTAATACTGTTTATTATAAACAGAGCATTTACTTAAATACTTGTATCTATAAAAGAACGTTAAACATAAAAATGTCTTTAATAAATAAATTGTTGGACTTTGTCCATTTCTTAATATATATATATATATATATATATATATATATATATATATAATTTTTGAAGAATTTGTTTTATATATGAAAAATTTGTTATATAAATAAAACAAAACCTTTTTTGTTTGGTCATCACTTGTGATAAGGTAATTTATTGCCCCATTTATCCCCCAAAATCTCAATGCATTTTCCTTACACACAGCTTTCTCTTACATTTCAAGCTGGAGGCGGCAAACTTAATATATGTCATGTTGGCAAAATGTGTTGTTTAAAAGCTTTACTACCTTGTCTCATCATCATAACTTTTGATTTGACTACTATTATACTTCCTACAAACACATACATATATGTGTGTGTCCTTTTTTTTTTGTTTTTGTTTTTTTTTCTCTATCTATTCCATTCCTTATTTCAGAATTTCAAGTCTGCCACACTTCAACCGGTATGAATGAATTGGTGATAATAGATTTTTGCACAAATACCTCACCATGACACACCTCTTCACATGTTGTTTGCCTTTCTTTTAGCTTTGATATTCTTCTTTTTATAGATTCAGATTTTAATTCTTCTGAGTCACTCTCTTCTCTGTTCATTCACATAACTGTATGCAAACTTTCACAGACCTTGTATGTAGATTCATTCCCAAAGCACTTAAAACACTATCTCATAGTTGTTTGTTATGAAACCATGTCTTCACTAATTACTATTCTTGTAGATGTGTATTGTTCTTTTATATTCCTTCACTGTTAAATTTCCTGTAATTGATGTTTGTTTTAGCCTTCTCACTGCACTTGTGGAAATGATCTAAAAACACTGTTCTTGTGTATGTGTTTATAATTTTATTGATGCTTAGCAGTATTCCTAGCAGTACTTTCCTCCTGTAAGTTTGACCCTTTCTGTTGATATTTATGAGAGATATTTTAAATATTTCATTCCTTTGAACATTGTGTTATAACACACCTGGCTCTCCAATTGGTATTAGTTTTGAAACCCTGATAAAATGTTCAGTTTTTTTGTAACCAGGGAAGGTTACTGAATAGAATAATCAATCAAAGCTTGGTAATGAGTGATAATACTTGGGACACAAACAACACATAAGATTTGCCAGTGGCATGTAGAAGAAATATTCAACTGCTAGAAGTGAGTCAAGTGGATTCCACAATGACTCTCCAACTACAGACCAACATACAGTATTTACTACTATATTTATGTGAATGGGGACATATCCATTATTGTCCGTAGGTATGCTACAAGTTTTATAGTTGTATTTTTTTTTTATTTTAATGCCTGTTTATCATTTAAGTGACAATATTACTCGGTATCATTATATTAGATTGTTATGGAAAATGTTTTTTTATTTTTATTTATTCATTATATCTTTGTTATTATGTTTTGATCATTGTATTATCAAGCCGCCTTCAGCTGTCTGTCAGCTTATGGCCCCATCACATTGAAGATCCGGTTCCCATACAAATTTAAGCAACATTGAGCTTGGTCTGTAGCTAGATGGGTGACTATTTAGGAATACCAGGTGCTGTAGGCTTGTATGTGCAGTCAATGTAATGGATAATGGCTCAGAATTAGAAATTGGAGAGGCAAGTTCCAGTTGGATTTGTTATATTCACTTACATGCCAATACCTTTGGGAAAAGTATGAATCCACCTCTTCTCCCACAGTTATGGGTTAATTAGTAAAACTTATCTTTAAATCATTATCTAAAAAAATGTTTCTGGCTTTAAAAAACCTGCAAAGGGTTGTTAAGCCATAAAAAACAAATCAATCAGAACAATATTTTGTCCATTGGGCTTTCCAGGCTTCTTCAGCTGTCAATCTAAGTAACCTTCAGGGAATTTATTTATTTTTTTTTTTTTTTTTTGTACTGTTCAGTTATTGTTAACTCCGTTTTTGAGTCCATACTACTCAGCCCAGGGATTGAACTTACAATTACTATTTTTTTTTTTTTTTTTTTTTTATACTCATCATTTCACCCGTGCAATGCTAGTAGGATGCAAGGGTTTACTGAGAGTGAAAGAAAAAGAGTAGACAATAAGAGAACATACTTCAAGGAGACAGAAAATGATGATTGACATTGCATTTAATTTTTTTGAAGATCATAGTTGACAGGAAAGCTGGAAGGGAGAAGTGCCAAAGAAGAAAGAATTACCATAGCACAACTAGCAACTTAAACAGTGAAATTATGTGACCTTAGCTGCCAGTTAAGTACTGTGCTTAAATTCATGAAGTCAAGGTACCTACAAAGAAATTTCATCAGAACAATTACCATTCAAATATTTATAGGAGAGGCAAAAGGAATCTACATCACTGGTAGGAAAGTGACTAACTCCCGAGATACCTCGTTAGGACGGATAATGCTGCCAGTTCTGTATTGGATTTTGTCAGGAATCTCTAGGCATAATACAGACGCACCAGATCAGATGTGGCAAAAAATATTTGATGGACAGATGAATGGTAAACTTATAAATGAGCAAAATAGATTCTGGTAAGAAATTGATAGCATAGTAATTGTGTGAGTTTAATCTTTGTGCTGAATTATCCAGACTTAGACTAAGCAATAACTGAGGTGTATGAAGAAGAATAGATGTCCCTGAAGGTAGACAGCAGAACAAGAATGATTTATCTCCTTGTAGATTTAATAAAGGGTTCTGTTTTAAATTCCTTTATGTTTACCTGGATCAATAGACACCTGAAGGACAGAGTGCAAATAATGTAGAGAACTCCTCATCCCCAAAATTCAGATTGTTTTTCTTTTCTTTTTTGTATTATAATATGCTATTTTCTTCAGAGGAGCAGTTATTTATGTTTGGAATATTGTCCTTGTCTTTGTTGTTTTTGTCACAACATTTTGACCATTGTGCCCTCTGGTCTTCATCAGGTGTATATTGATCTGCTTAACCTACACAGAATTCTGAATTGAACCCTTTATTTAATCTACAGGTTTAGACTGCTCTCATTCTACTGCTCATGTCTGGGGTTATTGTGTAGTCCTTATTTTATTTAGTTTGTCCTGTTTCCACTAAGTGCAAGTACACATTGCCCAACTCAGGGATTGAACTCACTTCATCCCAGAAATTCAGCTCACAATATTGTTTGTGATTAATGATTATTGATTTTCACTTTGTTATTTTAGTTTATCAAAAGTTTTCATAGGCACCTTCTTCTTTTGGATAATGAGGGAAATCTTTTATCCGTGCATTAGATTGTATATTATGCTAAAATTTACACAATATTTTCCTATGCTTTAATTTTTTTTTTTTTTTTTGATAAACTCATATGCAGCAGTTTTTATTTTACAGCTTTGAGCATTTTAACTGAATTGCACTAAAAAAAAAAAATTGCTATGATATACAATATTTGCTGTATTATGGTAACAAACATACATACAGAAATTGGACTGTTATTATTTTGGTTTGTGCATGAACCTGCTTTGTATACATGTGACACAATTGGTTGTAATCATCCATTGGCTTAGGGCACCCACATAGGTGAACTGAAAATGATTTTATCCAGGCCTGTTTTTTTAACAACCATCTGTAAAATTAAGATGTGAGAGCTTTAAAGCAACCACCCACTGTCCGCAATATCAGAATATGTTATACTCTAGTATCCAGGTCAAAATCAGCAATGACCTTCAAGGTGTTGCAATTTTATTTTCTATCAGTCTATTTTGCCTGTTTATGATGGAAATATTGTCAGCTTGTTTTATAAATACCAAAAAAGAAAATGTCTTCCAAACATTCTAAACAAATAAGACCTTACATAGAAAAAAAAAAAAAAATGGACAATATGATGAATTGGGATCAAGTACAGATGAGAAACTAACAGAATGATAAAGCTAAAAAACAAGTAGAAAATGTTTATCAATCTAACTTGTTTCACATTAATAAAAGTTTCATGAGAGATGGAGAAAAAAAAGTAAGAAACAAATTTTGATATTTTTGTGGTGTTTGAATTTCATTGGTTAATCCAGTTCCATCTGCATTCAATTTGTTAAACAAATGTTAGTATAATTTATGGCGTTCTTATTTCAAGGAGAGATGACGTGTCCCTTTGAAGTTCCAAGAAATCGATGTATTCTAAACCTAACTGAAAAGCCACAAATATTACTTTAAGTGTATAATAATTCTAGTTTGTCTATGTGGGATTCAGATGATAATGTCTATCCATAAGTCTGTGTATGAATAAGATGAGTGAGTTTAAATGATTGTCCAAATGTAAATCTTGTATGTTTATAGGCTTTTAGATTTTGAGAGGTCTCGCTGATATAAGTGCCTTTACATTGTAAGCAATTTATTTAATAGTTAATCCATATTTCATTCTCTGATGAAGCATTAATAAAAGTGAAACATGTTAGATCGATAAATGTTTCTTGTTTTTTATCTTATCAGAATATGATATATAAATTTTATATATCAGACTAAAAGTGGGTTATTGAATAACAAAATGGGAAAAAAAATCATATGTAGTGTTTCATTCTTCTAAGTCTGAAGAAGTTATTTTGAAGGACAAAATGCATTATGTAGGATTTTTTTTTCATTTTGTCATTCATTTACCAACCATAAAAGAAAATGTTTGGTACTCTTTGACCTGTTAACAACCATGAAAATTGTATTATGCAATGGCAAAAGATTGAAATCTGTTTTGCAGCAATTATGACTAACTATCCATTTATTCTTTCCTCCATTTTTAGTTGTGGAAGAAACAGGTAAACAGCTCTGTACCGACTTTCTTAATTACCTTTGTTTTGTCTTCTAAATGCATGATCTTCTAGATAGTCATTGGCCAGTTGGGTAACAGCACTTCCACCCACACCTATGGCATTGTTTTTCTGCTTGAAATTAAAAATTTAATTTCACTTGTTTACAAATTTCATATAATATATTAAAGATACTTTATTATGAAACGGAGGCTGAATATATAACCATTTCTTTCTCTCTATAGGATGCCAACAAAATGAATTTCCGAAAAAGTGCAGGTTACTTACATAGTATGATGGCTAAAAATTCACCAGTGGAGGGACTAGATGCAGGCCAGACGGTCAGTTGGGCTGGTTCTGTTGGTTCTTCAGAGATGCTTCCAATATCCACTCCATCTTCTAGTGTGCCATCTATTCCCGATTCCACTGGTTCCCCATCTTCTGCATCTCTTGTCTCAACAACAGCTGCAATAACAAACACCTCAGACAGACTTTGCAATACTGTACAACTTTCACAGTTTCTCCATGGCTTTGTGGTAAGTTTGTAGTGAATTTTATTTATTTTTTTAAATATTTTTTTTTTTTTGTTCTTTATTCTCCAGTGAGTATGACAAGCTTCAAATATTTTTACTTAACAAGCTTCACCAAATAAAGAACATACCCACTAGACTAAAATGTTTTGTATGACTCCCTTGCTAACCATTGCTCTCTAGCTAGATGTTCACAAGTCTGTTGCTAATTAGATCAAATTCCATTGGACAAATGTTAATGCTGTGGGATTAATTCTTGTTTTCATGGTAAGTTATTGGAGCTTTGTTTAACAAGTTTTCCATATCAACAACTCTGATAACATTTTTCCAAATGCATAATAATGTAAAGAACATTTTAAAAATAATTGCTACTTTACTAAAGTTGGCAACAAAAAGACAAAATTTATGAAGAGCTATAAAGGACAGGAAATTGTGGAGAGATAGAGCCATGATTGCCAATGTCCTAAAGTGACATGGCACATAGAAGATGACTAAAGTAGGTAAGGTGCATTATAGTTTTCTGGTTTGTATGACGCTACAGAAAGTCTGACATTTTGATCAAAATAGATTTGCAATAATTTTTTAAAACTTTTTATAAAAAGGGATCATGTTTTTATGGAACCAATATGGAGTGTGTATGATAGAAACTTGAGATATTTACTTCTCTTTTTTTTTTTTTATTTTGTCCCCTTTGTTGCCCCCACTTTCCTTACTTCACATGCAGTCACAAGACTTCTGTGAATGTCTTAGTCACCTACATTTAAAAATAAACAAAACTTTTAGCAACTATCAATTTGTTTGGATAAAACTATTGGGCAGATGAGTTAATTCTTCTGAATTTGATTCCAATTTCTTATTCTGGCTTACAGCCATATCGTGTTCAAAAATTGATTCCCATAAAATCCAAAAGTTAAGCAAAGTCAGTCCTGGTCAGTACCTAGATGAGTGACCACTTTGGGAAATCAAGTGCTGTAAGCTTAGATGTATGGGTGGTGTAATAGATAAGAGCTCAGAATGGAAAGTTTGCGAGCCAAGTTTCAATTCCAATCAGGTTTGTTATATCCACTTACATGCAAATACCCTTGGGAAATGTATAAATCCACCTCTTCTCCAAATACCCTTGGATAAGGCATGTAATTCCTATTCTTAAAATTTTCTTGTTTCTCAAATATTTTGCCCATGATATTCATTAGTTGGGTCTTACCAATCTTCTAAGTGTGATGCTATGCCTACCTAGATTTTATTTGCACCCCCTCCCCCATATACACGTGTGCTTGCACACCAAACATTGATACTGGCAGGAAATATACAACTTTATCTGACAAAAGGCAGGCCTCTGTTTTACTAACACTACCCATCTAGAATTTCTAAATTAAAGATGTTTTTACCTTTTCAAAATGGAGGTTGATAATTATTCTATTATTTTATTAATATGTAAAACAAAGTCATATAAATGAAAAATTGATTTTATTTTTAAAATCATCCTTTATTGATGCAACTTATTTTGCTGGTATAATTGTGATATTGTTTTTTTTTTTTTCCCCCATCAGGAATTATCAGTTCAACAAAGCACAGCGTTAGAAGGGTAAGTAAAATTTCTATCTCTCTCTCTCTCTCTCAAGAAAAAGAGTCTAAAAGAATTCGGCCAGATAAAAAAAAAAAAAATTCTAAAATTTCCAGCACCCCTCTGTCATGCATATGTGTAGTCCTAACAACATAACAAATTTAATCCATTGAAGTCCTGAAGGGGTGAAACATGTCACAAGTAAACTTTCCCCACTTTATCATACAATTTCCCAGATATATAGAAAAAAAATGTGTCTTAGTGTCAAAAATGGTACCTTGTTTGCTGTACTTTTGTCAAAAACTAAAACAAAATTGGCAAATAGGTCTCACCATTTTACTTTTGAACTAGCTAGATGCAACTGCCATTTCTATTTTAACAGTTTCTTTTTTCTTTGCTTTTTTCTCGCACATCCCACCTATGGAGCTCACTTTAGATTTCTTGCTTCCCTGATAACTACAATTTTCAAAAATTTAAATGCAACATCAATCACCATCTGTCTTCTTGAACCCTGTTCCTTTTTGTCCTTTTCTCAATTCTCCCCATTTTCAGTCTTCTCATTCACTTTAACTCCCTGTAACCCCCTGTGTTTTAGTGGCATTGTTGCCTTGCTTGGGGTGAAATGATTAAAAAGAAAATGATTTATTGATGTTTAAATGGAGGCAGGACCTTGCAAATGTTTTGCATTGGTTAAATACCTTTTGAAAAGATGACAGATTACTTAATATTTATCAATCAATCCAAACACAAATCAAAATTGTGTATAAAAATAACTTGATGAATGATTTACATAATAAAGGAAATAATGGGTAATTCATTGCACCATGGTCATAGCAGACCAGTTTGAAAAACTCTGGATAATGCAAATAGTTTTTTTATATTTTTCTTATACTTAACTCCAAACAACTTCATGCAGATTATGAAAGTTTTATTTGTTTCTTTATTTTTAAGTTGACTAAATCATAAATTTTTATAATAATTACCTTTCTTTTAAGTTTATAGCTATCAAATCCAATTAAGAATTCCTCTGTTGTCTGATCAATAATTCTAAATAATGAATATTAATAAGCAGATGGGATAATTCTAAATAATGAATATTAATAAGCAGATGGGATAATTCTAAATAATGAATATTAATAAGCAGATGGGATAATTCTAAATAATGAATATTAATAAGCAGATGGGATAATTCTAAATAATGAATATTAATAAGCAGATGGGATAATTCTAAATAATGAATATTAATAAGCAGATGGGATAATTCTAAATAATGAATATTAATAAGCAGATGGGATAATTCTAAATAATGAATATTAATAAGCAGATGTATTACAGCTTTGATGGGATGCTCAGGTGTGATACAATAGACACCCATTTAAAAGGGGAAGAGGTGATTTCATCTCAATCTCAAGTGTTTCTGTTTTGGTTGGTGGGGGGGGACTGAAGTTGTCCCAAGTATCACTTACCTACCCACTTGGACAAGTAGGCAACTTTTTATACACAATTTCCTACTGGAAAACAGGATTTGTGCTATTTCTCAACATGGTGTTTCTTTAGGTGCACACCCCAGATTGAGAATTGGAAATTAATTTTGGGTAATCATTGTCAGTAAAATGCTTAGGCAAGGGTGAGGGTCACTGTGTAAGTTTACACAGGTAGTATAACTATTATCAATTTAAAAATTTGTATTGGTAAGCCATGTTCAAATTCCAGTCTAGTCAGTTGCCCCTTGAGAACGACCTAAATTCATTTTTTTTTTCTCTGCTACCTCCACAAGCTATAGGTTTAAATAGCAGGGGGAACTTGGTTCTCTAGCTTTGAGTGACAATCTAAAATGGTTATTCTGATTTCAAAACTCAATAAGGTATTAGGGGAGACAATTTCATTACCTTTTCCAAGATGCACCGGCAATTCACAGATAATAAAGAAAAGGACATGATCATCAATATCCTCTTAGTATGCAGAGTAAATAAAATATTTTAACTACTGTACTCAGTAATGAAACTGAGTAGAGGCAATAAGGAAAAATCCTTTACTGTCTGTAAAGAATGTAAGATTCTTGAAGTTGTAAGTATGGCGTGATTTTTACTTTACATGTGTGAAAGCAATGTGTTGTCCCTTCTCAAAACTCTGCAATTATCTGGAAGTTCCAAAAATCAAGATTTAAAATTTAAGGGTTTTATACAATTTTCGATCAAATATTTTTGTTTACTTAATGGCTCCAAGAATTGTTTGGATTGTTATTTTTGCTTTTGTTTGCACTATATTTCAGCAGATCCATTCTACAGCTTTCTTTATGTCAGCAATGTTTGTAATAACAAAAGTAATAAAAAGAATGAGCTTCGTCATCAAAAACAATTCTGGAAAGGATAAGGACTCGTAATTACAGAAATTAACAATAGTGATTTGTAAAGCAAGTGTATTCTGTGGCTGATTATAATTTTTTAAGATGTTTACTCATAGCAATATCTAAATAATTTTGTTATTGCATTGCACTTATAAAATATCAAAAACTTTGTTGCTATGCATTTTAATGTTTGTTTAATCATTGTGAAATATTAAAATAATGATATTAATACAGAATAATTGATTTCTATATCATTACATAGAGATGTACAATTCATTCATCTCTTTGAAATGGACTCTTGGTAAAACAATTGTTCATGGTTTACATGCATGTTTTCATGTATTACTGACAAATAAGTTGCAATTGATTTGTTGTAGAAATAAGGATAATGGCTAATATTTCTTTGTTTTGCTTTATTTATTTTTTTTATAGTATGCGGCAACAACTGGTGGAAGCACATGATAGAATTGCCAGGCTAATGGCAGAAAAGTCTGAGATTAATAAACATTCCCAGCTTGAGGGTCTTCGAAATCTTAAGGTTGGTTTATTAAAAAAATCACATTAATCATTTTCATAATTTTTTCCTTTTTTAACTGAATTAACTACAACTCAAAGAAAAGAAAGTACAGGGTGACCCCAAAAAACGGGAATTTTTGAAGTGCGTATTGCCAGAAAAGAAATAAACACAGCAACACAGCGAGACAGTGACCTTGAGCAAGTAAACATTTTGCCATTTAGAATTCAAGATGAAATTCACAGTATCCCAGCTGAGATGTTGCAGCAGTCAATGAGGAATCTCAACAGCAGATTTCAAGAATGCGTTCTTACAGGAGGATGCCATCTACAGGACGTAATTTTTAAAAATTGAAAGTTCCATCATTGTTTCTTAAATGGCATGTTTTAAGGTTTCAATTACTATAAATAAAATATTTTTTTCCAACACTCTTGGTTTTATTGGATTGTTAAAAAGTTCCCGTTTTTTGGGGTCACCTTGTACTTTGGTATTTGAGTGGCACTTTATCTACTAAATCAATACTGTTAACTTTGTCAAAATTGTTTTAACTTATAAATTATCTGAATCTGTTATCAGTTCTCTCTTTAGTATTGTCTTTTCACTTATGAATCTTTTGAGAAATACAGACTGGATAATAATATGAGAGGGTGTTGTAACCAAGGAAGCATCCCCCACCCCAAATCTTAATTTGTCAGATTTGGGGGAGCAGTTCAGGCCAAGAACTTTTCAGCACCCTTTTGTATAGTTCTTAATGTTCAACCAAAATTGGTACTAATTAATTTCTTGGTACTATTTTACAAAAATGGACCAGCATGTGCAGGTGAAAAGTTTTTGAAAATATTTTTCTTCAATTACCATGACATATAGCAAGAGTGGCTTGAGTCACATTGTGGCTATTTGACCTTTAATATGCAGCTTGTGGAAATATGTTTGTTGAGTTCCTTTTTTTCATCACACCTAATGTAAAAGGTAAATAAGAAAAATTTCAAGTTTTATAACTATTTACTGGGTATGGATTTGAGACTACATGGGATTAAAACCTAAGTTTAATGTCAATGTGAATGTAACAAAAATGCATGTGTAAATTTTGTTCATGTCTTCTGGCTCTCAGGCATGAACTTTATCATATGTGGCTTGTACATTAAGCAAGTTTGGCCACCACTGTTATATAGTTTAGAATTAGTTATTCTAAATATTCCCTTTTTTTTATCTTCTTTTTTTTATCTTCTTTTTTTTTTACCTTTCTTCTTTTTTTTTTACCTTTCTTCTTTTTTTTTTACCTTCCTTCTTTTTTTTTTACCTTCCTTCTTTTTTTTTTACCTTCCTTTTTTTTTTTTACCTTTCTTTTTTTTTTACCTTTTTCTTTTTTTTTTTACCTTTCTTTTTTTTTTTTTTTTTTTTCTTTTTTTTTTACCTTTCTTCTTTTTTTTTACCTTTCTTCTTTTTTTTTACCTTTCTTCTTTTTTTTTACCTTTCTTCTTTTTTTTTACCTTTCTTCTTTTTTTTTACCTTTCTTCTTTTTTTTTACCTTTCTTCTTTTTTTTTACCTTCTTTTTTATCTTAAAAAAAAAAAAAAAGAACTTTTCTTTCTTTCTTTTTTTTTCTTTTTCTTTCTTTTTTTTTCTTTTTTTTTCTTTCTTTCTTTTTCTTTCTTTCTTTTTTCTTTCTTTCTTTTTTTTTTTTTTTTTTCTTTCTTTTCCTTTCTTCTTTTCCCTTTCTTTTTTTTCTTTCTTTTTTCTTTCTTTCTTTTTCCCTTTCTTCTTTTTCCCTTTCTTCTTTTTCCCTTTCTTCTTTTTCCCTTTCTTCTTTTTCCCTTTCTTCTTTTTCCCTTTCTTCTTTTTCCCTTTCTTCTTTTTCCCTTTCTCCTTTTTCCCTTTCTCCTTTTTCCCTTTCTCCTTTTTCCCTTTCTCCTTTTTCCCTTTCTCCTTTTTCCCTTTCTCCTTTTTCCCTTTCTCCTTTTCCCTTTCTCCTTTTCCCTTTCTCCTTTTTCCCTTTCTCCTTTTTCCCTTTCTCCTTTTTCCCTTTCTCCTTTTTCCCTTTCTCCTTTTTCCCTTTCTCCTTTTTCCCTTTCTCCTTTTTCCCTTTCTCCTTTTTCCCTTTCTCCTTTTTCCCTTTCTCCTTTTTCCCTTTTTTATCTTTTTTCCTTTTTTATCATTTTTATCTTTTTTCCTTTTTTTTTCCTCTTATAATAAAAAATGATCAAATTAAGAATTACAAGTATTAATATTCAATTTCACATACATACATGTGTCCACTTTTGTACAGTCACACCAATTTTCTTTTTTCTTATAAAATACCAGAAATGGAGATTTTTTTATTACACCTAAAAATAGCTTTTCACCTTACAGAATTCAAATAACTATTTTTTCACTTCAGTCTCTCTTTTTAAATGTCTTCAAACAATTGTACATAGGCACTATATAGCTTTGACAGTAAATAATATTTCTTTTTTCCCCTTTCACAGGAAGAAGTAACTCGGGAACGACAAGAACTTGAACAAGAAAAGAAACGGAGAGCTGAATCACTAGAAAAGGCTCGTGAAGAAATGCAAAAAGAATGGGTATGTTGTTTCACTCTTAGGATTCTTAAAATCACCTGACAAAATGGTTCTATTATATTCATATTTACAAACATGGTAATGTGTTGGTTGCTGGAGAGCAAGTGACATATCACCAGCATCTTCCTCATCACTATTTTCAAACCCTCCAGTGCATTAGCTTCAATTCTGACATGACACTTTTTTGCAATAGGGTATTATTTATACCCAATCAAACATTATTGTAGGTGTAGTCTTGTTAAAGATAAAATATCTTAAGATGAAAGGCATTTATAGTGTTAATGTTTGTTAGACATCTTTGTGGATAGAATATATTATCTGTATTATCATAACAAAACTAGCAATTTCTAGGATGAGGAGTTATCATTGCTTTTGGCTTACAGTCACATCACATTGAAACATTGGTTCCCCTATGATCACCAAAGTTAAGCAGCATTGGGTGACCACTTGGAAATACCAGATGCTGTAAGCTTGAATTTATGTGTAATGCAATGGATAATGGCTCAGAGTTGTTAATTAAAGAGAAGAGTTCCAATTTCAGTTGGGTATATTCACTTATATGCAAATTCACTTGGGAAATGTAGGAATCCATCTCTTCTCCTCCCAGCTATGGGTTAATTAGTAAAGCTTGTATCACTAAACCATTATTATCTTCAAAAATAAAATAAAATTGTATAAATATTTAGATTTTAGCATTAAATAACCAATAAAGATTGATATGCTGCTAAATAAAACCAACCAGCATTATCCTCATCTTTGTTGTTGTTATCCCATTTTGACTGTTGTGCCTTCCAGATCAATATACACCTGATGAAGGCTGGAGGATGCAGCAGCCAAAATGTGATAACATGAGAGAAAGACAATAGACTGAATGTAAATAGTGTAATTAGTAAAACTGGCAATGTTAATTTTTCACAATTTCTGTTGAAATGGATCATTATTTACTTTATCTTGCTCTATAATTTCTCTGAAAGCAGTAATTCTGTTCTCCGAAACCAAAACAGAGTAAGGCATGTTTTGGTCAGTGCAAAGCAATAGATACTAACATACATACAGTTCCATGTAAATGTCTTTGCTCACTTTAAGCAATTGCAAATTTTTAATAATTGATAGCTTATAAGTCGATATTTGATATTGTGTTTTCTAGAGATGAAACCTTGGCTCCATTGAAGTCATTTCTATACCTAATTATTATATTTTGAAACAGGGGTTAAGGGTTCTGAGTGAAAAGAGGAAGATACAAGCTATGCCCAAAAATGGCCATGCAAAATTCTTTGGTCACTGTACCATTCTTTGTTTCTTTCTTTATTTCTTTCTTTCTCTCTCTCTCTCCCCCCACACTTCTCCAATAACATCTGTCACCTCCCCACCACTCATATAGCAATAGCTAAGAAACTTGGAATTTCAAGAAGTAACATTTCAGAAATCATGTCAGTTTCAGCACACTGAAAATGCTTCGGATCAACCAAGGTATGGTCACTCTAAAAAGCTTAATTTCCAGAAGTTATTGTACTTTTTTTTTTTCATATGGTTATAGATATTTTTCTGTTTTAAAAACTCTTGGTTTAATGTGTGGTGGCTGTTACCTGTGTCCTGAAGGGAAATAGCACAAAGTACTCAAGAACAGTTTCCCAGACAGAGGAACAAGAACAGCCTACTTCTGTAAATTAAACAATAGTTTCAGTTCAGAATTCTCTGTAGGTTACTCAGATTGACACCGGGAGTTATTTCCTATCTTTTCATTCATGACCCCTACTACAAACAATGATAATTAGGTATTGAAATGATTCAAACAGGGACAATGTTTCATCTGTAGAAAATGTGGTGCAAAAAATCCATTTACAATCTAGTAATTATAAAAAAAATTATAGTCAATGGCCCTGTGTCAGTGACCAAGGTGACCCTTCAAGTTAGTGGACATTGGCTGTGGTTTAACCTGGAGAGTGATGGGCTTTGCCAGGTCAACTTGACCAATGCACATTATGCATGAATGAATACCTCTCTGGATTTCAACTCAAATATGTGTAGTGAACTGGTCAGTTTCTCAGTTGTACAGTGACCCTACAAACACTCTTGGTCATGGGACTGATGGTGACAATAACTTGTAAATTCCAAAATAATTTTGATTTGACATTATCTCTTGACAAACTTGGAACCAAAATCTTCACTTGTTCACAGGAGTAATTTTACTTTTTTTTTTTTTTTTTATCCTCCTTTCACTCTTAACCAGGATGACATAAGGGCCCAAAAGGACGAACTTCATCGAAAAAGGGAAGTTTTCCAGAAGCAGTACGACCTCTGGGAAGCATATCGATTCAATGGCACCGCTGGACGAAGCCAAAATTTAGCAGAGAAATCTCAGAACCTTGATGCACATGGCACAAACCACAACACAGGACACAGTCCGATTATGCACAAACGCTCTGCTTCAGCTGAACTCTCTAGCCAAACACCTGATGATTACATGTCATCGGGCAAAGACCTGAAAGAGTTAAGCAAGCAGCAGCAACACCGCAGTTCAGTCGGCAACCTTCATCACAAGCCAATCCCAATGCAGCTATATAGTGCAACCAACGAGCAGCGGGTGAGTGAGAAGATGAAACAGCATTTACCCCTTCAGTTGGCCAATACTGGAAATTCTGCTACTCTGCCCACCACAGGGAAGAGTACATCCGGGATATCTCAATCTCAGCAATCGGGATTGAACCGTGCTGGACTTGGACGATCTGCATCAAACACCTCATTTTCCCTAGTCAGGGAGAACAGCAGTCTGAGCCAGGTAATGAAGCTGGCTGAACCTTGTCGGTCTGCTCCCAAAGAACGGGCTCAAAGTCACCCGCAAACCGGAATCTCTAAGTCAGATCAAAAACAGTTATACTTTTAGAATCATTAAGGTAAGCTTGCCCTTCATGTACAAGTGTATATTTATATATGCAATAGTTTATATTCATTTACTAAGATTACTTTGGCACAAGGCCACAGGTATAGGGTGCTTGGTGAGGTTTGAACGCTGCTATGCTAGCTTACTAATAATTACTCTATGGTTAGGTATATATTTTTTATTCAGGTTAAGGTTCAATAAGACACAAGGGATAAAGCTCCAGATGTTGATAAAATTCACTAAAGTTCTGTGAGGTTAATTTGTTCCTAGTTCATATGCAGATGATTTAATGAATAGTGACTTGACATGAGAAATCGGAGAGTCTAGTTCAAATTGTAGTCTGATTTGTAATATTAGCTTATGTGCAAATGCCTTTGGGAAAGGTATGAATACATTTTCTCTCCCAAGCTATGGATTAATTAGTAGAACTTGGATTTGGAAAAATCATTATTCTCAAAAAAAATTGTTAATGCAATATTCACTTGCAAAAAAAAAAAAATTACAATCCAAAATGTTTTGGCTTTAAATAATCCACAAAGGATTGATAATCTATGAAATACCAAATCGATAGCTTACTCATAATTACACTATGTGAATGCACCAGCAGTAGTTTGTTAAAATTATATTTGAATATGGCTTATGCTAAAACTGAAGCACAACAAACATGTTCGGACCAAACTTTTAGCATAAACTGCTAAACTTTCTCTTAATATTATGTTTTAATCTGTTAAGAAGTATTGAGTCATAAGTAATGTTCATTTTTGAGAACCAGGTTTAATGACATGCATGAACCTAACTACTAATCATACTAACTACTAAGTACACTTACATATATAGTTTTTCCATGTCAATTTGGTTTATAAAAAGAAATTTAAAAAAAAAAAATGTTTACTCCCCCTCAAAAAAAAACATTATGAATTACAGAAGAGTAGTTAGTGAAGTATTACCTCTATGCTTAGAATATTGCAGCTACATATGGTCTGGTGCTTCTGCTATATATTTAGAGATTCTTGATAAAACCTAAAGAAGAATCTGTAATATTATTGGTCCTAACCTCTTCGCTATGGTACCTAGACTTTATGAATTTAAGTGCAGTATTAGATTGGCAACAAGATCTCATCAATTTACAGTTGACTTGGTTAGATGTCACCATAAGTTTTATGCTAACAGTTTCTTTTTTAGTAATTTTTGCTTGAGGAACACTTTTCTGGCGCCATGCTTTCCAGCCAACTTTGATCTTCAAAAATTTAATTGCAATGTCAAGTATTAACTTCTCTCTTCTTGATTACTCTTCTGTTGTTTTTACTCCTTTATAAAATTTTCTGTTTTCTCATTCCTTCACACCCAGTTACCCCTTGTCTTAGTGGCTTTACTTCCTTGCATGGGATTAATTCAATTTAAAAAAATTTTTTTTTGATTTTTACAAAAAATTTTAATCTTTCTTTTTTTTTTCTTTCTTTTTTTTTTTATCTTTCAGGTTTTTGATTAAATCTCTACCCTGGCTTGTCTAAAGGACAGCCACAACTTGCTCTCCTGATTGCCTTAGCTTCTGCTGTCATTACCAACCAGTGCCTGATTTGTGGTCTTTGGTGGCTACTGTCAGGGATATAATCTGCTGGCCATAGGAGGAGAGGCTCAGCAGGATGATGGAGACAACAACATCATTAAAAACTGCTAAGAGGACAAAAAACAAAGTACCAGCACATTTTTTTTTTTTTAAACAAGGAAAATAAGAAAAAATAAAGTGATAAGATTTTATTTGCAGTGGTTGGGGGGGGGATACATTGAAAATAATTTTTTTAAATTGAATTTTCAAGGCATTTAAAACTTTTATCAAAAACTTGGATTCTCTAAAGTTAGTTGGGAGGGGGGATCATGGGGAAAATAATCTGGACATAAAGCAATGTGTAATTTACCTTGGTAATTATATAATTTGTTCAGCTAAAATTAAATTTATTTTAAATAGTTTCAGAATTAGTCAATATGGAAACAATAAAAGATAGAATTTTATAACTGTACCCTTTCCCTCAAAACTTACAGAGCCTACTTGTTGATTTCAAACTGTCTTAATGTGTTAGTCACCTTTTTATTAAGACAAATGTCAAAATTACCCAGTGATATTTCTTTTATAAATAATCAAAGATATTTTTAAATATTCCCTTTGAGAGAGTGGGGGGGTGACAGAAATTTAAGTGGTTGGCAGGGAGTTTGTTGGGAGGGGGTTCAATCTGTAATAAGAAATTGATTTTTAAATTTTTTTTTTTTCCTTTAACTATATATAATTAGACACAAACACAAAGTGACTTAATTTTTAAAGGATGATAAATTTAATTTAATTTTTTTTCTTTAAATAATTAAACTTGGTGCTTAGTATTTCTCTAAGATATTCTGGAACTCTTGTTGCAGTTTATGAACTTTTCATAGTTTGATTTTTAAAAAAAAATTTATGTGTAAATATAAGATGTGTATAATGATAAATAAAAAAAAAAATAATAAATGTAAAATCACTAATTAACCTGTCATTTACTGCAGCCATAATTAATCATTACAGTGGCTCTCTGCCTAAGCTGTGATGTTTTAGGCATATACCTACTGTGCCTCGCATTTTAACATGCTTTGACTAATTGGGTCAGTTAAACTTGGATTTTTAAAACCTTTCGTTTTCATTGAGAAAAGACCAAAAGTTTCTTAGAAAAATAAATTGCAGTTTTTATTTTAATTTTCATTTTACTTTATTTTTTTATGTTTACATGCCTTGAACTGAGATTGACTTTGTTCAAAGATCAAAATTTGTAATTAATCACTTGACAACATGAAGATAAAACAAGGATTTTTAGTAGAAAAAGAAATTGAATTTGTTCCAATTGAAATATTTATTATAAGAGTGAGGGTTACCTGCAAGAACTGTGATAGTGTGCCATAAAAAAAACAAAAAAAAAAATTGTTTGTGACCTACTGTTTATAGTATATTGGTTGGATTGTTTGTTTTTCTTTTTTTAATCAGCTGCCAGCTAGCATTTTTATCAGTCAGCCATTGGTAACCTGGTTATTTAAAAAAGGTCAGGGGAACAAGTGCAAAGCTGAAACATTTTAATATGCATTAAAAGTTGCAAAGAAATGTTCTATGAATGAAAATGTCTTTCAATTCTTAAAACTCCATTTTATCTCGTCATGTAAAGTATTTTCAACCCTACACACACGCGCACACACACAAGAGCCATTGTAATATAGCAGTTAATCTAAAGCTCCCTCTCTTAGCTGATCTTTTTTATTTTCCCTCTGTGTGAAATTCTAATGATTTGAAAAACAAAATATGGCTATGAAGAGATGGGGAGGAGTAAATCTTTCATACCCAACACTTATTTTTTTCTGGTATTTCTAGCACTTGAGAAGTGACACAAACTCATCATCTCTTTTGCTACGGTTGGGGCGGGGGTCAGGATGGTACATTATCATTCAAACATTTCAGCTGCTAACAATAGAATACTCACATAGCATAAGCCTGTATACAATGAAGCAAAGATAGTCCACTTGAATTCATATTGAAAATGTCTCTGACTTTTTGCACAGGAAATGTTACCCAAAAAGATGATTGGGGAGGTGAGGCAGTTAAATGTATACAGAAGTGAATACCTGAAGCTATAAAATTCTATACATGTCATAATTGGCAGGACATAAAAAAGTAAAAAAAAAACACATACATAAAATTGAAAATCTTTTGCCATTCAAAGCCTTTGAGTGGTTTACTCATTTAAAAAAAAAAATAAAAAAAGTTTGTCAAAAACATAAATTATTGGTTAATGTTTTGTTTTAACCACTTTCAAAATTGTTTAGATAAATCTTTTATTTGCCTTTCTTGCTCAGAAACAAAGTGCAGTTTGAATTCTTTAAGTGCATAGAAAACTATAATCATTTTTATTCTTTAGGATTAAAAAAAATTAATTTAGAAAAGCTTGTGCTGAATAACTGAAGATAAAGAAATAATGTATTTTACTGCTGTTTTTGTATCTGATGACTCATTGTTGCAAATTATGTAATAGAACATTTCAAAATATTTTCATCTTCAGCTTGGGTATTTTATATTTTTAATCGATTAAAATCATGATTAATTTATATGAAAGGTAATAAAGTATTTTTTTCTTTTAATTTGTAGTTAAATTTTAAATTATTTGAAAGCTAAATAAAAATCTAGACTTAAAAAAGATAAAGTGACACTTACGCTGAACTGAACATTGTCTCATGAGTCATCTCAGTGCTTTTGTAATCTAGCCATGAAAAGTCAATGCCAACACGTTGAATCTTAGTAATAAGTCGGTTCAAAATTCCCTGTTTAAATTCCATGTAATACACTTCCAGTGACCAATATACCATATGAATTATTGGTATTGATTGTACAGAAATAAAGATCCACCATTTCTTTATTCTTTGAAAAATATGTTTATATTCTTAAAGAAATAAATCTTTTTCCATACAGCCTTAACTATAATAGATATATTTTTGCTAAATTCTAAATGCTTTTGTAAAAATCATTAATTCAATCTTTTGTTAGATTTCAGCTACATTCATTAACTTTATAGAGATAAGCCTTTGAATAATCCTCCCCAAGAAACTTAACCTTAACAAGAAATGTGAAAATGCAAAATTTAAAGTTCTTTTTTAAATTTATTTATTAGTTTTATTAATTTTAAATATATAAAACAATGTTTTGTCTCACCAAAATATGCACAATTTTTTTTTTTTTTTTTTTTTAATCATTTTTTTTTTTTAATCATTTTTTTTTTTTAATCATTTTTTTTTTAATCATTTCACCTGATACAAGAAGTTACTGAGTGAGAGAATATGAGAAAAAAAAAACATAAAGGAGAGGGAACAATATAAGGACAGACGTTAAAACAGAAGGTAATGATTGACATTGCATTTAAATTTTTGAAGAGTTTCACAAGCAAGAAGTGCGAGTGGAGAAACTGTTAGCATAGAATTTACATCTTGCCATTTCAACTGTAAAATGATGAGGACCTTGTCAAGCTAGTACTGTGCTCAAATGCATGAAGTCTAGGTACCACAAAGCAAAGTTTGTCAGAACAATTGCCATAAAAATATTTATAGAAAAGGCACAGGGAAGCTATTACAGCAGTGAAAAAATGATGGATGCCAAGTCATTTACATTGCTGATTTCTTTGAATTTTATCAAGAATACATAGATAATTGGTAATTTAATTACTTGAGAGTTAGTTACACATTTTATAATAAAGAACAAAGATCTTAGTAAATATCTTGTAATTTTAATAATTCCTTTCTAATTTAAAAAGAAAAAAAAAAACGAAACAAAAACATATACAGTTTTTGAGCCTTTTGGACCTGCAAACAAAAGTATAAACATCAGCTTTTCATATTAAATTTTATGCTGCCTCTTTATAATAATTTTCATATTTAATGTATGTAAATTTAACTATCATGGGTCAGAGGAGATAACATTGATTGTAAGAGTTAAATTTTAGGTGTCATCATCTGTGATTCCCAAAAAGAGTATGTACATTTTGTGGAAAGCTGTGTGTGTGTGAGAGAGAGACAGAGAGAAAGAAATGTTGTAAATTAATTTAAATTGTATCTGATTTTAGAATGGATTTTTTTAAAAAGAAAACTTTTAGAATTTATTTTTGTAATTTGTAAAGTTTTCATTTGGGTGGCTGACCACTCATAAAAAGTTGACATTCAAGAATGGCCTATATTATACCCTTTTAAATTTCAGTACTTTGCATTATTCATGGGTATTACTTCCTCTTCCACTATAAATGGCAGCTGCAGTAGTTTAATTTCTAATTTCAATTAAGGTTGTTTTAGATGTTACTATAGCAGGGTGTTGCAACACAACTGGGAAATTTAAAAACATCATTTGGTGATAAGTTGTCTGCAGTAGCATGATAACGTTTTGCTCAGTGAACAAAGTCGCCTACAGAATGTTAAAGGTTTCAAAGCATCTTTCTATCCCTCTTTCAACATCTCAAGAAGCAGAAAAAGAATATTAAAAAAAAAAATAAATCCTACATTTTTAACTGATATTTTGATTGCCTGTTTATTTTTTTTCATCTACTGAAAAATGTGTTAAAAAAAAAAGGAAAAATGCAAATTTAATCTCCTCCAAAGATGTACTCTTTTTCTGAATTGTTTTTAATGGAACTTTTAATTTAAAAAGAAAAAAAAAATTCTGTACAAATATGTAAATGATGTACATAACACACAAATAATTACGATATTAAATAACTTTAAATTGAAGATTAAATTGAATAACAGTGAAATTTGAAGACGACTATATTATTTGGAGTTTTAAAAACAAAGTATTTGGCAAGGATATAAGTTCAGCAGGAGCATCTTCATTGACTATGGAATGAATGTTCATTCCATTTAATAATGACTTTCTCACCTCTCATTGATTTCTCTTTTGCCCTTGTTCCCTCTCTAAAATATTGGGTTCAGCTTGGCAACACCAGA